TTAAATTTCGAAACAAAGGACAAAAAAATGTGCAACCATTTTATTATACCTAACAATTAACAATATAATTTACGGCGAGAAATATTCTAAATTTACAGTATAATATAATTTTTCGATGAAACGCAATTAATTATATAATATGTATATATTATATTTAATATAAAATCAAAAATGCTTTATATATATACAATATATTTTTTTTCCACTTAATGTATAAAATATAAAAAATAATAATTGCATATTTCCCGAAAAACTATAGACATTAAAAAAATTTGTTTTGTCAATTCAAAAAAGCTCTTTTATTATATATAGATATGAGTAGTATATGCGTACTTAGAACAAAAATTTGCGCAGTCGACATTTTTCTATTTCTCTTAAAACTAAATGTTCGCAAAATTATACAATTTTACATATTTTTGAAAATATTTTACTAAAGAACTATTTTTTTCAAAAAAAGTAATTTAATTTATCAAAAAAATATTTGAAGTTATAAAATAATATTGAAGTTATAAAAATTATTTGAAATGTAATGTCACTAAGATTTTAAATAATTTAAACTTGAAGACTTTGGAAATTTAATATTTCTAAGATTTTAAAAAAATTAAACTTACAAATTTTTTTTTTAATTTAATTTTTCTATTAAAAAATTTAAACTTGAGGGGATGCCGGAATAAATACGATTGTTTTATAGAAACTATGCAAAAATTGCACCTACTTTGACAGGCCATTAAAAATATATAGTTAAAAATTTCATTTTTCTAAAATTTTAAAAAATTAAAAATTTTTTTTTTAAATTATAATTTTTTAAAATTTTGATAAATTAAATTATAAATTTTTTAAAATTTGGATAAATTAAATAACTTTTTTCAAAAATTACAATATATTTGTTGCCTTAAACAATAAACGAATTCGAGTCGTGATTTAAATAACTAGATTCTTTGGACTAGACTTTTACTCTTTCAATTCTAGCGAGTAGAATGAAAAATAGAACGCAAACTAAAAACATAATTGGAACTGAAAATTGCACACACCTTATAATATTAACTATTATATCCATATAAGGAAAGATTTTTTTTCTTTTTAAAGTTTTCAGTTTGTTTTTGAAAAATGAATTCGAATTATTATTTTTCTTTTAACCTTTTTGCATCTTGCTTTTAGCCTTAAATTTTAAAAAATAAAAATTTATTTCATTCAAAGCATTTTTTGTTTTAAAAAATATTTAATTTATTTAAATTTAATTTATTCGAAAAATTGAGAATTTTTTTAAGTTTAAAATTAAAAAATTTTTTAAATTACAAAAAAATTGGGAAAAAAAATATAAATTAATTATATATAAAAGAAAAAAAATGTACAGATTGAAAAATTATTGATCATGTTTGAAAGACTTTTATCTATAGTTAAAAGCAAGATGCAATGGAGGGTCAACGCGACTAGATAATAAAAATCAATACAGTCTCGACTAAAATATTATTATTTGTAATCGGCGCTCAATTCTGTGTATATAGAAAATTCTTCAGTTATGGAAATAGACTAGAAATATAAATATAGGTACATCCATACGAATATATAATCGTCTACATATATTATCATCACGACTATATATATATATATATATATATACATACATATACGAAGCTTTTACTTTATAGTTTCACATAATATATATAGAATCGTCGCACTGATTCTCAAGTTAAGAATCGAATAATATCCCCCCTCGGGAAAAAATCAATGACTAGAAATTTTTTTTATATTAAAAATTTTTTAATTAGTTAATTAATTTAATTAATTTTTTTTGTTTTATAATTAATTAAATTTTATTAACAAATTAATACCACTTAATTATTCTTTGATGCACCAGCTGTATGAATCTGAATTATTTTTTGTATATATGTATATATATATACTTAAATATTCATATTGAAACATGTATATATTAAAACTAAACAATTATTCTAAAAACTACATTATTGTACCATATTACTTACACGAACAATTTTTATTACTACGAATCTTTTTTTGCTTTCTTATCGCGTTTTTAAAAAAAAATATTTTTTTGGAAATCTTTTCGAGAGCAATAAATATAAATATAATAATTCTTTTCGAATAAATTAATAAATAGAATAGTAAAATTTTTTTCTGATAATGTAACAATTTTATAATTATAGGAGAATATATATTTAAAATCCGGGTGGAATAATCGCCTTTACTTAAAAAATGTTCCCTCCCCATTTATTTCATTGGTTGATTTTCAAGGTCGCGACGCAAAGACCAATCGTAGTTGCGTGACCTTGAAAAGTGGCCAATGAAATTAATAAGAAAGCTGGTGTAGGCCGCTCTTAACTCTGCGATGGCAAAAAAAAAATAAAGACGGTTTTTGCATTCGGATTTAAAAATATTCTATTTTTTTTTTAATTTAAAAATTCTATGAATTTTTTTATTTCTCTTTTCTTCTATACTTTCTCTTATTTTTTCTTTTATTTTTCAAAAAAGACATTTTTGTAAATTAAAAGAAAAAATAAATTTTATTTTTATTTTTTCTATTTTATGTTTCTTTTTCATTATTCGTTTGTTCATTTATAAGTAAAAATTATTCAGTAACACATTTTTATGAATCACTTCACTTTTTTTTAATAATAAAAAGAAAAAATATATATTTATATATATGTATATGTATATATTGAAAAATATAGAACTTTTATTGAGATATCTGCTCTTTTTAGAATTATAAATATTATATATTACATGAACAATTATTATATTTAATGCTAAAAGTTTATGAAAATTGTTCGTGTTTTCCTTTTTTTTCTCGTCCCTATTATCTAAGCTATTTACATTGATTTCACAATTTCTAAAACTGTTCATTTTTCTTTTTTTATTATTATTATATATATATATATATATATATTATATTTAATCGAATACTATTTGGTAATAATATTTTCGATCTATATAGAAAAAAGCCAATTTTTATACATTAATTTACAAATTAAATAAGTTGGTACATTTATCAATTAACGATTAAATATCTTTGGCAAAAACGATCATATATAGATTCTAGCTGTAGGGAAATTTTATGCTTCTTTCAATTTTTTTTTTATTATTTAATAATAATTATTAAACAATAATTAATATTTGATGTTAGGATTAAATTAATTTTTAGAATTTTGATTTTCTTCACATTTTTTGTTTTTTTTTATTTATGTAAATATGGTAAATATGAAGAAAGGCAGAATTTTAAGGTTATGTTTGTCTTATTTTCGTTATTTTAACCTAAATTTTTCCTTAAAATAATTAAAAGAACAAAAGTTTCTGTCTTTAATTTAAAATCAGTTTTTATTAATAATTTTGGATATAACGAAGATTTGAAGATCAATCGTTTTTAAAGAGTTTTGATTCTTTTTGTGTATTTTTATTCTGAAAATTACAAATATAACCTAAAATTTGTTACCTTTCTTCAACAGAGCGCAAAATTTTTGAATTTATCTTATTTGCTTGAAGTAATAAAAAATTGAATTCATAAATGTTTTAAGCACTGGGAAAATTCAGATAAGAATAATATATGTTTAAAGCTATCGAAAATATTTTAATCTAAAGACGCTATCGACTAGAAGATACTTTTTTTAATACGACTAGATCGCTGACTAGATTTAATACCACAATCGAGCAATATTTTTAATTTTTTTTTGTTTATTATCATTATATTCTTAATATATTCAGCCAATTTGTTTATTAAATATTAGATTTCTTTAAAAAAAAACCAAAAAAATCTTTAGATTTCTTAAGATTTTTATAAAAAAATGAAATATTTTTTTCGTATAAAATTTTGTCTCTTAAAATTTTTGAAGAAAGTTACCATTTTTTAAAACTAATTTTTTCTTTTCCAAGGAAACAAAATTTAATTGAAAAAAGAGTAGAATTGATGTTATATGTTCAATATGTACAGTCAGTAACGGAATGCAACAAGTTGACTACCTATATATATATAATATATATATATATATATATATATATATATATATATATATATATATATATAACCATGAGTGTTATAATGAATTTTGGTAAAAAATTTTCATAAATTTTTTGTTTCCATTAATTAAAAAATTGTCAGAAAATCCTACATTTTTTAGATCAATTATTAATTTTTGAATTCATTTATACTTCACGAAGAACAAAAGAATTATTGATTAACAATTTTTTTGTTAATTTATTATTATTATTATTATTATTATTAAATAAAAAAATATTCCTTTAAATAATGTTTGTAAATCAAAAATTTGGTTTGCAAAAATTTTGCTAACCACACATTTTGTTAATCAAAAATTTTGATAAAGAGAAAAGTTATAGTTATTCGAAAATTTACTTTGCAAAAATTTTGATTAACAAAATGTGTGGTTAGCAAAATTTGGTTTGCAAAAATTTTGCTAACCACACATTTTGTTAATCAAAAATTTTGATAAAGAAAAAAGTTATATTTAATCGAAAATTTCTTTTGCAAAAATTTTGCTAACCAAACAAATTTTGCTTATATTTGGTTAATTTAAAAAATTTATTAAGAGAAAATGTAAAACTTGGCTTCCAAAAATTTTGTTAACCAAAAATTTGGTTAATACAAACTTTGGATAAACAAAATTTTAATTAAGAGAGAATTTAGTTATAATCAAAAATTTGGTTTGCAAACATTTTTCCTAACCAAACATTTCGTTCATCAAAACGTTATGGATAGCAAAAATGTAATAACGAGAAAATTTATAGTTAATTGAAAATTTGATTTTCAAAAATTTTGCTAATAAACATATTTTTGGTTAATTAAAAATTTACTTAATGGAAAATTTGTTTTGAAAAACTTTTGCTAACCAAACATTTGGTTCATTGAAAATGTGTTGAATCAAAAGTTTGGTAAATAAAAAATTTGGTAATTCTAAAATTTGGTTATTTAAAAATTTGTTTAATCAAAAATTTGTTTAATCAAGAATTTAGATAATCAAAAATTTAGTTGACCAAGATTTTGTTTAGCCAAGAATGAATGAGGTTAATGAAAAATTAGTTTCCAAAAGGCTCCTCTAAAATAAGAAAGAGATTGTAGAAAAGCAGACGAAATTTTGAAGGAAAAGAAACATTTCCCTTTATATAGGGAAAACAATTTGCTTAAACAATTTGGCTGATTAATGATAAAGAATAAAAAGATTTACATATATAATATATGAACAAAGATCACAAGTCTACTCACAATTGTTAGCAAATTTTCACAGAAGATCCATGCCAAATCTCCAATAGAGTCCAGGTCTTCTAGGCAGGGGTCTCGCTGGAAAACGATGATGATGATGATGTCAGGGCATTTCGATGTTAATTGGACTACTTCCAATTTGCACCGTACCGATGTTCTTCATTTCCAATCCATTCTCATTATTATTGTTATTTGTCATATTACTGTTGTTGTTGTTATTATTGTTACTCTGACCGTTACTATTTTGGACCAATTCAGGATGCTGGGTGGCTAAATGTTTTCTTAATGCCGCTTGTCTTGTGAATTTAGCATCGCATCTCGTGCATGTGACTTCAACACCCGATGAAACTGATGATGTTCCATCAGTAGCAGTAGCAGCAGTTGCAGAAGTAGAAGATGTGCCGTTTGATGCTCGTGGTTTATGCCAACGACGATGTGATGCCAAATTAGCAGGACATGAGAAACGTTTATCACACTCTGGACAACGGTATTCAACGTGTGCAATTCTCGAGCAACGATGCTGCGCCAATTGAAATGCATCGTCATGCAATTGTCTGCATAGTTTACACTGATATGGTCCGAGGCGATTTTCGATTTTTGCCAATTCAGCACGTGCCTCGTCGGTGACTTCGACGATGTTGAAAGCCGGATCGATGTCACCGGTGACGACAGCCTCGTCGGGACCTAGGATCACTGTTCCCGAGACGGGACTGCTTGTGTCTTCGTCGAATTTCAAACGACGGGCGTGTTTCTTCTTTCTTGGTAGTGAGACATGTTTGTCGGGATTGTTTGATGAACGGGGAGTTGTTGGGTCGTCTTCGTCGGTGTCGCGATGTCGTCTTCTGGGACACTGGGGAGGCGATGGTGTGCTTGGCGGTGTCATTGGTGAATGAATCGGAGTATTGGGAGTACTGGGGTGATGTTGGGGTGTTAGGAGCAATTGCTGTTGATATGTCTGAAGAGGTGTGAGAATTTTTTGATGATACTTTTGATCCATTAGGACCATGGGGGTTCTGATAGGTGTTGGCGATGACAGATCCTTCTTCTGATCGTAGGTATCGTCGACCACAAGTTCCTCATCGTCATCCACCAGAATTGGATACCTGCCCCTTTGATGTCTTTGCAGACGATCCTCCTCATCGTCCACCTCGATGCATTCCTCGATTTTCGGAATTGGTTTTAGAGAAAGATCCAAGGGACATGGTGTTGATGATCGAGAATTCTCCCAAGGGAGGACGTGTTGATCGGTGGCAATTCGGGTGTATTCCTCGGCACCAATGCTCATGTAGGACGTTGGTCCATAGGGATGATGTAGCTGATCACCATAGTAGCCGGCGAAATAATTGAGTCCCGGTGCTAGGAATGCCCTTGGCAATGTACTGTGCAACATCTTCTCTTCTTCTGGTAAAATATTTTTGCAAATATTTTTGTAAATCTTTTTGTAAATCGAGACAGGAAAATCTTAAGTAGCCATATCAGGTGTGACGGTAACTGATGATGATGATGTTCATCAAAAGCCGTTCTTTATGCGGCGGTGGCTAGACGCCGTTTGAATAAAGACCCCCGCAAGAAATATCGAGGCTCCTGTAGAGGAAATTTTAACTCCGCCTCCATTGGATCCCTAACTGTATTTCATTGGCCTGACTCCTTCCACGATGAAAGTGTGGCGCGTGTCTACAACCCACACAGTGCATACCCGGCCCCCTCGACGCGCACCCGGACAATTTTGCTGGTGGCCGTCAACTATTGTATACGCATCACGCATCCTATACCCGCTGCTTGAAGGGGTTTGCTTGCTGCAGCAGCCTTTCACCTTTTGCTACCACTATTTATACGAGAAAATTGAGCAGAATTTCTTCACTCCCTGGGATCCGTTTTTTTGCAAGCATTGAAATTTAAATTTCAAGTAGCAACAGTACATATTGGCGTTTGACACTTTTATGTTAGGCCCAACACTGCAAGTTTGCAAACGCCAGCAGCAAACTTTCCCTAAAAATTACTGCAAGCTTGCATGCTATAGTCATTAGGACATTTTGCTAATTGCAACAAAAAGTAACTACTGACAAACGTTATAATTATATAAAAATAATTTTATATTAATATTCATCACAGTTTTCTTGAAAGTATAATAAGTTGATACTAAAGTGGATTAAATTGATATTAAAAATTTAGATCAATTTTAGATTGTTGCCACAGGTCAGGGAAAATCAAGGGTTTTTTATTAAAAATATAATGGAAAAAATTAAACTTTTAGAATTCATAAGAAAATTCTATAGATTTTGGTATGACTTTTTTGGTTTGCCTTAAAAAATTTGAAATTAGTTCAAAATAATGGATTTATAGAAGAATTTTAGTTAAAAACCCTAAAAAAAATTGAATTTTGAAGAAGTTACAAACGATCTTCTCCGAAAGTCAATTATTATCAAAAATTTTAATAAAATTCTCGGCAAAATTTCAATTACCTATTTATAAATAATAAAATTCTTCTCCGAAACTCAAATATCTACAAAATTTTTTATAAATTTGTTATGGATTCAATTATATTTTAAAAAATTTTAATAAAATTCTTGTAAGTAGAAATTTTAATAAATTTTAATAAAATTCTTGTAAGTAGAAATTTTAATAAATTTTATAAATAATAAAATTCTTCTCCAAAATTCAATTATTTTCAAAAATTTTAATAAAGTTTTTGGCAAAATATCAATTATTCTCAAAAATTTTTCACAATTCAATTATAATTCTCAATATATATACATATTTTGGTAAATTTTTCCAAAAGAATTTAATTATTAAAAAAAATTTTAACGAAATTCCACTCAAACATTTAATTATTTTCATAAATAATAGAACTCACAGGAATTCAATTATTTACAAATTTTTTATAAACGTCGCAATAATTCAATTACTTTCATAAATAATTTATAACGTAGAGTGTTTTCAGGACCTTAATTTTATTTGATAAATAATTTATGAATTATTTATTAAATTTAAAATTATTTCTTTTGCAGGGATTTATTGATTTTCATAAATAATAAAATTGTTTTCAGGAATTTAATTATTTTCATAAATAAAAAATAAAACCTATCGTGCAGAAATTCAATTGTTTTCTATAAAATTTTAATCAAATTCCTCGAAAAATGTAAGTAATTATTTTTTTAAATTTTATTAATATTCGTCAAAAGAATTCAATTATTTAAATATTCATTGATAAAAAATTCTTTGTGAGAATTCAATTGTAAGGAACATTTTAATGTTTCTTAAAGACGAAAACAAATAATTTAATGAATAATTTATTATTCAATAAATTATTTAAATGATTAAATTATTAATTTGAATTATTAAATTATTATATAAATAATTTCATGAATCAACATTAAATTTTAAATTGAAATACTCAATAGTTTTCTCAGAAAAAATTCTTAAAATATCGACTTTTTTCGGCTGTCTATAACTGAATGTAACCCCTTAAATTTGAAATTTTTGAAAATCTTAATTCCTATGGAAAAATATGTTACTATTTTGAAAAATATATTTTTTGCCCTTTTAATGAAATATTTTAATTAAAAATTTCTTCTTATTATATTAATTAAAATATATTAATATTTTTTAATTATATTAATTAATTAAAAAATTTTTTAAAAATTCTTTAATTTTTATTAAAGATGATTTTAAAAAGTAAGTACCCTTTCGTGAAGCAAAGCAAAGAATGAAGAGAAAGGGGAAGAATCGAGGGTAAGATAGGATAATGCGACGTAGTGGACATTAAAGTACAGTGAAAGTCTTTTCTATTCTTATGAAAAATTAATAAAACGTTTTCCACAGGACATCGGGTCTATTCGTATATGTGTAATAGTGTTAAAAAAACGTTTATATATATACATATATACCACCTTAGGTGATTTATATATATAATTATAAGCACTTATACATACCATATGCAAGTAATCATACAGCGATGAAATTTACTTTCCATTCTCTGTTATACATGAATTTTTTATAAAAAAAAAACCTTTCGATTCTAATGGTTCTCTTCTTATATGTCATACAGCAAAGTTGAGAGACTCAAAAGTCAATATATGCATATCGTATCCCTTTTGTTCGAACATTCACATTATTTATCAAGTCACATCAAGTCTAAAAAAAATCACGTATATTCTACCTTGTAAATTTTTTTAAAAATTATTTTACTGAACTAAAATAAATTTTTTCTGGATTTAAAAAGTAGAACGCATTGTTTTATCGTTAATTTTAATTATAAAACTCGAGGCAAAAAAAATTGCGATAAACCTTGCAAAAAAAACAGGCATTAATATTTCTGCGGTTTTTCGAAATTATTTCATCGTATTGTGGGAGGATTAACATTTACAACGATAAACAATGCATTAGAAGGGGGGATTGGAATCGAATGTGTTCGGTATAAAGCCCTGCGGAGTGGTCACACCGTTATATGTATAATCTCTTGAGCTACTTAGCTAATTAACTGGCGAATACATTCAATAATTCATTGTAAATAATTCCGCTGTTAGGCATCATATAGTGTAATGTTGGTGGTCTACCCCCACCTCTTTCTCTCTCTCTCTCTAAACTATTAACGGTCGAGTTTACCTTTGTGGTTGTGAGCGTGCCTTTAGCCGATTCTCGTGGTTAATCTTTACCCCTCAAGGGAGCATCTGAGGCCGGACAATCACGCCGTAATTGGACGAGAGGCACTCATCAGGTCCTCAAGAACCTTTCTTCAAAGTCTTTTTCCCGATGAACAAAATTCTATACACAATTATTTTCAATCATTGTTATAATCCAGAGCAGAAAGAAAAAGTCGTCATCTTAATTTTTGCTGGAAAAAAACAAGAGATTTTTAGGAGTAAAATATAGAAATAAATAGAAGTAACTGCAAATTTAACTACAGATGGTAAAGGTCAAAGTAATATATTTTAAAAAATACTTTTTTTATTATTGTTAATTTTATTAATACTTTTTTAAAAATTATTTTCAGAATTGAGGAACTTGAATACTTTGGGAAAAGGACGAAACAGAGTCAACGGATTTATTAGAAGTGATTTATCAATCACGGAAGCTATTATAAAAGATCTTCATACTAGATAATGAATAATTTAAAAAAATTTATAACCTATATACATATGGGTGATATTTAAAAAACTGTCATTTTTTAATGAGACGTTTTTCCGCTAAAGTAGTGAACCAAATTTGACATTCATTACATGTTTCAGTACATTTTTGTTATTCAGGATTGCCACAAAAATTTAATTTTGATTTTCCCTGATTTCCGGACAAAATTTTAACTTTTTCCCTAACCCAAAAGAATATTCTGATTTACTCTAAAAATTATTGGATACTCAAAAAAATGTTCTATATTACAATATTTAGATGAATTTCGCTTTTAATATTCGCAAATTATGTAATTTAAAATTTTAAGTAAAATTCATTATTTAATCCATTTTTATTAGAAAATTTTTTGAGAATTCAATTATTAAAATACAAATAAAATAATTTATTAAATAATACATATATGAATATTTCTTAAAAATTGAATTTTTATGAAGAATTGTATCAAAATTTTTAAAAATAATTTAATTCTTTCGGCAAATTTAAAAAAATTTAAGAATAAATGCAATTCTCTATCATTTTATTTAAAATTGTATAAAAAATAATTGAAATTCTGCTATAGCTTTTGTTATTTATGAAAATAATTTAATTCTTGCAACGAATTTCATTAACATTTTTTAAAGATTTGAATCCCTGCGAAGAATTTTATTTATAAAAATAATTTAATTCCGAAGAAAAATATTATTATTTATGAAAATAATTAGTTTCTTGTGAAGAATTTTATTCAATTTTTTAAAAATAATAATTAAATTTCTCAGAATTTTTTTAAGCTTTTTCAAAAAAAGTAAATTCTATCGAGAAATTTCATTAAAAATTAAAAATAATTAAAATCTGACAAAGAAATTTATTAATTTTTTTTAAATGATTGAATTCCTGGGAAAATTTTTATTTTTGAAAAGAATAATTGAATTCTTGGAAAGAATTTTATTAAAATTTCTTAAATAATTGAATTGCTTCGAAGAATTTTCTTTTTTAACGAAAATAATTGAATTGTTTCCAAGATTTTTACAAACAATTTTGACAATAATTATATTCCAAGAAAGAATGTTATATTTTACGAAAATAATTGTATTTTATGATCAATTCTATTACAAATTTTTGAAATTTATGAAGCATTTTATCAATTTTTTTTTTAAATAATTGAATTCTCGAGAAAAATTTTATTATTTATAAAAATAATTGATTTCTTGCGAAGAATTTTATTCAAATTTTTTAAAATAATTTAATTCCCATAAAAAATGTATTATTTGTGAAAATAATTGAATTTTAATGAAGAAAATTTGAAAATTTTATTAACTACAATCTTGTAAAGAATTTTGTCAACATTTTTTTAAATAATAGAATTTTGAAAAGAATTTTATTAAAATTTTTCATAATATTTGAATTTTTTGGAACTATTTTTTTTAATTCTCTGAATATAAGTATGGATTTGAATTTTTTTGAGAAATTTCATTGAAAAATTAGAAATAATTGAATTGGTTCGAAGAAATTTGTAAAAAAAATTGATAACTAATTGAATTTCTATGAAATTTTTATTAAAATTTTGTTTAAATAATTGAATTCTTTTGGAAAATGTTATTAAAATAGTAGATAATAAAAATAATTAAAATAATTTCTAAAAAATAGTTTTATCATAGTTTTTCAAGAATTAAGTTATATTTATGAAGAAATTATTTTCAGAAATAGAAGAATGTGAAGGTTTTTTTATTAGAATTCGTGGTAATTTCATAATTCACGAGGCAAACAAAAAAGACTCTAAAATTCTGAATGTTCTTATAAATTCTAAAAATTTAATTTTTTTCAGAACTTTTAATAAACATCCCTAACTTTCATATGATTTCCTTGGCTAATTCTAATTTCCCTGAATTCTCTGATTTACCTGACCTGTGGCAACCCTGTAATATTGAGAAAAAGTGATGGGATGAAAAAAGATAGTATTTGGCGAAGAGAGAAACAGATACAAAATTTAGGATTTTTAGGTTTTTCCAAATCGGTTTCGTGCAGATGTAATTAATCCGGAAGGCGAAGGTACCATTAAGGTTTATTACGACTGTAGTACAAATTTTTCGATGTATTATACTTTTATTGAAGAAAAGCAACTATTATTTTAAGGAATTAAATAAGTAATTTTTGCTATTTGCAATTTTAGGATCTTAAACTTTTTCATTTGTTACTTTTAAGGTTTGAACGTTTTATGAGTTTATATAGTTCTTCTTTTAACTTGAATTTCAAAAAAGTACAATTCACAAAACATCTTTAGATTTAATTCCTAAAAAGTATGCTGTAAGTCTGAACAACTGGAAGGAAGAAACTTATTGTGACTAGTGCGGATTTCGTTCAGTCATCAATTTAGAAAAGTTTTTTTAGAGATTTTTTTTTTTGAAGATTTATTGGATGATTCAAAAGTGGAATATCGAGGAAACATCAATGCTCGACTAAGGTACATGTATTTCACTTGTAGATAATATGGATATTTGTGCGAGTGTTGAAGCAAGAGCTTCAACTTTTTTTTGCCTATATTCGCGGATATAGCTCGAGGCTGTACTTATGCTTTTGCCAGCATGGCACAGGATTCAAGCTGCCGGTATGGGGTGTACTGGTCGTACATATTTGATGCGATTTTAATGTGTCTCTGACTAGTGCGCCTGCACTTCAACCGCATAGTAGAGTTTCTCTGTTGGCAATGTCTCGGTATATGGAGAGAAAGGGACTTGGACGTAACAACTACCATGATGTTCTAATCGGCTTACCCAACAAACCACCACACCCCTTACGTCAACGCCAAAGCTTTTCATTCTTCCACCTCTCGCAGCCCACCCATCCTTCCGCATCACAGAGAGTGAGTGTCTTAAGGATTCCCCTTCTCGTTTATGTATATGGAGAAAAAGGCCATATTACACATTTAAGGATATCAAAAAAATTTTTCCATCTCTAACCCCCTCTTCGGAAAGAGCCAGTACTTTATTAATATGGATAATGGGTTTGTTTAATATTCAAACGAATAGTCTTACTGCCAAATAGAACCCGTATGTAAATATGCTACTTTTTTTACTTCTAAATTCTACGCTAATATTTGCAAAATTTTCATTTAGGTTAAAAATTGATACTTTTTTATTATTATTGTTAATTTTATTAATACTTTTTTAAAAATTATTTTCAGAATTGAGGAACTGTTGAGGAACTTGAATACTTTGGGAAAAGGCGAAACAGAGACAACGGATCTATGAGAATAAGTGATTTCTCCATCACGGAAGCTATTAAAAGATCTTCATACTAGATGATGAATAATAATTTCAATAATTGATAAAAATATTATTGTAAAAAATGAAGAAATCAATTACTCCGAGTCGAAGACTCGGAGTGATATTTTATCATAATTAAGGATGACCGAGTGATAAAATCATTATTTTATATTATAATATAAGAATATTGTTACTATAACTCCTTCAAAATTATTTTCAATTCAATTATTATTTTCTTAAATTTTTAAATAAAATTCTTTTTTAAATCCATTATTTTTGATAATTTTCGAAAAAGTTCTTTGACAATTTTCAAATCTATTTGTTTACAATTCAATTTTACGAAATTTCAATTTATCCAAAATTCTTCAATTAAATTCAAAGATTTTAATTTGAAACTTTTACAAAATTCAAGTCTTTATATAAATTGAAATTATTAGTAACTTCTCCAAAATTCAGTTATTATCTAAAACTTTTACTGAAATTAATTTTTAAATCAATTTCTATTAGAAAGTTCTACGAGAATTCAATTATTTGAATAAAAACCGATAATTTATTAAATAATTGAATATTTCTTAAAATTGAATACTCATAAAGAATTTTATCAACAGATTTTTAAAAAATTGGATTCTTTCGACGAATTTTAATAAAATTTTTAAGAATAATTACATTTTTCGAGGAATTCGATTAAAATTTTATTAAAAAGTAATTGAAATTCTGTCAAAATTGCTTTTAAATTTCAAAAATTATAATAAAATTGATCATAGAATACAATTATTTTTGTAAAATATAACATTCTTCTTTGTATATAATTATTGGCAAGAATTGCTTGTTTATAAAAATCTTTCAAAATCATTCAATTATTTTCATAAATAAGAAAAGCTTATCGCAGAATTTAAATTATTTTCTATACAATTTTAAATAAAATGATAGAAAATTGCATTTATTCTTAAAATTTTCTTTTAAATTCGCCGAAAGAATTCAATTATTTTTAAAAATTTTGACAAAATTCTTCATAAAAATTCAATTTTAAGAAATATTCAATTATTTAATAAATTATTTATTTTTGTATTTAAATAATTGAATTCTCGAAAAATTTGAAATTATAATTTGAGTATTAAAAGCATTATAGCGTGAATTTTTAGAAACAATTGAAGTTTGAAAAAAGTTTAAAATTAAAATCTTTGAATTTATAGTTAAAATATTTTTATGATATATAATAATGATTTTATGACACGAAAAAAGCGATCACTCCGAGTCGAAGACTCGGTCGGTTTCTTCGTGTTTTATAATAATATTTTCATAAGTTATTGAATTTCAGAATAGGTTTGTTCTATTCGATAATCTTAATTCCTATGTCAAATTTGGTTCATTATTTTAGCGCAAAAACGTATTATTAAAAAAAATGACAGTTATTTGAAAATCACCCATATGTATTATAGGTTATAAATTTTTTTAAATTATTCATCATCTAGTATGAAGATCTTTTAATCTTCCGTGATTGATAAATCACTATTCTAATAAATCCGTTCTGTTTGTTTCGTCCTTTTCCCAAAGTATTCAAGTTCCTCAACAGTTCCTCAATTCTGAAAATAATTTTGAAAAAAGTATTAATAAAATTAACAATAATAAAAAAAAGTATCGTTTAAGCCTAAATGAAAATTTTTGCAAATATTAGCATAGAATTTAGAAGTAAAAAAAATGTTTAATTTATGCAAATATACTTGTGTTTATAATTAAATGACCCACCTTTGTCATGACGCCGCACGTTTATATAGATCACAAAGCAGGAAGAACAATTGCCGTAGGCCAGGATGTGCATTATTGGATAGAATTACATTAAACATAAACCCCTGCCATACGTAGGCAAATGATTTCACTTTTTTTTTATAATAACTCGAGTATCGAGTATTTTCAACCAATAAGCAGTAATATAAACATTAGTTTGTTTATTTTAACATAATTATTATTGATATTATCAATATTTTAATTTAAAAAGAAAAGAATACAATAATATTTTTTGAAAATAATAATATAAACTAAAAATATATAAATCAAATTCGTTATTTATAAAACATATATACAATCTCTTTTATCAATTTAAAACCCGGGAATTAAATAACATTTTTACACTCGATGTTAACTGAATAATTTTTTACCAGTCGATTCTGAGTTAACTTTCATTTTCTTAAGCGATTTTGGTGTTGAATCCGATGTCGATGTCCGTTTTCGGGACTGTAAATTTTAGAAAATTATTATTATTCCCCAATTTGAAATTTTTTGGTTAGTTTTGAATTTTTTTATAAATATTTACTATTTTTTTATTTTAGAAATTTTTATTTTTAAAAATAGAACTTTTTTTCGTTTTTGTAAATTTTACTTTTTCAAGAAAGAAATATAATTTTTTTTATTTTATTTACCATTCTCGTCGACGTTGACGGTGAAGATTCATCTTCGTCTTGAATTTTTTCAGCGTCCTTAACCGAGGGACTTATGTGTTCAAAAACAAATCTCCGCCCGTTTAATGGAGCACGAATCACCTTATCTTTTTCATCGATAATGGATGCTATTCTGGCCAGAGTCGCATCACCGCGAGCGAGGAATGAGCCACGTATTGGAAGCTGAAAAATAAAACAGATCGTAAGTTGAAAATTTGTTTTTTTACAGACCAAAAAAAAAATTACCGATTGCAAATTTTTTTTACCTTCGTCGATGGTGATTTATTAAGTATCGATTTTTCCAAAAGACTGGGAATAATACTCGGTGCCAATGGTTTCTTTGCCTTCGTAACTGCGATACTTTCACTCTCACTGGTGAGACTATCATTCTTGACGATTGTATTAACAACTTTCAATCCATATTTAAAAATTTCGCTATCATTAAAATCATCATTTGTATTATCATCAAGTGAATCGATATTTTGTTTTTGAAGAAATTTCTCCTTTTCATAGCGATGCTTACGCAGCTCCAATTCACTTTGCTCATCGAGAATGTCATCAACTAATTCACCATCGTTTGCCTGCGCTCCAGCAGTTTCACCCCATGTTAAATTGTCAATATTCTTCCAGCGAAATTTACGCTCACGACCCGCTCCATCAGTGTGGAGGTCGCCGTCCTCGAAGAGCATATCCTGCAATAGTCGCACTTCACGCTGATCGTCGTCCTGCACTTGTCGGGCGTGTATTTTACCCAATTGATTGCGAACTTGATCCTCGTCAAATTCATCATCGTCGCCCGCTTCTTTTTCCAATTTGTCCAAGTCCTTCTCGTCCTCATCCTCCGAGCCCCATTCACTTTCGCTCAATTCCGCCTCGGCGTCGAAGAATTTCTTCGCCACGTGTTGTCCGATTTCGCCTTTTGGAATTAGGACTTCGTTCTCTTCGGAGTCGTAGTCGACGATCGCTTCTTCCTCGTTCTCTATGTCGGATTCTTCTTCTTCTTCGTCTTCGTCTTCGCCTTCGCCTTCTTCTTCATCATCAGACAAAACTAATTTGGTGATTTTCTTTTTTTTCGCTTCCTCCTTTTCGTCATCATCATCATCCGAAAAAACGATACGTAGGATTTTTTTTCTCTCCTGTATTTTAGCGTTTTTCTCCGCGCTTTCTAATTTCGGACTTTTCGACGTCTCATCGAGTGTTAGTTTCATGTCCTGGGAATTGTCATCAATTTCAGAGGCGAAACTTCCGGAGCAAAGTTCCAAGAGTTGGGATTCGGTGACTTTTGGATTTGTCAGTGGATTCATTAGTGGTTTGATTAAAGACGATGAAGGTTGATCGTTAGCAGTTGAGGCAAAATTACCAGAGCATAGATCCATAAGTTCGTCATCATTGATGGAATTTGTAAGTGGTGTGGCGAATAATTTCTTTGGGAAATTTTCCTTTTGGGTTGAAGGTGATTCGACATTGCTGAGTAGTTCTGGGGACAATTGCTTTTGGAAAATTGACAATTGAGTTGTTGGTGTGATTAAATTTGAATGCTTTTGTGTTGATTGTGTTTGACTTTCTGAATCGTCGTCTTTCATGGGATTTAATTCAATTGGACTTGAAAAGTCGTCGTTGTCGTCGTCGCCGCCGCTCAAATCGTCAAACATATCGACGTCTGTTTTTGTCCGTTGGAATTTAGAGGTGATTTTTGGGGGATTTTTTGTTTCTTCTGAATCGGATTGATCGGAATCGTCTTGAAACGCGGTGGTGATGCGTCGTAGTTTCTTCGGTTGACTGTCGTTCTCGTTTTCTTCGTCAGAATTTTTTAAATCTTCTGCTTCTTCCTCATCGTCTCCTTTTTCTCCTTCCTCTTCTTCTTCTTTTTCTTTTTCTTCTGCCTCTATTTCTTCTGCTTCTTCTTCCTCCTCTTCTTTTTCCTCTTCGTCTTCTTCTTCATTTTCTTCTTCTTCTTCTTCTTTTTCTTCCTCCTCATCATCATCAAACCGATTCTCCTCGTCACTGACCTCAGCCTCATCGTCAGCAAACTCGAATTTTGACTTTTTCGTCTCCTTCAAGATGACATCATTCTCCTCGGGTTCACTCTCCGCACTCTCCTCGTCGTCAATTTCCCCCTTCTCATTATCTTTATCCTCGGGTTCCATTTCTTCATCGTCAAATTCCCCCTCGAACAATTTTGACGCCTCTTCCTCCTTTTGACGCCATTCCTCGTTTCTCTTGTTGAATATCTGCTGCTGCAATTGCTCACGTAGTTGATATAATTTCGCTCCTGGTTTATTTAACTCCGACTCCTCGGTTGGCTTCGAATTTGTATACGGAAGAATCTAAAAAAATTCAAGTTACTATTTTCATACTTAAGAATAAAATAATTGTCTCGTAGTTAAGTGGTCAACGTGCAGGTCTAGAATAAGTAGGGTCGTGGGTTCGATTCCCGCGATGGGTGTCAAGATATTTTTTATTATTACTACTAGCAAATATAGTTTAAATAATAGTTTAATAATTATATAGTTTAATAAATATTTAAATAGTAGTAATGATAGTAAAAAAATAATAAAAATAGTAAATTTTTAGTAATTTTAGTAAATTTTTCAAAAAATGTTTGCGCTTAAAAAAATAGAAATAAGAGGATTCTACTGTACCTGTTCGGTAATTTTCAAACCCTCGGGTGTTACTTCCGTGTGAATGATTTTAACATCCGAACTTTCCTCAATTTTGTGAGTGTTTGAATGGCGCATAAATCTGTCGACTAAATTTTTAACACCCTTGTGATCTTTCTCCTCAGATAATTCAATTGTCGTTCCTGTAGAAATCGAAAAAATTAATTGATATATATTTATTTCTAATTTAATAATAATCTATAATAATAATCGTTGTATTCCGGTAATTAATGAAATTCTAATTAATGCTTTAAAGTTTAAAAAATACCAAAAATTAATTAATTATTATTTTTTATGTATTTTATTTTATAATTTTGAATTTGAAATAATAATTGAATTTTTAAAATGTTTATCCAAATTTTTGGAAATAATTAAATTTCTTGAGAAAAAAATTAAGTTTCTTTTCTCTTTCATTTAAAATTTTGAATTTGAAATAATAATTGAATTTTTATAAAGAAATTTATCTTTTTTCAAAATAATAAAAATTTTTTGATTTTTTTAAAAATTATTAAAACTTTTTAAATTAAATGCCTGTGAAGAATTTGATTAATTATGAAAATAATTCAATTCTTATAAATAATTTTATCAAAATTTTTTAAAGTAATTAAATTTCTGTGAAAAATTTTATTAAAATTATTAAAAATTAAATTAAATTCTTGAGAAATATTTGATAAATTATGTAAATCATTGAAATCTTGCCAAGAATTTTAATTAAAATTTTCGAAAATATTTAAATTTTTTCGATGAATTTAATTAAAATTGTTTTGAAAATATTTCAATTCTCGTAAAGAATGAAATCAAAATTTTTCAAACTAATCATTAAATATTTGCGAAGAACATTATAATTAACATTTTTTTTAAATAACTGAATTCTTTTGCAAAATGTTATTATAATTATAAAAATAATTGAATCTTGGTAAGAATTTTATCAAAATTTTTGAAAATAATTGGAATTTTGTCAAGAATTTTATTAAAAATGTTTGAAAATAATTGAATTCTGGAGAAGAATTTTAATAATTATAAAGATAATTGAAATTATGACGAGAATTTGTTTTTAATTTTTGAAACATAATAAATTGAATTTTTGCAAAGAATTTTATTACTTTTGAAAATAATTGAATTTTTTCGAGGAATTTAATTAAAATTGTATTGCAAATATTTCAAATTCTCTTAAAGAATTTAATTAAAATTTTTCAAAATAGGAATTGAATTTTTGCGAAGAATTTTATCAAATTTTTTAAAAACAATTGAATTCTTTTGAGAAATTTTTTTTTTTTATAAAAAAATGTTTACAATTATTTTCAAAAACCTTTTGAAAAAGAGAAAGAAAATTCATTTCAACTATAGTTTAGAATTTAAGAAAAAAAAATACTAAATTCCCACCTGGCGATCCTTGTAGTGTTGGTGTAACATTAAGAAATCGGGACAAAAGTTCTTCTTTAATCAAATTTTTTTTAATAATTCTATCCTCCTCGCTTGGCGGCGGTAAACCGAGAACGTGTCCTCTTAAAATTACATCATCAAGTTCTTCATCTTCCGTTTTTTCTTTCTCAGCAATCGAAGAAGGAGAATCTAACAAAATCGAATCATCAACTAAATTGTCCTCAAAACCAGAATTCGAATCATTTAACGAATCATTCAACAAATTCGAATCAATCACAGTTTTTGAATTAGTCTCACAATTTGAATCAATTATTGATTTTGAATTAGTCTCACAATTTGAATCAATCTCCGATTTTGAATTAGTCGAAGTCTTTGAATTAGTTGAACAATTTCCTTGAATTGGGAGATTTTCATCAATTAAAATTGAATTTGAAGGACATGAATTTTCACTTGTTTGGGAATTTTTATTTTCCGAAATTTCATCGTCTTTCATTGAATTTTGTGATTTTAATTCAATCGGAATTTGTTTTCTTGGGAATTCAAGATCTTTGATATTTAATTCGGTGTCAAAGTCATTAACAGAAAATTGTAATTCAAAATCATTTGTATCAATTTCCATTGATTCTGAATTATTATCATTTGTATTTTTTATTTTCTCCTCATCGCCATCAGGTTTTTTAGAATTTTCCCCATTTTCCGTTTCGTTAGCGAATAATTTTCGTGTCACGTGAGAAATATTTTCATTGACATTGGATTTTGGTGAATTTTCTTCATTTTCATCGGAAGGAATTTCATTTTCTTTTTCATTATCATTTTCCATTTCAATAGCATTTATGTTTTCGTTTTCTTTACTTTTTTCGTTAAAATCAAAATTTTTTGTTTCTTCTGTTTTGTTGGTAAGGTTTAAATTTTTGTTGTTTTCGATATTTTCTGTTTCATTGTTTTCGAGTTGATTTTCATTCATTATGATTGAAGGGGGGAAAAGGTCACAATCCATTGGAGTGTTTTCGTTGATTTTCTCTGAATTTTCCATAGTTTCTTCGGTTTCATCCTCTGAATCGGAGGATTTGTAAAATTCCTCGGCTTCTTTTTCTTTTTCCTCGACGGCTTTTCTGATGAAAAAAAAACGAAAATTAATTAAATATTGAAAATTTTTTAATTTTAAATTGAATTAAAATTAAATTTTAATTTTTTAAAGTAAAACGTTAAATTAATTAAAAGTTTTTGATTTACAAAATTTTAAATGAATGTAAATAAAGAAAAAATAGATTTATTAATACAAATAATAAATTAAAATAAAATGAATATAAATAATAAAAAAAAAGGTTTGCAAATTTTTTTTCTGCATATAATTAACTTACATAATAATGTCATCGAACATTTTTACTTTTGCCGCCGTTGTCAATGTTTTTGGTAGAGCTGCAGTGATTTTTTTTCGATTAAGAAATTCTTGAAGGGTTCGTTGTTTCGGTCGATGATAGGGAAGAGAAATTTCCGATTCTCTCACTAGTCTTTGTGATTCGCTGTAAATTTGTTGCATCGCCGCATCTTTCGAGGCTCTCACTGTTCCCTAAAAGAATTACAGAATTACGAAAAAAAATATTTTAAAATTAAAACAGCATGAAATTTTATTTTGGTAAAAAAATAAATAAAACGAAAAATTGGAAAATATTTTCAATATTTGAATATATATTTTTTTTAAATTGAAATATTCAATAAACAAAGGTACAAAGAAATAAAAAAAATTAAATTAAAAGAAATATTTTGAATTTAAGTTATTTGCATTATTCGTTTTCAAAATATTTTTCAATTACCTTTTGATTTATATTAATTATTAAAATTTACACACAAACATTATTGATTAATTTATAGAAAAAATACCTTTCTCTTTTTTTCCTGTACTTTTTCTGCTTTATTTTCATGGTTTTCAGTCGAATATTCTTTGTTACTTGAATTGCCATCGGAGTCAGAATTATCGGAATCGATTAAATCTTTCCTTGCTTTTGAAACCTGCAATTTTTAAACAAATTTGATTATAAAAATACAAAATATTGAATTAATTTGAAAAATTTTGATAAAATTATTTATGAAAATTGAATTATTTTCATTATTAATCGAATTTTTCGCTGGAATTTAATTTAAAGAGTTTTAATGATCTTTTTCGCCAAAATTTACTTATTTTGAAAAATTTCAATAAAATTTCTCTAAAGAATTCAATTATTTTGAAAAATTTGATAAAATTCTTCGCCGAAATTCAATTATTTTAAAAAATTTTAATTAAATTCTTTACGAGAATTGAAATATTTTCAATACAATTTTAATTAAAATCCTGGCAAAAATCCAATTATTTTCAAAAATTTTAATAAAATTCTTCGCAGGAATTGAATTATTATTTGTAATACAATTTCAATCAAATTTTTCAAAAGAATTCAATTATTTTTACAAAATTGGATAAAATTCTTCTCAAAAATTTAATTATGTATTTTGAAAAATTTTGATTAAATTCTTTACGAGAATTGAAATATTTTCAATACAATTCTAATTAAATTCCTCGAAAAAATTCAATTATTTTTGAAAATTTTAATTAAATTCTTTATAAGAACAAAATTTAATTCTTTTCCTAAAGAATAAAATTGTTAACAGAATTTCAATTATTCTGAAAAATTTTGGTAAAATTTCTTAGAAAAATTAATTTATTTTGAATACAATTTGAATAAAATTTTTACCAAGATTTAAATTACTTTTACAACTAATATCAATTATTTTTATAATCAGTAACATTTCGCAAAAAAATTCTTTAAAAAAATATAATTATTATTTCAAATTCAAAATTATAAAACAATTTGATTTAATTAATTTTTGGTATTTTTTAAACTTGAAAGCATTAAATTAGAATTTCATTATTTTAAAAAAGTAATAAACTTTTTTGATTTTTAAGTCCGTTGATACTAGGTAAATAAAATTGAACTAAAAAAATAATAAATAAATTTTAAATAATAATAATTATAAAAAAATGCTAATAATAAAGAATAAATTAAGTAGAAATACCATAAAAAAATACCTTTTTCGAATTTTTGCTCTTCTTACTAAATTTTTCATCATTCTCATCGTCTGACGATTTTTTTGACTCACTTTCAGAATCAGAATCCAATAAAGACTTTTTTTTCTCCTTTATCACCTAGAAAAATAAAATTAAATTGAATTTTCTTAAAAAACAAATTTTTTTAATAAAAAAAAATAATTAAAATAACTATTTGACATAAAATAAAAAAAAGAAACAAATAAAAATACCTTTTTCGAATTTCTTCTCTTCTCACCGAATTTTTCATCATTCTCATCATCTGACGATTTTCTTGACCCACTTTCAGAATCAGAATCCAATAAAGACTTTTTTTTCTCCTTTATCACCTGGAAAAATAAAAAAATTAGATTTTCGTCAATTTTTTAATTAAAAAAAACAATTACAATTACTATTTGTCATAATTATTTAAAAAAAAACAAATAAAAATTATTTTTTTTTGCGCCCGTGAATTTGAATGAATAAATAAAATTCGAAGAAAAAACAAACTTACGGATTTTTTTTTCGCAATACTCTTACTCGAATTACTATCAACATCATCATCGGAATCGGAATCAAAAATTTTTGTTAATCTAGATTTCGATTTTATTTCTGAATTTGAATTTATTGACAATTCAGAGACAGAATTTGTCTCATCATTAGTCGACTTTTTCGAAATGAAAATATCATTATCATCCTCTGAATCGCTATCAATGAGGGTAAATCTTTTTCCACTCGTTTGCGACGATTTTCTATTTGATTTAAAATTTTGAAAATTATCATCATCTTCATCGTCATCGTCGTTGTCGTTATTTTTATTCAATTCAAGATGATTTTTTTCGTTTTCTTCAATTTTCTCATCGTTATTTTCTGTTTCTTGGGAATCCTTTGGATTCTTTTCAGAATCTTGTGAATTTTCTTCATTTTCTCGAATTTTCGACATACTTTCTTTCTCGTGGGATAATTTTGGTGGAGACAGTGAATTTTCTTTGCTTTCTTGAATTTTTCCGTTGTTTTCATTATCGTTGGATAATTTTGTTGTATCCTGTGAATTTTTATGAATATTTTCATTATTTTTATTTTCGTCGTTCAATTTTTGAGATTTCAATGAATTTTCTGGTATTTTTTCGTTAGTTTCATTTTCAGAGACTAAATTTGTTTCATCGTTCGTCGGCTTTTTTGAATTTATTTCTAGGCTTTCGCTAAAATTATCACTTTTAGGTGAATCTAATTTTTCACTGTTTTTCTTGCTGTTATTTTCTTCTTTATTCTTTTTTTCATTGCTTTCCGAACTGTGGGACAAAAAAAGTAATTATAATTATTTATTTTTTAATTCAATTATTTTCTAAAATTTTAATAAATATTCTTTGAAAAAATTCAATTATATTTATAAATAGTAAATTTTTTTTACAAATATTCAATTATTTTTAATACAATTTTAATAAAATTTCCTGAAAGAATTCAATTTTTTTTTAATTTTCAATAATATTTTTAGAAAAAATTCAATTATTTTCTAAAATTTTAATATATTCTTCGAAACAATTCAATTATTTTCCATAAAATTTCACGAAAGAATTCAATTTTTTTTTCTTAATCAATTTTTCAGAAGAATTCAATTAAGTATTTTCTAAAATTTTAATAAAATTCAATAATTACATGTTTTATTTCAATTATTAACAAACACGATTATTCTATAAAAACTTGAAAGAAATTATTCATAAAATTCAATTATTTTCAAAATTTTTAATTAAAATTATTAAAAAAAAAACACAATTATTTTTAAAAAATTCAAAGAAATTCTTTAAAAAGAATTTAATATTAGAATTTTTTTAAAATTTACCAAATTTCTTCTCGAGAATTCAATTATTTTCCTAAATAATAATATTCTTCGCAGGAATTCAATTATTATCGAATATTTTGATAAAATATTTAAATAGAAAAATTATTAAAAAATTTGTCTTCAAGAAACACAAAAAAAATAATAAAATTTTATAAATGATATGAATACAAAAATAAATAAATTCGACAGAAAAACAATTAATTAAATGCATAAATATAAATAAAAGAAAAAAATAATAAATACAGAAACAAATAAATAAAATTTACTGACCTTTCTTCCGATGGCAGTGAAACATCATTATTAGTATCCGAGAAATTCAACGTAATTTCATCAGTTTCGTCCTCAGATAATAACAAATTCTCACTTGTAGTTTCACTTTCAATTGAAGCAGTAACTGACGTCATTATTTTTTCTTTAAATAATAAAATAATTCAGAACTGTACGTTATTTAAAACTATTATTTTTTTGTTAAAACACTCCTAGTGGAATATAAACACGTCGAACACGTCTTTTTGTGACATGTCAAACAAAAAGAGAGGTTATGTTTCATGTTCTCGCGCCAAAAACACAGAAATGTTCAGATTTCGTCCATAACGCGACGCTAGTGTCGCGATCGCAACGCCAACTGCAATCGGTAATTTAAACTAAAATTAAAAAACTGATCCTGCGCCGCATAGTTTCTCGGTTTCTTGAAACGTTTGCTGTTTGCAATTTGTTTTTCTATTTTATCAAAAACGATATTTATTTTATTTTAATACAACGGTTTTTATATCTGAATGTTACAACATCACGTTGAGTGCTATTTTAATTAAAAATCTCATTGGAAGTCTATTTTTTTGTTTAAAATAATGACGAAAGGTAAGTTTTCTTGCGGTGTCAACATAACCTCTTTTCGGGGTTATGTTTCCATAGTTTCCACGAATAAATAAACAATTTTTATTTGTAAAAAACTATTTTTATATTAAATAATAATATTATATTACCCTCTTTCTTTATCTACTTCTTTCTGATAATTTAAGAATTAGCAATACATTTTTAACAAGTTCTTTTCTAAATTCTTTTCTTGATTTTCTTGCTCCGAAATTATTTTTGATATGAAATTTCAATTTTTTCTTTCTAATATTTTCAATTTAAATGAAATAAATTTGAATTCATATATGTTTTTTATAATATTATTTATAAACATATTTTTATTGTATTTAAAAAATTTTATTTACTCTTAATTTTAATATTATATTTTTTGAGTAACGTTTAAAATAAATTCTGTTTTCGAAAATAGTAAAGGACTGGAGGATATTAAATGCTTTTTTATTAAAAATTTTCTAGAAGAAGTTGTGGTTAAAAAATCGCCGGATAATAATGATGTTGAAAATAAAGGAGCAAATGACGCTGGATCTGATCCATCAGCACCGATAACACGAAGAGGAGTTTTAACTTCGTTTCTTTCGGGAAAACCAATGGAAATTCCCGAACAAGATGTTGTAAGTTTTCTTTTCATAGTATTTCATTTTTTTTTACATTTTTTAATCATTTTAAAAATTTAAAGTTCTTTAAATATTTTTTCTCTTTATATAAATATAAATTTTTAAATAATTTCATAATAAAAATTTAAAAATCACTTAATAAGTACAAAATTAATTATAATTATTTATATTTTCAAAAATTTTAATATAATTCTTGTCAAGAATTCAATTATTTTTATAAATAGTAAATTTTTTTGCAAAAATTCTACAATTTTTAACAAAATTTTAATAAAATTTCATGAAAGAATCCAATTATTTTCTAAAATTTTAATAAATCCTTCTAAACAATTCAATTATTTTTTAAAATAGTAAAATATTTTTCATACAATTCGAATAAATTAAATTATTTTCTAAAATCTTAATAAATCCTTCGAAGCAATTCAATTATTTTTATAAATAGTCAAATTCTTCGCAAAAATTCAATTATTTTCAATAGAATTTCACAAAAGAATTGAATTTTTTTCTTAATTCGTTTGTAAAATTTTTCAAAAGAATTCAATTATTTTCTAAAATTTTAATAAATTCTTCAAAAAAATCCAATTACATTTATAAATAGTAAAAATTTTTGCAAAAGTTCAATTATTTTTAATACAATTCGAATAAATTCAATTATTTTCTAAAATCTTAAAAAATCCTTTGAAACAATTCAATTATTTTTATAAATAGTAAAATTCTTCGCCAAAATTCAATTATTTTTATTAATAAAATTCTTTGTTGGAATTCAATTATTTTCAAAATAATTTTAATTAAATTCCTCGGAAAAATACAAAGATTTTCAAATATTTCCATATTCTTCAATTATTTCCTAAAATTTTAATAAATTCTTCGAAACATTTCCAACTATTTTTATAAATATTAAAATTCTTATTTGCAGGAATTAAATTACTTTTAATCCAATTTTAATAAAATTGCACGAAAGAATTCAATTATTTTCAAAAAATAATAAAATTCTTCTGATGAATTCAATTATTTTGAATATACTTCATTTTAAAAAAACTCTTTACAGAAATTCAGTTATTTTCGAAACAATTATTTAGTAATTTTTTTGTTTTTGTTTTTAAAGTTACATATTTTTAATTATTTTTTTTAGTTTTTGAAATAATTTTTCATTTTTTTCGTTATTTTTAGATTTTTAAAAATTACTTTTAGTTATTCTTTAATTTATTTTTCCTTTCTTTTATTATTTTTAAAAATTTTTGGTTTTAAAGTTATTTTTCTCTTCTTTAGTTATTTTATTAATTTATAAAGTTATTTTTATTTTATTAGTTTTTTTTTAGATTTTTTAACGTTATTTTTACTGTTTTTACTATATTTTAATTTTTTGTTTCTTCATTTCTTGTAGAAAATAAAAGATTAAGGTTTTTTAAAGGTTTTCATAAGTTACTTTAGTTTTTTGGATTATTTTTAGTATTTATACATTATTTTTGGTTATTTTTTAAATAAAAATTTTTTTTGTTTCCTTTTTTTCAAAAAAATTAATTAAATTTTATTTCACATATTGATATATTTTGTTAAATTTAATTAATCAAATGCAGAATAAAAAGTTTAAACAGAAAATGGAAGTTTTTATTTTTATAAATTTATATATTTTATTTGTTAATTAAATCTAGTAAAGTTTAAATTTTTTTTTAACAAAAACTGAAAACTTGTATAAAAATACAATTTAAATTTTTTTTTGTTAAAATTTGTGTAAAACTAAAGTTTTTTTATTTAATTAAATTTAGCAAATGAAATTGAGATTAAAAATTGAAATTAATTTCTTCCTTTATTGTTTCCTTAAAAATGAAAAAAACTCTTTTGAAATAAAAATTTCTTGAACGATTTATAAAGTAAGAAATATAAAATAAAAGAAAACTTTGCAATAAAAAATATTTGTTCAACACGTATTTTATTACATTTTATTACATTTATTATTATTTATTTCATTACAGCTGGGAAAATGCAGATTCGTCTCGGAGTTTGAGAAATTAAATCGAATTGGCGAGGGGACATATGGAATTGTTTATCGTGCTCGCGACACAAAAAGCGATAAAGTTGTTGCATTGAAAAAAGTACGAATGGAACATGAAAAAGATGGATTACCAGTTAGTGGCCTACGTGAAATAAGTGTATTATTGTCCTGTCGTCACGAGAATATTGTACATTTAAAGGAAGTTGTCGTTGGCAAAAGTCTCGAGAGTATATTTCTTGCAATGGAATATTGCGAACAGGATCTTGCGAGTCTATTGGATAATATGCAAGCGCCATTTTCCGAGAGTCAAGTTAAATGCATTATGCTACAAGTATTAAAAGGATTGAGATATTTACATCATAATTTTATTGTTCATCGTGATCTTAAGGTGTCAAATTTATTAATGACCGATAAGGGTTGCGTGAAAATTGCCGATTTTGGATTGGCACGTTGGTTTGGACTGCCGCACAAGGCAATGACGCCGCGTGTTGTTACACTTTGGTATCGTGCACCTGAATTATTATTGCAGGCAAAAACTCAGACAACGTCCGTTGATATGTGGGCAGCTGGTTGTATTTTAGGTAATGAATACTCTTCTTTATTTTAATCTTCTTTACTAGCAAATTATTATTTTCTAAATTAAAAAATTTTACATTTTCAATTTTTGAATGATTACTGATTCCAAATTTTAAAAAATCACTTATTAAATATTCTTGATTATTATTCAAGAATTTTTCATTATTCTCAGAAATAATATAATTCTTTAGAGCAATTCAATTATTTTCAATACAATTTTAATCAAATTTCTCGAAAGAATACAATTATTTTTAAGAATATTAATTAAACTAGCCAAACTATCCGCGCGCAAGCGCGCGGGAATGTTGTATGGGGCTGCTTATTTTAAACAATTTAAAAAATTTTAAAGAAATAATTATTATAACCTAACAAAGACATTTAACTAACTAAAATTCAAATAATTTCACTCAATGGTCTCAATTTAAATAGAATTTACATTACTAGACTTAAACTATAACTAGAACAATTACAATTAGTATCTGGGTCATCTTTTGCATTGCTTATTTTATAAAGCCATTTTAAATTAAATACTTTTTAAAGAAATAATAATTATTACACACTGAAAAAAGTTTTACTTGAAATAGCGATAAGTTTCTCTAGAATAACGAAAGTATTAATTGAAGCACTGAAAAATTTCGCTACTAAAGTGAAATCTGTAGTTCATCCAGCTAAATATTTTTTGCCGTGCATAACGAAAAAAGAATTAAATTAACACCAGATTTTCTACATTCAAAAAAAACGAATTCAAATAGAAATTAATCATTTTACAACTTAACCAAATTCACCCCAGAAATCACTGAATTCGATAATTTAGAAGAAAGTCAGACAAAAGCAGGGTTCCTACAGAATCTGGAAATCATGGAAATGGTATGGAATTTTTAAAAGGCTTTTGGAAAACAGGGAAATCATGGAAAAAGCCTGGAATTTTTAAAAGTTTCTAAATTTTTTCAGTTTTCCATTTTTTCTCTTGAATAAAAATTCAAATAATAATAAAGCTAAATGGTATAAAAGAGAAGAAAAAATGTTGAATTTGAAGAAATTCGATTTTTCGGATTTTTGATAATTATTAATAATTTTTGATTTTTTACCAAAGAGTCAAGACAATTTGATAAGTAAAATATTTTCCAAAAGCACAAAAATAATGAAGCTAAATCCCATAAAAGAGAGGAAGAAATGTTGAATTTTAAGAAAATCAGATTTTTGAATTTTTGATAATTTTAGATTTTTTACCAAAGAGTCGAGACAATTAAATAAGTAAAGTATTTTCCAAAAGCACAAAAATAATGAAGCTAAATCCCATAAAAGAAAGGAAGAAATGTTGAATTTTAAGAAAATCGGATTTTTGAATTTTTTCGAATTTTTGATAATTATAGATTTTTTACCAAAGAGTCGAGACAATTTAATGAGTAAAGTATTTTCCAAAAGCACAAAAATAATGAAGCTAAATCCCATAAAAGAGAGGAAGAAATGTTGAATTTTAAGAAAATCGGATTTTTGAATTTTTTCGAATTTTTGATAATTTTAGATTTTTTACCAAAGAGTCGAGACAATTAAATAAGTAAAGTATTTTCCAAAAGCACAAAAATAATGAAGCTAAATCCCATAAAAGAGAGGAAAAAATGTTGAATTTTAAGAAAATCGGATTTTTGAATTTTTTCGAATTTTTGATAATTTTAGATTTTTTACCAAAAAGTCAAGACAATTTAATGAGTAAAGTATTTTCCAAAAGCTCAAAAATAATGAAGCTTAATCCCATAAAAGAGAGGAAAAAATGTTGAATTTTAAGAAAATCGGATTTTTGAATTTTTTCGAATTTTTGATAATTTTAGATTTTTTACCAAAGAGTCGAGACAATTAAATAAGTAAAGTATTTTCCAAAAGCACAAAAATAATGAAGCTAAATCCCATAAAAGAGAGGAAGAAATGTTGAATTTTAAGAAAATCGGATTTTTGAATTTTTTCGAATTTTTGATAATTTTAGATTTTTTACCAAAGAGTCGAGACAATTAAATAAGTAAAGTATTTTCCAAAAGCACAAAAATAATAAAGCTAAATCCCATAAAAGAGAGGAAGAAATGTTGAATTTTAAGAAAATCAGATTTTTGAATTTTTTCGAATTTTTGATAATTATAGATTTTTTACCAAAGAGTCGAGACAATTCAATGAGTAAAGTATTTTCCAAAAGCACAAAAATAATAAAGCTAAATCCCATAAAAGAGAGGAAGAAATGTTGAATTTTAAGAAAATCAGATTTTTGAATTTTTTCGAATTTTTGATAATTATAGATTTTTTACCAAAGAGTCAAGACAATTTAATGAGTAAAGTATCTTCCAAAAGCACAAAAATAATGAAGCTAAATCCCATAAAAGAGAGGAAGAAATGTTGAATTTTAAGAAAATCAGATTTTTGAATTTTTTCGATTTTTTGATAATTATAGATTTTTTACCAAAGAGTCGAGACAATTCAATGAGTAAAGTATTTTCCAAAAGCACAAAAATAATGAAGCTAAATCCCATAAAAGAGAGGAAGAAATGTTGAATTTTAAGAAAATCAGATTTTGGAATTTTTTCGAATTTTTGATAATTATAGATTTTTTACCAAAGAGTCGAGACAATTCAATAAGTAAAGTATTTTCCAAAAGCACAAAAATAATAAAGCTAAATCCCATAAAAGAGAGGAAGAAATGTTGAATTTTAAGAAAATCAGATTTTTGAATTTTTTCGAATTTTTTATAATTATAGATTTTTTACCAAAGAGTCGAGACAATTTAATAAGTAAAGTAATTTTCAAAAGCACAAAAATAATGAAGCTAAATCCCATAAAAGAGAGGAAGAAATGTTGAATTTTAAAAAAATCGGATTTTTGAATTTTTTCGAATTTTTGATAATTTTAGATTTTTTTACCAAAGAGTCGAGACAATTAAATAAGTAAAGTATTTTCCAAAAGCACAAAAATAATAAAGCTAAATCCCATAAAAGAGAGGAAGAAATGTTGAATTTTAAGAAAATCGGATTTTTGAATTTTTTCGAATTTTTGATAATTATAGATTTTTTACCAAAGAGTCGAGACAATTAAATAAGTAAAGTATTTTCCAAAAGCACAAAAATAATGAAGCTATATCCCATTAAAGAGCGGAAGAAATGTTGAATTTTAAGAAAATCGGATTTTTGAATTTTTTCGAATTTTTTGATAATTTTAGATTTTTTACCAAAGAGTCGAGACAATTTAATAAGTAAAGTATTTTCCAAAAGCACAAAAATAATTAAGCTAAATCCCATTAAAGAGCGGAAGAAATGTTGAATTTTAAGAAAATCGGATTTTTGAATTTTTTCGAATTTTTGATAATTTTAGATTTTTTACCAAAGAGTCGAGACAATTCAATAAGTAAAGTATTTTCCAAAAGCACAAAAATAATGAAGCTAAATCCCATAAAAGAGAGGAAGAAATATTGAATTTTAAGAAAATTGGATTTTTGAATTTTTTCGAATTTTTGATAATTATAGATTTTTTACCAAAGAGTCGAGACAATTCAATGAGTAAAGTATTTTCCAAAAGCACAAAAATAATGAAGCTAAATCCCATAAAAGAGAGGAAGAAATGTTGAATTTTAAGAAAATCGGATTTTTGAATTTTTTCGAATTTTTGATAATTATAGATTTTTTACCAAAGAGTCGAGACAATTAAATAAGTAAAGTATTTTCCAAAAGCACAAAAATAATGAAGCTTAATCCCATAAAAGAGAGGAAAATATGTTAAATTTTAAGAAAATCGGATTTTTGAATTTTTTCGAATTTTTGATAATTTTAGATTTTTTACCAAAGAGTCGAGACAAGTAAATAAGTAAAGTATTTTCCAAAAGCACAAAAATAATGAAGCTAAATTCCATTAAAGAGCGGAAGAAATGTTGAAATTTAAGAAAATCGGATTTTTGAATTTTTTCGAATTTTTGATAATTATAGATTTTTTACCAAAGAGTCGAGACAATTCAATGAGTAAATTATTTTCCAAAAGCACAAAAATAATGAAGCTAAATCCCATTAAAGAGCGGAAGAAATGTTGAATTTTAAGAAAATCAGATTTTTGAATTTTTTCGAATTTTTGATAATTATAGATTTTTTACCATAGAGTCGAGACAATTAAATAAGTAAAGTATTTTCCAAAAGCACAAAAATAATGAAGCTAAATCCCATAAAAGAGAGGAAGAAATGTTGAATTTTAAGAAAATCGGATTTTTGAATTTTTTCGAATTTTTGATAATTATAGATTTTTTACCAAAGAGTCGAGACAATTAAATAAGTAAAGTATTTTCCAAAAGCACAAAAATAATGAAGCTATATCCCATTAAAGAGCGGAAGAAATGTTGAATTTTAAGAAAATCGGATTTTTGAATTTTTTCGAATTTTTTGATAATTTTAGATTTTTTACCAAAGAGTCGAGACAATTTAATAAGTAAAGTATTTTCCAAAAGCACAAAAATAATTAAGCTAAATCCCATTAAAGAGCGGAAGAAATGTTGAATTTTAAGAAAATCGGATTTTTGAATTTTTTCGAATTTTTGATAATTTTAGATTTTTTACCAAAGAGTCGAGACAATTTAATAAGTAAAGTATTTTCCAAAAGCACAAAAATAATGAAGCTAAATCCCATTAAAGAGCGGAAGAAATGTTGAATTTTAAGAAAATCGGATTTTTGAATTTTTGATAATTTTAGATTTTTTACCAATGAGTCGAGACAATTTAATAAGTAAAGTATTTTCCACATTAAAAAGTTTGACATTAAAAAGAATATAAAAAATGCCAATACTTAACCCACAAAATTTAATTTTCAAAACAAACAAATGAATGCAGATAATTTGCTAACGGAAAGGAAACTTACGATTATTGTAATGTATTTGATTTTATTCAAGAATTATAAATAAATTCAATTATTTTAACATCAATTTTGACGAAATTCTTTTAAAAGAATCATTATTTCCAAAAGTTTGAATAAAATTCAATTGTATTCTAAAAATTTAAATAAAATTCTTTGAAATAATTCAATTATGTTTATGAAATGTAAAATCGTCTGCAAGAATTCAATTATTTTTGTAAATAAGAAAATTTTTCGCAAGAATTAAAATATTTCCATAAATAATAAAATTCTTCAAAGAAATTCAATTACTTTTAATACAATTTTAATAAAATTTCTCAAAAGATATTTTTAAAAATATTATTTAAATTCAATTATTTTCAAGAGTTTTAATAAAAATTCAATTATTTTCAACAATTCTGATAAAATTCTTCGAAACAATTCAATTATTTTTATGAATTGAAAAATTCTTGGCAAGAATTCAATTATTTTTTGTAAATTATAAAATTCTTCTTAGAAATTCAATTATTTTCAATTTCAATACAATTTTGATAAAATTTTTAGGAAAAAATTCAATTTTATTCAAGATAATTTAAATAAAATGTCTCTAATAGGTTCAATTATTTTTCAAAATTGTAATAAAATTTTTCTAAACAATTCAATCGTCCTTAAAAGTTTTTAATAAAATTCTTCAGAAAATTTTAATTATTTTCAAAAATTTTAATTAAAATTATTTTCCAAAATTACAATATTTTTACGAAATTTAATTAAATTCTTCAAAAAAAAATGTAACTATTTACAAATTCTCTAATACAATTGTTTAAAAGAATTTAATTTTCTTTCAATAATTTTAATATAAATTAATAGGAAAATTGTTAATTACAATTAATAATAAACACGATTATTTTAAAAACTTAAAAAAAAATTTTCATAAAATTCTTGTCAAAATTTCAATTATATTTTCAAAACTTTTGATAACATTCTTTGTAAGAATTCACTTATTTTGAATACAATTTTAAAAAAATGTTTACCAAGATGTTTCTAATTTATTCATTTTTTAAAATAATTAAATAATTATCGTTTAACACTCAGTAAATTTTAGAGTTCTTTTCCAAATTTTTAATAACTGCAGAGCATTTAAAATTTTTTTGAGATCAATTAATTAATTTATAAAATTTTGTAGGTATTATTTAATTTAAAGAAAAGTTTTTTAAAGCATAAATGGAATAAATTTGAGTAAATTATTCCCTTTTATTAAGAATTTTTGTTATACAGTTATATTTATATTTATTTTTTTATTTTATTTAACAGTGGAGTGTTTTTGTTTTTTATGTAAAATATTTACGATATTTACTTTATTGAGTAAAATCATTTTTGATTTTATGATCGATTTTGAGGAATGGAAAGGGAAACCAATCATTATATATTATTTTTTTAATATTTTTGGTGGGTCGAACTAAATCAACCCTTTCGAGAAAAAAGTTACGTTAAGAATATTTTTGTTCATACTTAATGGGTTTTGATCTTGAGAATATATACCCTGATAGTGTCATCTCACTATCGAGAGAATAGAAAATTCGACACCTAGCGGCAACTAAAGGAAATAATTCTTTCCCGGCGGGTTTTTTTTAAACCAAAAATTCTCTTGTAAAATTTTCCTTTTCCTAAATCCCAAATTTTTAAATTTTAAATATTTAAATAAAAAAAAATTTCCTTTCATTGATTCACTTTTCAGAAAATTTTTATTTATTTCATGAAAGAGGCATAAATACTAATAATGTTTTTTTATAATTTTTCACTAAATTTTCTTAAATTCTATTCTCTTTAATTCTATTCCATTTTTAAAGATTTATTTGAAAATTTTAACTTTTGTTTATTAAATTTAATTAATTTTAATTGATTTTTAAAATTTTTCAGGTGAATTATTGGGACATCGGCCATTATTGCCGGGACGTTCGGAAATTGCCCAATTGGAATTGATTGTCGATTTACTTGGTACGCCGAGTGAAGCTATTTGGCCGGAATTCAATTCATTGCCGGCATTGCAAAATTTCACGTTAAAACAACAGCCGTACAATAATTTAAAGCAACGTTTTCCATGGCTAAGTGCCGCTGGTCTTAGGCTTCTTAATTTTCTTTTTATGTACGATCCAAAAAAGCGTGCGACTGCCGAGGAATGCCTACAAAGTAGTTACTTCAAGGAGGCTCCGTTGCGTAAGTTTTTCCTTTAAATTCGCTAATAGTTGTAATAAAAAATTTACCAACTGAATTCAATTAATTAAAAATTTTTTTTATAAAATTCTTTGCAAACATTCAATTATTTTCATAACTAATAAATTTTCACAGGAATTCAATTATTTAAAATACAATTTTTCGAAAAAAATCAATTATTTATAAATAATTTTATTAAATTCTTCGCAAGAATTCAATTATTTTTATAAATAATAAAATTCTTTTCTGAAATTCAATTAATTAAAAAAAATTTTATAAAATTCGTTGCAAAAATTCAATTATTTTCATGAATAATAAAATTCATCGGAAAAATTCAATTATTTCCAATACAATTTGAATTTGAAAATTGTGAAAAACTCTTTAGAAGAATTTAATTATTTGCAATACAATTTTAATTAAATTCCTCGTGCGAACTTAAAATTTCCTCCAAATAATTAAATTTGTAATTTTACAAATTTTTTAAAAAATTTTTATATTTATTATTTTCATCAATAATAAATTTTTACACGAATTAAATTATTTGACGAGCTTAATTTAAATTTAATGTCATTTATTTTTAATACAATTTTTAATGAATTTTTCAAAAAATGGAATTATTCTTGAAAATTTTATTAAAATTCTTCGAGAGAATCCAATTATTTTTGAAAAATTTTGATAAATCTTTTTATAAGATTTGAATTTTAAGAAATATGTATTTAATTATTCAAGAAATTTTTGTGTAAATATAAAAATAAAAATTTTTGTATTTAAATAATTGAAATCTTGTAGAACTTTCTAATAAGAATTGATTTAAAATTGTATTTTAGTTTAGATTTTAGATAATAATTGAATATTAAAAGCATTATAATGCTAATTTTTAGAAATAGTTTAATTTGAATAATTTTATTTAATTGAATTTTGCAAGAATTACAGTTGTAATTTTTAAAAATAGTTAAATTTAAAAAATGCCATTGATATTATTTCAAATATTTTAATTCCCATGGAAAAATTAATAGGTATTTAAATATTTATTTCTTTTTTTATAATTTAACATTTTGAATCAACTTTTTTTCGAAAATTTGAAAAACTAAAAAAATCTTTTTAATTTTTTTGTCTATAAAAATTTTTATTTTTTATTTGGCTTATTTTTTTTACTTGTTGCAATTTAATAAATAAATTTCTGTTTTTTTTTTTGCTCTCCTTTTTAGCTTGTGATCCGAAATTTATGCCAACATTTCCACAACATAGAAATATGAAGAAAACCTCTGCACCAAAGGAAACACGTGAACCAGAAACTGCAGTCAGTGATCAGACTAACAATCTACCAGCAATTTCAGATCTCGTAAGTTGACGATAATTTTTTTAAATTTAAATTTAAACATTTATTTAACAAAATTATTCAAGTTTTTGAATAATTGAATTTAGAAATCAGTGAAAGGACTGGACACACAATAAAATTTTTGGGACAACACTGAATTAAATAAACGACTGTTTTGATTTTTTTTTTTTTTGTATTTTCAATCGACTATCGCAATTGTTTTTTGACAACATATAAAAATACATCATTTTTAAATACATAAGAAAAATAATAAATTTTGGTATTAATGTTCTTCTTTTTCTTTTCAGCTTGGATCACTGGTGAAGAAGAGACGAGTAGAATAATTTAATTGCAGTAAATTTAGAAGTAAGCATTTTTTTTTTAAATAATTAATTTAGCAATTGCTTAAATTTAAGAAAAAAAAATACTATATAACTTGTATATATTCTATATATATATTTATAAAAACAATAATATATAGTCTATATATATTTTATATAAAATTGTAATTTACCTAATTTTTTTATGAGTTTTCTTATAATTATAAGAAATGTATTATTTAAATAATCAAAATTATGATGAAAGAAAAATGAGAAACGACAATTTATTTTTTTTCTTGTTTTTTTTATTATAAATACAAAATAAAACTTTTTATAAAAGTAAATATTCTTTTGTTGGAAAAAAAATATCTGATACATAAGTATTATTATTTCATTTTTAAATCAGGTTTTTGTTTGTTTTTTAAATAAAAAACGAAATTTTTTTGTTGTGAAAAAAAGAGTATTTTTTTGTTGTTTGCAAAATTTCCAAAGTTTTAGGCTTGCGTGGACTTATGTTGTTCGTAATTCTTTCTGTATTGACCCTTGGGATCGTATTTTGCAAGAAGACTGTTCCAATCACTTGGTCTGTGCGTTTTAAGATGTTTAATTACTTTTTCAGCGGTTGTTTTTTGTTTTTCGTTACATTTCAGGCAACTTGTGATCAAAGCGTCCGGTAGTGTTCCTGAAAAAAAGAGGATGGAAGAATAATAATTAGTTTCTTAAAAATTATTCTATTTTTACTAATTTAATATTAAGTGCTTTGAATAAAAAAAATTATAATATTTGATTATAATAATAACAATAATAATAATAACAACTTGTATTTTTGAAAAATTCTTAAAATTCAACTTCTGAAATTAGTTAAATTTTTTAAAATAAATTTAATTAATTATTAAAAATAATGTAAGAAGTTTAGTTAAAAATGCACAAAAAGAATTAAATTTTGGAGAAGTTGCAAATAATCGCAGAAATTTAATTATTTTCAAAAGAAATAAAATTCTTCGCTGAAATTCAATTATTTGTAAAAATTTTAATAAAATTATTGGCACAATTTCAATTATTTTTAAAATTCTTTATAAGAATTTACTTATTTTGAATACAATTTACGAGAATTGAAATATTTTCAATACAATTTTAATTAAATTCCTCGAACAAATTCAATTATTTTCAAAAGTAATAAAATTCTTAGCAGAAATTCAATTATTTTTAAAAATTTTAATATAATTCTTGGCAAAATTTCAATTGTTTTCAAAAATTCTCCTTGTTTGAATGATTTTTAAAATCTACTGTTTTAATAAAATTTTCCAAAAGAATTCAATTATTTGAAAATTATTTTGCTAAAATTCTACACAAACATTTAATTATTTTCGGAATTAATAAAAATTTCACAGGAATTCAATTAACAAATGTTTTTATAAAAATTTTTTCGCAATAATTCAATTCTTTTAATAAATAATAAAATTCTTTCTAGGAATTCAATTATTTTCATAAATAATAGAACTCATCACAGAATATCAATTATTTTCCTTACAATTTTAATCGAATTCCTCGAAAAATGTGATTATTCTTAAAACTTTTTATGAAAATTCTTCGAAAGAATTCAATTATTTAAAATTTTGTGAAAAAAATTCTTTAGGAGAATTCAATTTTAAGAAACATTCAATTATTCAATAAATTATAATTTTTGTATTTAAATAATTAAATTTTCATAGAATTTTCTATTAAAAATCCATTTCAGTTAAAATTTAAGATAATAATTGAATATTAGAAGAATCACAGCGTGAATTTTTAGAAATAATTGAATTTTAAAAAGGTTTCAAAAATCAAAATTTTTGAAAATTTGAATTTTTCATACTTTTAATTAACAATTATGCAGAATTATTTTTTTTTGAAAAAGTGGAATTCATAAATTATAAAAATTTCACAGATATTTAATTATTTACAAATTCTTTTATAAATTTTATCGCAAAAAATTAATTCTTTTTATAAATAAGAAAATTTTTACAAGGATTCAATTATTTTCATAAAAAATAAAACTCTTTTTCGGAATTCAATTATTTTCATAAATATTAAAGCTCATCGCAGAATTTCAATTATTTTTAATTCAATTTTAATGGAATTCCACGAAAAATGTTATTATTCTTAAAAATTTTATTAACATTCATCGAAAGAAATCAATTATTTTAAAAAATTTTGATAAATCTTTTTGAATTTTTAGAAATATTCAATTATTCAAGAAATTTTTTTTTATTGTATTTAAATAATTGAACTCTCGTAGAATTTTCTATGAAAAATTGATTTAAACATGAATTTCAGTTCAAATTTTAAATAATAATTTGAATATTAAAAGCATTATAACACGATTTTTATAAATAATTGAATTTCGAAAAGTTTTCATAATTAAAATCTTTAAAAACACGAGTTTTTCATACTTTTAACTATAATAATTCTGAAGAATTAATTTTTTTGAAAAAGTTTTAATCGTTTTAATCGAATTTTTATAAAATTATTTCAAGTTTTTATTCTCTATTTATTTAATTGGAGAATATATTGGATTAAAATATATTTAATTGGGGAAATTTTCCGAATAATCAAAATTTCGTAAAATTGAATAGTAAACAAATGAATTTAAAAAAATCTCAAAGAACTTTTTCAAAAATTATTAAAAAATAATTCATTTAATGAAGAATTTTATTTGAAAATTCTAGAAAATAATAATTGAATTAAAATGATGAAAATAATTGAATATGAAATTCAATCGTTTTAGTTTTTTTTTTTTTTTTTGGAATGTGTTCTTGTCTTGTAAACAATATAAAAAGACAGATAATTTTACTTAAATATAATAATATAAAATTTTAAAATTCATATTAATGCCTTTTGAGGTTGTTAATTTTCCAGGAAGTGCAATAAAATGAAATGATATTCGTGGCTTCTTGTTTACAACTTGTGGCCATTGTGTTTGACTTTCAAAAAGAGGAACAATATCACGGACTTTGTATACACATTTCTTTTGCACTTTGTTTTAACAGAGGTATGTAAAATTTTTTTTATATTTACACAATATTTATATTCATGCGCGAGGGGTGTTGAAAAATAATGAAAACGGTTAAATATGTTAACATTATTTTTTATTTTATTATTTATTATTAATAAAATAAAGACATTTACATTTAATATATTAAAATTATTAATATTGTTAAATATTTTTTTTTTTCATTAAGGACATTTGAACCATTCTGACGTTACGGTTTTAAAACACATGCTTTTCACACCCTATGACGTCATAACGGTTCAAATGTCTTTAAATTATTTACATAAAAATTAAATGTTTCAATTTTTTTTATAAAATAATTAAATCAAATATAAAAATAATATAACAAAAATATTATAAAAAAAATAATAATATCAATAGTAATAATTTAATTATTAATTTTATTTAATAAGTAATATTAATAATTTATAGACTTTTTTATTTAAATATTAATAATTTATAGTCTTTTTTATCTTTTTATTGATTAATTTAAATTATATTGAAAGTAGGTCGTATAACGAGTATTACATATGTATAAAAAGTAGAAAAAAAAAGGAAAATTTTTTTTTTTTTTTTTTTTTTTTTTAATTAAAATGCACAGTGTCTCTCGAATACTTTCCTAACGCGATTATTTAAATATATATAGACATTGATAATGATATATACACGTAATGCCGTCGTGTCGTTGTCGATGTGTTACAAACGAATTACAACTTGGAAATAAGATTACTCATAGTAAGAGTATGTGTATTCGACACCCAAACGAGAAAGTTCAAAGAAGTTTATTACGCAATCGTGAAAGTGTATTGAACCCCGTGTCCCAAGGAACCAAGCCAGAAAACATCTCTCGTAATCATGGGAACAAAAAAAAAAATTTTTCTTTTAAGAAAGAACTGTACAAGGCCCTTTTTATTTATACAGTTAAGTCCCATTTATTTATTTATTCTCAATGACCGAAAAAGATTTTTATTAACTAATAGTCATTGTTATTTACAGTAAAAAAATTTTATAAAAAATTTTATATTATTTTTTATAATTTTTTTATAAAAAATTCTTTTTCACTTTATTTTTTATTTAAATTTATTTATTTCAAAATGATGCGGTTTTTCATTTTTTTCTTATAAATTCCCTTCGAAATTTTTAGAAAAATGAAAAAAAATGTTTTTTTTTTAAATTTAATCATTATTAATGATTAAATATTATTATTTTTATTATCGCTTTTATTATTTTTGTTATTATTATTAAATAAAAAAATTTTATCCGTTTTCTTTGGAAGATGTGTAAAAAAATGATTATTATTTATGTTATTTTTATCTTCAGTTTTTTTGAATTTCTTTTAATTATTATTATTGTTTTAAATAACAAATTTTTTTTTTTCGGAGCGAAAATCACGCGCGGAAAATTTATTCTTTTATTAATACTACAATTATTATTAATGTTATAAATTATTTATTATTCTTTTATTATTTTACCAAAAAATGTTCTTCTTTCTTCAAAGGAAAAATTTTCTTCAGTTAAAAAATCGCGTGTGGAAAATAAAAAAAAAATTAAATTGTGAAAAAGAATATTTAATATAAAAAAATAGAGAAAAAAAATTGTCAATAAATGAAGTAAAATGAAATAAATTACAAAACAAATAAAAAATTTTTTTTTTAATTTAAAAAAAAAGTTTTTTTTTAAAAAAACTTTTTTAAAAAAATTTTCTTTTTAATTAACATAATTGTAAATAATTGTAAAAAAAAATTGCTTACTTTTGAGTTCACGACCCTCCGGTGTACAAGTTCCAGTTTCTAATATACATTTAATGTAACTCGAGAGAATTCGATTATTTTGAAGAATTCTGTCGACATCCACATTGTCATATTTTGAGCTGTATTTTGTATCGGCAAATACCATCGATACCACCAATAATAACACAATTACTGACTTCATAATTGTCAGGAATGAAAAATCCCTTTTTTTAAAAAAACCAAAAACAAAAAATCGATTTTTTTTTTAATTCTTTTTTTTTAAAGGAAAACCAAATTTTCTTCTTGACTCTATATTTATGAGAGGTTTTATTATTTTGTAATGTTGAGCACACAGCCGAACTTGAGAAACTAACGAGTCAGCAAACTGTAGGCTTTCTTTTATATATATGCCATAGTGGAGCAGGAACTTTAAAAAAAAGAAGAAGAAGAAGAAGAAAAATATTGGTGGGGTTTTTTTTTATTTACAAAGAAGTATAATACGCCGAACTTTGTCTCGCATATATAATTAAGTTTTTTTTCACTAAATATGTATACAAAAATATTTTTCTTCTTTTTCTTTTTTTTTTGTTCAAAGAATCAATTTTTTTTCTTGGTAAAACTCCCAAGGATTTGTTAATATTTGACGTGGAAAAAAAGACGCTTTTTACGCGCTTTCTTCGCGTGCGCGCATTGAAATCATTCTTGTGAAGAAATATATATATATATATATGTTTATGCACTAATGTAGGAATAAAAAATTGTGATTCTTATTATTTTGTCGCGCGAAAATTCTTGTGTAACATTATTATTATTAAACGCAATTTTGAAAATTGATTGTTTTAATATTTTTTTTTTATTAAATTATATTTTTATAAAATAAAGTTTAGAAAAAAAAATAAAAAAATTTTTCTTTTTATTAAATAAATAAATAAATTAGTAAATTACTAAATAAGAAAATAGATAAATAAATAATAAACATCAAATAATAAAATAAAATTTAAAAAAATAATTACGAGTTGAAAATAAATAGTAATTTGTTTATAATAATTTATTTATTTTTATTTGTTTTATTTACATATATTTAAACAAGCTTGTAAATTTAAAAAAAAAATTTAATGTCTTTTCGTACCAAATATATACTAAATAATTAATAATAAAGTAAAAAAATTAACAAAAGAAATTATTTTTGAATTCGATTATTTATAATCTAATATTAATAATTAAATAACTAAATAATTAATAATATAATAATTATTATACTTCATTATGATTAAAAAATTTATTTATAATAATTAAAAAATTAGTAATAATCTATTTGTTTATAATAAATAAACAATTACTAGCAAATTATTTACATTTATTTATTTGCATATTGAAACGAATTAATAAAAAATTAAAAAATTCTCCTTCATACCAATAGAATACTAAATTAATATATTAAATAATTAATAATTAATAATAATAAAAAAAAAATTAAAAAAACAAATAAAATAAACGCATTGAAATCACAAATTGTATCTGAAAAACTAATGAAAAATAAAGAAGAAAAAAAAATTATAAGTCTTACGAAACTTTGAAACCTATTATGTTTATGTCTTTGCGTTTACATATACTTATAGGCCGGTGAGTTATAGTAGCGCATATTTTAAACATAAAAGGACTTGCTTTAAGAATTTTAATGTATATGTATTCTGATCTTCTTTTTTTTTACACAAGTGACCAGTGCGTGTATATTAAAAGTTGAAACGAAAAATATTCTTTGTAGGTATTTGCTTTGGAAAAAAAATTTTTTTTTTTTATTTAAAATTTTTAAAAAATACTTGTTTTTGATATTCATGAAATTGAAAAGAGAGCATGGAATAAAAAAAAAAAGGTTTTTTTAACTCTTTTCAAAAAGAAAAATACTAAAAAAAACTTTCAGCTTTTAATAAAAATGAAATTGAAATTATTCGTCTTTTAAAAATAAATTTAAAAATTTTTTCATAATTTTTTACTAATATTAATTTATTTTTAATAATTTGTCTCGTTTTTACTATAAAATTTTGTTTTTAATTTTTCCCACAAAAAAATAATTAGTTATTATTACTATTATTATTAAGTTCGTGCTTTTTTAATAGTAGGTACAATTATTAGTTATTTTTTAATAATAAATTTTATTTTGCCAAAAATTAGTTAAATATTCTCTTTTTTAGTTTTTAGTAATATTAGTAATTTTTTAATTAGTATTTTTTTTAATGATTAGTATTTTTTTATTAATAATTAGTAATTTTTTTCAAATAAAAATTAGTGATTTTTTAAAAATAAAAATTAGTGATTTTTTAAAAATAAAAATTAGTTAATAAGAATTGAAACATAAATTAAAACTATGAAAAAATGGGGGATGATTGACAATTGTTTCGTGAATAATTTCGGGAAAATTAAAAAATTAGTTTTTTTTTACTAAATAGTAATTTTTAATCAATTGGTTGCTTTTCATTGGAAAATATTTTTCCTACTAATAATTGATTACTTTTTTAATTAATAAAATTAGTCATTTTTTTGCTAATATTATTTTCATTTTTACTAATCATTAGTTAACATTTTTAGATTTTTACTAATAATTCGTTTTTTCTTATAAGTAATTACTTTTGTTTTATTAGTAATAATTGCTAATTTTTTTGCAAATATTAGTTTATTTTCTACCTAATTAGTAATTTTGTTACTAACAAACTCATTCATTTCTCTAAATTATTAGTTATTTTATTTTTACTAAATAATTAGTTATATTTTACTAAATATTAAAACAAAATGTGAACCAAAACATTTTGCAAACAATTATTTATATTTTTAACTAATTCAGATTTAAGGAAATAAATATTAACATAAAGCGCATTAATAAATTAAGTATATTCATTAAATTTATTATCATTATTATTATTATTATTTTTTTTTTTATTGTAGGAAAGGAATTTATCATTTAGTATTTATTTTTGTTTCTTGACTTTTTTAAAATAAAAAAGTATTTTGTGCCTTCTTGTCGTGAAAAAAAATTATGTACCTACGTAAAAATAATGTAATTATTATAATTATAATAATTTTTTTTTGTAATTATTATAATATTATTATTGTAATTATGTTCAATTTGATTATTTTTAAATATTAATAATAATATTATTAAACTTTTTTATTTACGAAAAAGAATAAGTCAAAAATGATAATTAATGGGGAAAAGGATTTGCCTCTGTAAATAAAACTTTTAACAATATTTTTTTAATCTTTTACTGTTTAAACTAAGCGGCTTAAATTTTTTTTTTATTTATTTATTTATTCTGCTCACGCACTCGGAGAAAAATAAAACCATTTCTATATATTATGTAGTTATAAATGATTCAGGCATGAAAGTGTTCTATTATTTTTTTAGTCTGGCAGCAATTATTTTAAGTACTTTTGTACGAAAGGGTTTATTTGAAACCCGTTTATGTTCAAATAAATAAATAAATAAATAAATTTTCTTTTTTTTTAAAATAATAACGTACTGAATGAAATAATTTATTATTTATCTTATTCTCTAGTGAGATAAATAAAAATTAATATATAATAAAATAAAATTGTCCTATTGTTTTTTTATTCTGTCAGCAATTATTATTATTTTTTTTTTTTTTGAAAATAATAAAATAAAATATTAAAGAAATGAAACGAAAATAATAAAATAAAATATTAAAGAAATGAAACGAAAATAATAAAATAAAATATTAATGAAATTACTCAATGAAAATTATAATTAATTTTTAATTAGTAATTTAATTTTCAAAATATTACAACAACAAAAATCCCTTTTTTCTTCCCTGAGATGTAATTTATTCTACCCCCTCCCTTTTTTCAAGTATTCACGTTAGAATAAATTTAAGTTTATGTATAAAATTCAAAATTGGATTTTCCAATGAATCATGTAGATTATCATAACTATATGTATGAACGTATATATAAAACAAATTTGTTTCATTATAATATATATAGGTGGAATATTATGTATTCCGAAACAGAAAACCTATAAGACGTGCACGTAAATGGAGAAAGTGATTTGGGGACAAGAAGAAGCGATTACGGTTCTCCCGGTTTATGAATTTTTTTTTATTTTTTTAATTCAAGTCCTTATGGGACTTGTTCTGTGTATTTTATTGCTTTCGTAACTTTTGGTCGAAGGATAAGGAACCTATATCTATATAGAAAAATCCCCATTTTAAAAGGTGATTACTTATCGTTAGGATAAGGACCTAAAAATCACCTTTTAAAAGTATTATCTTTATTCTTTAAAATAAATCTTTTACTATATAAAACTTTTTTATATACTTGAATATTTTTTTAAATTTTTGTAAATTTACAAAATTTTTTTTTACATTTTTGTAAAAAAATTTTACAAAATTTTTTTCTTACATTTTTGTAAAATTAACTTTTATTTTAACTTTTTGATTTCTTTCTTTTTTTTACATTTTTTATTTTTTCCTTTTTAATAACATTTTTTATTTATTTCTTCTTGTTTTCTTTTTGTTCTTTTTTATTTTAAATTGATTGAATAAATAATTTTAATTGAAAATTTTGAAAGCAATTGAATTTTATAGAAGAATTTTATTAAAAATTGTTTTTAAAAGAATTGAATTTCTGCAAAGAATTTTACTTTTTATAAAAAATAATAATTGAATTATTGCGAAGAATTTTACTATATTCATAAAAATAATTGAAATATTTTGAAAAATTTAGTAAAATTTTCGAAAATAATTGAATTGTTTTGAAGAATGTTATAGAAATATTTGAAAATAATTAAATTCTTTCGAGAAATTTAATTAAAGTTGTATCGAAAATAATTGAATTTTTGAAAAGAATTTTATTGAAATTAAGTATCTACATGTATTCAAAATAATTGAATTCATCAGAAGAATTTTATTAGTTTTTGAAAATAATTGAATTCTTTAGATTTTTTTGACAAATATATTTAAAAATTGCATTGAAACTTTGAAAGTAATTTAATTTTCATATAGAATTTTTTTTAAAATTTTGAGAATAATTGAATTATTTTTAGACAATTTTAAATTCTTGTTTATGGAAATTTTTGAAAATAATTAAATTCTTTCGTGTAATTTTATTTAAATTGCATTAAAAATAATTTAATTCTTGCAAAAAATTTTAGTATTTATAAAAATAGTTGAAGTTATTTCGAAGAATTCATTAAAATTTTAGAAAATAATTGAATTTTATGAAAATATTTTTAAAAATTTGAATTCCTCCGAGAAATTCAATTAAAATTGTTTTGAAAATAATTGAATTCCTGCAAAGAATTTCGCTATTTATAAAAATAATTGAATTGTTTCGAACGATTTATTAAAATTGTAGAAAATAATAATTGAATTCTTTTGAAAAATTTTATAACGAATTAAAAAAAAATTTGAATTTTTTTCGTGGAATTTTATTGAAAATAATTTAATTTTTGCAAAGATTTTACTGTTTAAAAAAATAATTGAATTCTTCAGAAGGATTTATTCAAATTTTATAAAATAATTGAATTCTTTCGTGAAAATTTTATTAATTATTATTAATAATTGAATTCTTGCTAAGAAATTAAGAATTATATTAAAATTTTTATAAATATAAACAATAATAATTAATTTTGTACTTAATAAGTGAATTTTTAAAATTTTTTAAATTTTGAAAAATGTACAAAAAGTTATTAGAAATTTAAAATACAAATTTTTTTTACTAATTTTCAATTTAATGTAAAAATAATAATTTAACACAATAATAATTTAATAAACACATTTTTATTTTCGAGATATGTATATATTTTTATTACAACACGTAATAACTTAATTTTTCTTATTAAAAAAAAAACACACATTGTAATTTTTTTTTCGTAGTTATCACATTGAAACTTTGTTCCGATAAAACATAGCCACCCTTTATCATTACATTCATTTAAAAATTTTTCATTTTTGCTCTCACTCATTTTTCACATACTATGTTTTAAGTAACGAAGAAGAGGGAGATTTTTTACTTAAAAAAAAAAAGAAAAAAAAACATCGATTTACTTATAAACTATTTACAAGATTTTTTTTTTGTTTTCATTTTCTTTTTTGAGCACAAAAACATAATTCTTTTTTTATACAAACTTTGTGCCTTTTTAAAAAATCGTACTCGTTAATTATATTTAAAATCATGGAAAACTATATACAATATCTGACTTGGTAATCATTATTATTTTTTTTTCCTTACGTAAATTGAATTTTAATATTTATCACATTCTTTTTCTTTCAAATCGGTTTAAAAATTAGCTAACTATACAAAAGTTCTATTGAACTTGGTTTTAATTTTCCTTTTTTTTGTTTTTAAACTAATATCAAAATCACTAGAGTTACTATTTGTTTTTTTATAACTACTTTTTTTAGGGAATAAAATCATTGCTGAAATTTTTTCAAAAATTCCTCTCATTTGCGATATTTCCCGATTTTGGAATTTTCTTTTTTAAATTGAATTTTTAGACGTTTTTTAAATATTTTTTAATTACTTTTTTTTTTGTAATTTTTCTACAAAATTTTTATTTCTTGATTTCTGAAAATTCTTCTACATTTTTATTAATTTTTCGAAGAATATAGAAAAATTCTTCTGCGAGTTATTTATTATTTTTCGTCATTTTTTGTCGATTTTCTATAATTTTTTTCGTTAAAATTTCAAAAATGATATTATTTTAATCGGACATGAAGTTTCATTAATAAAAAAAAACAAGACGTCAATATTTTACATTATACAAAGCGCATGAAGACGAAAAAAGATCGCGTGAAATTTTTAATTAAAATCCTATTTAAATATTTAATTTTTGAAAAAAAGTTAAATAATTTTTGTATTTTTTGGTTTTCCAATTTTTTCTTCCAAAAAATCTGTACACAATATCACTGTTTCTCTCTCTCTCTCTCTCTCTCTCTCTCTCTCTCTCTCTCTCTCTCTGTTTGTTTCTTATAAGTTTATTTATAAGTCAGTCCATTCATTTAGAAAAAAACGAAAATTTCCAAACTTCCGGTACTTTCTAGCGTAAAACTTTCACTCGTTTTTTTTTGTGTTTTATTATTAACATACTATTATTATTGTGGTCATTGTTTTCTTAAAGCATCGATATTTGAAAAAAAGAATTAAAAAAACACTTATTAGTAACAGTATAAAATTTTTCCCTTCGTTTTCAAAATGCCAGCGAAAGGGAAAATTTATTATATTTCGCACAAGTTAATAAAAAATGTTAAAATAATTTTTTTCCGAATTTTTATATTTATTTTTTAAAAATTGAGGAAAAGAGCTTTAAAAACTGAATTGAAAAAAAATTAAAATCGAAAAAAATGTAAATCATTGTAATTCAGTTTTTTTGTATAAATAAATTAGAAAATTCTATTTATTTTAATTGTGTGAAATATGACATTGTCTAATTTTTTATATTAAAACAAAAATTCTGCCCAGAGATAAAATTTTTAAATTCCTATGATTTATCGAGTATATCTATAATTTCTAAATTTCACGAGAAAAAAGACGGAAGGAGAGTAGAAAATCTAAATTCTTTTACGAATTTTCGACGATTATTTAAATTATATTTTTAAACCAATAATTAGACATAAGAAAATTAGAATTCGAATATTTTCTTACTTTTTTTAAATATAAATTTCTTGGTCCGTAAAAAAGCTTTTTTTTTAATGTTTCGCTAACAAAAAATTTTAAATATTTTTATCTTCACTTTCATTTTATGAAACGAATTAGAAAAATAGAATTTATCCAAATTTTTTAAATTTATATTTTAAAGCAACAGTAATTTTAGTTTTACTAAAACTTTTCTCAAAAAACAAAAATAAAATTTGTTTTCTAAAATTTTGTTTTAGTATCTACTGAAAACTTTTAACTAAAAATATTTTGGAATTTGTAACATGTCTTTAATTATGCGTATTTATAGTAAACAAATATACGAATATTTAAATAATTAAAAAAAAAAATAAAACAAAAAACGTAAAATATTCTTTACGTTAAACTGATAGTCATTGTCAAATAAGAAGAGAAATTTTTTTTTTTCTAAATATTATGCAGCAAAAAGAGTCTGGTATTATTTAGTATAGTTAAAAAAATGATTCCATTCATTTTATAAAAAAAAAAAAAATGAAAAAAATGAATGGGTGAGAAAAGGATACAATATTATTTATAGATTTATGAAAATTGGAGTGATCAGTCTATTTATTGGTGGTCCATCCTCTCCAGATGGAGGCGATGCTGGCAGCGGCACTCGTCACAAGTCCGCCCGCAACACTTTGATTTACTTGCATACTTGACGATTGTTGGCTGGCCATTGAACCCGGAATAGGTACCACCATCTCGGGACATGCGACATTTGGTACCTTAAAGTGTTTTTCAAATATATTATGAAAAAATAATAATATAAAAATTTTTTTTTTAAATATTTCAATTATTTCGAAGAATTTTAATATAAAATTTTCAAGAATAATATGTGACTGTCCGCGACAAAAGGGACCTTAGCTCCATGTAAATACATGGGAGCTAAGGTCCCTTTTGTCGCGGACAGTCACATATTTCATTTTTCGAAGAATTTATTTAAAATTGAATAAAAAATAATTGAAATTAAATTAATGTCAAATTAAAAAAAAATAATTGAATTCCTGAAAAGAATTTTGTTATTTATAAAAATAATTGAATTCTTACGAAGAATTTTATAAAAATCTTCTTAAATAATTGATTTTTTTCGAAAAATTTTACAAAAATTATATTTTAAATAATTGAATTCCTGTGAAAATTTATTATTTATAAAAATAATAAATAGAAATAAAAAAAAATATAAAATTTGTAAAAAGATATATTCTATTATTTGGAGAAAATTTTAAGTTTGTACAAAGAATTTTTTGAAAATAATTGAATTGTTACGAAGAATTTCAATAAAACTTTTGAAAATATAATTAAATTCTTTCAAGAATTTTATTAAAAATGTCTTGAAAATAATTATTAAATTCTAATAACCAAATTATATCCAAATTTTTTTAAATAATTGAATTCTTTCGACGAATTTAAATAAAATTTTTCAAGAATAATTCCATTTTTCGAGGAATTCGATTAAAATTGCATTAAAAATAGTTGAAATTCTGCGATAAGTATTGATATTTATGATAATAATTGAATTTCTAAAAAGAATTTTATTATTTCTGTAAATAATTAAATATTAAAAGATATTGAAAATAAAAAATTTAAATAATTTTAAAAAAAAATTCAATTCCATTTTTGAAACAAAATTAATTCTCAAGAATTTTTAGTTAAAAGTATAAATAATTCAAATTTTCAAAGATTTTAATTTGAAAACTTCTCGGAATTCAATTATTTCTAAAATTTCACGCTATAATGCTATTAATTTTCAATTATTGTCTAAAATTTTAACTGAAATTCAATTTTTAAATCAATTTTTAATAGAAAATTCCGGGAAAGAATTCCGGGAAAGAATTATTTCCTTTCGTTGGCGCTAGGTGTCGAATTTTCTATTCTCCCGATAGTGAGATGACTCTATAAGGTTATATATTCTCAAGATCAAACTCCTCAAGTATGAACAAAATTATTCTTAACGTAACTTTTTTCTCGAAAGGGTTGATTTAGTTCGACCCACCAAAAATATTCAAAAAATAATATATAATGATTGGTTTCCCTTTCCATTCATTTCCTCAAAATCGATCATAAAAATTTGGAAAAGAACTCTAAAATTTACTGTTATTATTAAAACGATAATTGTTTTGTATATTATTTTAAAAAAATGAATAAATTAGAAAATGAAAACTTGAAATAATTTATAAACAAATTCAATTAAGCTTTTTAAAAAAAAATAAATTCTACAGAATTCTTAGTTAAAAGTATGAAAAATTCAGGTTTTTAAAGTTTTTAATATAAAAAATCTTGAAATTCAATTATTTTTAAAACTTCGTGTTATTATGCTTTTAATATTCAATTATTCTCTAAAATTAGAATTAAAATTCACGTTGAAATCAATTTTTAATCAAAAATTCTATGAGAATTCAATTATTTAAATACAAAAATAAATAATTGAATATTTCTTAAAATTCAAATCTAATAAAAAGATTTATCAAAATTATTATTTTTCAAAAATCTAAGTTCTTTAAAATTTCTAATTAAATTTATTCAAAATTGAAGGAAATAGTAATTTTATTGAATTTCAAATTGAAACCTTTTGAAGTTCATCTATTTATAAAAATTGTAAACGCAACTCTTTTGAAATCCAATTAATTTTGAAATATTTAATAAATATTCATTAAATAATTTTTAAGTAATAATTTTATGATAGTTCTTCAAGAATTAAGTTATTTAAAAAGAAATTATTTTCAGAAATAGAAAAAATTGAAGATTGGTGGTAATTTCATATTTTACGAGACAAACAAAAAAAAACACCAAAATTCAAAATTTTCTTATGAATTTTAAAAAATTTAATATTTTCTAGTACTTTTAATAAAAATTACAACTTCAATTCTTACAGAATTCAATTATTTTTTAGAATTTTTGAATAAAATTATTTAATCGAAATAATCGAAAAAAAATAATTGAATTCTTTCAAAGAATTTTAATAAATATTTCGCTTCAAATATTCAATTATTATTTTCTAAAATTTTCACTGAAATTTAGAATAATTTTTGTAAAATTCAATTATTTTCTAAATTTTTTTGTTACAATTCCTCAAAAATACAGTTATGAATTTATAAATAATTTTTAAAAGAAAAAAATAATGAAATTCCTTAAAATAAAAAATTTATTTCAATAAAATTTGACAAAATTTCCAGAAAATAATTTTAAAATTATTTTCTAGAATTCGATTATCTTCAAAAAATTTTAATTCCAATTTTTAGAAAACCTGATTTTTTTGCTGAATTTCCTCACTTCTCTTATTTTTTTGCCTATGCTAATTAATTTTTATCAATAAAAAATCTTTACTTACAGCCTCCCATTCCCAATTAAAAGCGTCTTCCTCTTCGTCCGAGGCAGAGTCGTCACTTTTCTCCAAATCTGGTATTAATTGATTATTCAATTGCGCCATTTCGATTGAATCAATTTCCACGGGGCCAATTCTATAAAAAAAACAATTCGTAGAAATAAATTTCCCAAGAAAATAAAAATTTCAAGATAGAAATTTCAAATATAAAAAAATAGGAAAAAATACAAACCTGCCGAGATCAGTGATTTCAGTATTGAGCAAGTGCATGAGATTTTGCAGTGTTTGCATTGGATGTAAAACTGTCGTATCTGTATTTTGTGTAAAGCACAAATGTAAAACGTTACTATTTAGTCGAGCTACTTTTCTCGCAAATTTTTGATCCGACATTTCACTTCCGCAAAATTCACTGAAATTTGAAACAGAAAAGGAAAAAAATTAACTTAAATTAATAAACATTTAACGTCAGTCGAATGGAATTTTCTTATCTAACCTGTATGCGAGTTTAAAAGGTAATTTCACATTAATATAGTACGCAATAATATTAACTAATTGCGTGGCATAAGTGAGGGCTGCACTTATATTATAAGCTGGATTATGCATTGAATTTTCTTTATTATTTCCAGGCACTGCGTCCTTATTTTCTGCAACTAAAAAAAATAAATCATCTTTTATTAATAAATAATTATTTTTATTTAAAATTTTATTTTAAAGAAAATATTAATACGCAAGTATTAAAAGTTTTCATTTTTTTCTAACTTACCCCAAAGGGAATACGCGCTATAATCACCAGATCCAGGTAGAGTTGGTGCCACAATGCGATGATGTATTTCTAAACTATTTTCAGTATCGTTAATCCATCGTCCTCGCACATACGATGTTCCTGAAGCATCGGCCAAAGCTGTCGTTACACAATCGGTGCACGAACTTTCCTCTTCACTACTGCACAAACTATCAAATATTATCTTTAAAACAACTATAAAATTATATTTATTTTATCATTTCATATTTTAGGCCAAAAAATTCTAATTTTTTGGTTTTTGGCCTAAACTATGGGACGATAATATAATAATGAGATCCAAAAACTTAACTATTAACAAATTTACTTTTATTTCTATTATGGAAAACTTGTTATTTCAACATTTTTTTCTAATAAATTTTATTATTTTAAAATATTCGCCATTTCCTAAGTCCTAATAATTGAATTCCTTTGAAGAATTTTAATAAAATTTTTTTAAAGAATTGCATTTTTCAAGGAATTTATTAAAAATTTTTTGAAAAATAAATAAAATCTTGCGATAAATTTTATTATTTGTAAAAATAATTAAATTCTTGAGAAGAACTTTATAAAAATCTTTTTAAATAATTGATTTTTTCGCAAAATTTTATAAATATTATGTTTTAAATAATTGAATTCCTGTGAAAATTTTATTATTTATGAAAATACTTGAACGTTTGCAAAGAATTTTGTAAAATTTGTTTTAAAACCATTGAATTCCTTTGAAAAATTTAAAAACAAAATTTTAAGAATAATTGCATTTTTCGAGGAATTCATTTAAAATTGTATAAAAAATAATTGAATTCCTGCGATGAGTTTTTTTAATTGTGAAAATAATTGAATTCTTGCAACGAATTTTATAAATTTTTTTTGAAATAATTGAATTCCCGAGAAGAATATATTATTATTTGGAAAAATAATGATAAACAAATTACCTTCTGCTGGGTTCAACTTGTGTTAATGGAAAAATATATTGTATTAATTGTTTGGCAGCGATTCGAATAACTTTCTTTAATTGTTGCCTTTTTCGTTCAACAGTTTCCTTTTGTTTTTCCTGTTTGCCTTTTAATTGAACTACGTAGCGATTTATTTTCTCGACTCTCTCCTCGTGCCTCGGCAGTCGCAATGCCAACTGTGAATTGACTTCATTCAAAACATGTAGACGTTGATTGTCTGAAATAGATTTTTATAAATTATATTTCCAGACTATTTTATAATTTATTCAGTTACGTAATTTACTTTTTTACTCTATAAATAAGTATATTAATAAAAACAGATAAAAATATTTAATTTAGATAACAAACTTTAAAACTTATTAACTTAAACAAGTATTAGTTAAACAATAAATAAATTAAAACTAAAACTAACATTTTTATTCATTTTTACTTGTGTAAAAGGTCAGAAAAAATTATTCAATACTTTCAAATGAAAAAAAGTCTGCGTGGCAAACTTTTGATTTGGAGAAACTTCCAGTGAAAGAAATGTTCATAGTAGTTCAATAAAGTTTTTCCGAAAACTTTCAAATTGATTCAATTATCAATTTAAAATTTCTTTTTTAAATATTTAAAAAAGTTTCTTTTTGGGTAAAATTCTTGTTTTTATTTTATTATAATATTTTTAGAAAAGAAAACAACATACCCCTGTTAATGCTCTGTTTCGTTTCATTCACCAATAACTGTAGAAGTTTTATTCGTTCCTTACTGGTATTTAAATCACATTGCTAAAAGAAAAATTAAAATATTCTATTAATACAATTTTGTATATTTATTCATTTATTACGAACTAAAATTTATTACTAATAAGTATTCGCTAAAATTTAAATATTTTCAAAATCTACTATTTTAATAAACTTTCTCAAAAGAATTCAATTGTTTTTCCTAAATACTAAAATTCTTCTCAGGATTTCAATTATTTTTAAAAAATGTAATAAAAGTTCGTTGCAAGAATTCAATTATTTTCCTCAATGACAAAATTTATTCTTCTCAGGATTTCAATTATTTTTGATACAATTTTAAGTAAATTCTTCGAAAAATGTAATTAATTAAAATTTTTTTATTAAAATTCTTCGAAAGAAATAAATGAGGAATTATCGATTATTTTTAATTTTTATCTGATATTCATTTTTAAAACAATTTCTTTTAGAAAATTCTACGAGAATTCAATTATTTAAATACAAAAATGAAAAAATGATTGAATAAATGAATTTTTTTCAAAATTGAATTATCATAAAGAATTTTATCAAACAAATTTTTAAATAATCGAATAATAATCGCCGAATTTTATTAAAATTTTCAAGAAGAATTACATTTTTCGAGGAATTCGATTAAAATTGTATTAAAAATAATTGAAATTCTATGATGAGTTTTATTATTCATGAAAATAATTGAATCTTTGTAAAAGTTTTATTTAATCAAAAAGTCAAAAATTTGTAAATAGTTGAATTTTTGTGAAATGTTTATTATTTATAAAAATAATTGAATTTTGGAGAAGAATTTTATTATTTTTAACGATAATTGAAATTTTGACTAGAATATTTTTAAAGTTTTGAACAAAATTGAATTTTTGCAAAAATTTGTAACTTCTCTAAAATACACTTTTTTTTTAGTGTTTCTAACTAAAATTCTTCTATAAATCCATGATTTTTAATAATTAATTAAATAGATATGAAAAAAATAAAATAAAAAAAATTGAAGATGATTTTGGAAAAGAAAAAATTTTATAATTTATATAATTATAATAAATTGAATTGTCAGTCTTTCTAATTATTCATATATATTACTTAAAAAAATTAAAATCGCAAATAAAATTCAATTATCTATATGTTTTTAATTTTTAAATAAAATTATTAGCAAAATTTATCAAATTTAAATTTTCCTCAATAATAATTTTTTGTCTAATTTAATATTTCTTTGTTCAAGTAATTAATTATTTGAATCAAATAAATTTTTTTCATTATCGTTAATTTACTAAAAATTAAATGCAAATTAAATGCGACTTTTACTAACTCACCAATTTATCTTTTTGTTTGTGTCTTTCTAAAGCTTTCACACATTTTTCCTCTAATTGGGCTCGTGCCGCTTTTAATCGCAAATGTCGTATCTGTTTATCCGCAAATCTGCAAAAAGAATTATTTATTCCACTTGACTAAATACAAAAGAATTTTCTCTTGAACAATAGAAAAAAAATTATAATTTCAATTAAGTATCAGATCTACATTTGGGACGATAATTAGATTTTCAGAATCATATAAAGGATTTTTAATTTTCCCGCAATTATTAGTAGAAATAATAATTATTATACAGTAAAAAGTATATAGTAAAAATTACATTAAAAAAAATTTACAATTTTAATTCCTAACAATAATACACACAGAGTTGTAAAAAAGACAAAAATTGTATGAAATTAGAATAAAACAATAACAAACGTAAATTTTCTTCTAAATTCTAATGCGCGTTAGACTAAAAATAAATAAATAAATAAATAAACTCACCGTTCCGAGTAAACAGAAGTAGAATGAACAAAATCCCCATTTTGTATGCATTGTCTACAATAGAAAATTCGTCGACTGTTATGGCATAATGAGCACTTTAATAAATTAACACTAAGACGATCGGAAACATCTTCGAGTTCGGAGGATAATTGAAAATCTGCAGGTGCTGTACAAGAACCATCAGAACTGCTGTTCGCCATAACCCAAAATCTTTGTTCGTCTGCTCTGTGTTGTTGTCATTTTAGATTTTTATAAATAAAATCTTCCTTTATTACTCTATTATGGAAAATAATTTCTAAATAGAAACTATAATATAAAATACGTACCCTGTGAAATTTATTGGTCCAACTTTTTTTCTATACCTTCATTGTCCTTTGTTTCTACATTATTTTCTATTATTTATTTATTTTTTATATTAAAAAAAAAACTTGGTGCGACAATGTCGTCATGTTAAAAATTTTACACACACACGCATACACTCATACACGCGCGCACACAAATATATATAGGACTTTCTCAACAAACCTCCATGTCAGTGCCAAATCCAAAATAAACTTGAATTTCCGCAGAAGCGCATTTGCGCAGTTGTGATCAATTCGAATTACGTATTTTCAACGTAATATGGGGAAAATTACGCGAATTACGTTATTGCATTTGTGTAGAGCGCATGCGTCGCGGGAAAATCAAATTTTGAAAAATTTTTCCATTAGGTGCCGTAAAAATTTTTAAAGAATTTAATAATTTAAAAAATTTTTGATATAATTTGTTTATTAGAGTTTAATAATTATTTCCAATACATTTTAAAGTAACTTTCTTGAAAGAATTAAAGGTGAAAGAATTTCTTGAAAGAATTTAATTATATTTTCAAAAATTTTAATGTAATTCTTTGTAACAATTCAATTATTATCAAAATTTTTGTTCAAATTCTTCGTAACAATCCAATTATTTCCAAAAAAATGTTAATAAAATCAAAAAACATTTTCGAAATTCAATTATTTACAATATCTAATATTTTAATAAAATTTTCCAGAAAAATTCAATTATTTTTGAAAAAAATTTAATTAAAATTCTTCACGAAAATTCAATTATTTACAAATTTTTTATAAATTTTTTTTCGCAAGAATTCAATTATTTTTATAAATGATAAAACTCTTCTTAGAAATTCAATTAATTTTAAAACAATTTATAAAATTCTTTGCAAAAATTCAATTATTTTCAAATCAATTTTAATTGAATTCCTAGGAAGAATTCAAATATTTTTAAATATTTCCATAAAATTCAATTATTTTCTAAAGTTTTAATAAATTCTTCAAAATAATTCAACTATTTTTATAAATACTAAAATTCTATGCTGGAATTAAATTATTTTTAATTCAATATAAATAAAATTACACGAAAGAATTTAATTAATTTAAAAAAATTTCCATAAAATTCAATTTTAACAAGAATTTAAAATTGTATAAAAATAATTCAATTATTCTCAAAATGTAAAAAAAAAAAATTCTATATGAAAATTAAATTACTTTCAATGTAATTTTTAAATATATTCGTTCAAAAAATTGAAAGAATTCAATTATTTACAAAAAATAATAAAATTCTTCTGATGAATACAATTATTTTGAATATGCTCAATTTTAATAAAATTCTTTACACAAATTCAATTATTTTCGAAACAATTTTAATTGAATTTCTCGAAAAAATTTAATTATTTTCAAATATTTCTATAAAATTATTCAAAAAAGTTTAATTATTTCATAAAATTTTAATAAATTCTTCGGAACTATTCAATTGTTTTTAAAAATAGTAAAATTCTTCGAAATAATTCAATTATTTTCATTCTTTTCAAAATAATTTTAATTGAATTCCTAGAAAGAATTTAATTATTTTCAAATATTTAGATTATAAATAGTAAAATTCTCCGCAAGAATTAAATTATTTTTATAAATATTAAAATTCTTCTCAGGAATTCAATTATTTTTAATACAATTTTAATAAAATTCTTCTTCATAAAATTCAATTGCTTTCAAAATTTTCAATTAAAATTTTTAAAAAAAATTCCATTATTTTAAAAAAATTCAAAGAAATTCTTCAAAAGAATTAGAATTTTTTTAAATTTTAATAAAATTCTTGGCGAGAATTCAATTATTTTCATAAAATAAAAAAATTCTTTGAAGGAATTCAATTATTCTCTTCAAATTTTTTGATAAAATTATTAAAAAAAAGTTAAGAAACAAAAAAGTCCGAGTTGACGTAGAATGTCCCATATTTTTTTTTTATATAAAATATCACTTTCTCTAATTTTTGATCATTTTAAATGCCGAATGTCGAAAATTTTACATTGTTCCTAGGAAAAAAATAAAGAAATTCTGATTAATTATAAATACTTTTATGTATACCTACTATACACATTTAAAGGCAACCATGACTATACTTTTAATACTGAACAAAAAATTAAAATAGTAGACAAACACTTGTTCAACTTGTGTTGATCTCAAAAAAATCGTTTTGTAAATCAGTCTTGTGAATTCTTATCTACCTTCACTATATATGTACAAAATTTACAATTTTTAAAAATACAGAAATCAATTTTTCTTCTCAGACGCTTCTTTTGCTAGTAATTCCCATTTGTGCAAAAGTTGACAATCTGTCTCTGAATACTCTTTCCTTTTCTTACACCATTCGTGTAAAAGTCTAATAGTAACTTCAACACTTTTTGAAATATTATTCGTTCTATTCTCACATTCTTCCTTTATTTCCACAGTTTTATTCAATTCATTTAATTTTAATTCGAAATTCTCCTTTTTCTTCTTAGTTTCTTTTGTCGATTTTCGTTTTTTATTAGATATTAAGATTTCATTCTGTTCATTAGAATTCGTTTCATGAACTATTTCATTTGCTTGATTAGTGACGAATTCAATAATTTCGTCATCAATCAAAGATTCCCATCCAAGATCGTATTGATCTACGTTTAGCCAAGTTTTAATCGTCACTGGATAGACCCTCTCGAAACCTAGAAAATATTTTAAAATTTTAGATATTTTAAAAAAAATTTCTTTTTCCATTTTTTTTTAAATTTAAAAAAAAAATTTTTTTTTATAAAAAAGGACTTACCGCTAATTTTCTGCAACATATGATAGAAGACTTTAATTTCCAATGTCTCATCATCGTTATCGATAACCTCGTCTAATTGCGATGTACCATAGAGTTTATTCCAAGCACTTTTTAAATGTAACGTCGTTACCGCTTCAAATGCATTCGAAAGCATAAAACAACAATCCTCCATTGTGTGCTGCTCGATAAATTCATCGACAGTCATATTATCATCATTACTTGCATTCAATAAACATGTGATAAATGCTTTTCGATATGTTCTCTTTGTTTTCTCAATAATTCCCTGTCCCATTGGTTGTACAAGGAATGTAATTTTAGACGGTATATACATTACTTGAAAATTTTCATTAACTGAATTAAGTACATCCATTGATGGATGACACTTTGCAGTGTCAATTAATAGCAAAACTTTGCCATAATTTTTTGTCTTCTCCTGCATTTCCTCTACGGAGGGTATAAAAATATTTGTATACCAATCGAGAAATATTTCCGATGTCATGCTTGACGATGATTCATTCTGATACATGACCGGTAATTGTTGAATATTCTCCGTTGTACTTAAAATTGAACGTGAACTCCATGATTTTCCAATTATTAATAGTGGAAGTGCATGAGAACCGTCTGCATTTGCACAGAATAAAACTGATACTTTTTCTTTATTCTCCTTCCAACCTGTGGAAAACAAAAAAGTTTTTGATAAAATTCATTCAAAATTAATTATTTTCATAAATAATAAAATTTCCACAGGAATTCAATTAATTTAAAATAGCATTTTCACAAAAATTTCGAAAAAATCAATTATTTAGCAAAATTTGTATATACAATTCTTCACAATAATTTTATTACTTTCAAAAACTTTTAAAATTTTTATGAAGAATTCAATTATTTTTGCAAAAGTAACAAAAATTTTCACCGAAATTCAATTCTTTTTAAACATTTTAATAAAATTTTTCACAATAATTCAATTATTTTCATAAATAATAAAATTCTTCTCAGGAATTCAATTATTTTTGAAAATTTTAATAAAATTCTTTGCAACTATTTAATTATTTTCATAAAAAAAATTCATCGTAGAATTTCAATTATTTTTAATACAATTTTAAAAAAATTGCTAAAAAATGTAATTTTTCTTAAAAATTTAATTTCAGTTCCTGGAAAAAATGAATTATTTAAAAAAAATGTTTTTTAAAAAGTCTTTGGAAGAATTCAATTATTTACAAAAATATTAAAAATTTTTACAGGAATTCAATTATTTTCAAATATTTTAATAAAATTGTTCGAAAGAAATCAATTATTTTAAATACAATTTTAATTCCTTTTTTTAAAATAATTAAATTATTCTTTTACATTTTAATAAAATTCTTCACAAGAATTCAATAATTTTTTTTAAATTTTAATAAAATTCTTTACAACTATTCAATTATTTTCAAAAATAATAAAATTCATTTTCTCGCAATACCTGCAGAATTTTCGTCTTTATCATTTGTTGCTTTCGGCAAATTTTTCCATAAAATTCCACACTCATCAGCATTAAATACCAAATTCATATTATCATAATTTTGATCATGAATTAATTGTTGAAATTTTAGGCAAAATTCCCTTGCAGCATCGCCATCAATTGATAATTTGTCCTCTTGTATTATTTTAACGCCGTAACGTCTTTTAAATGCAGTTAACCAGCCGGTGGTTGCTTTAAATTTTTCTGAACCATTTAATCTATTATTGAAAATTAATGCTTTTTCACAAATCGTTGGACCACTCACTGGTTGTCCCATTAAACGTTTTTCATTATACCACATTACAATTGCTTTTTCTAAATTTTCATTGTGAACTTTTTTTATTACCTTCCTTTTATTTAATGCCATTTCATTGAGATTATTAACTTGATTCACATCTTTGAGATTGCCTTTTTTTCTTTTTAAATTACTAATTGCCGCACGTGAAATTCTATATTGTTTTGATAATGATGTTGCTGTTTGACCTGCATTGAGAGCTTCAATGATTTTCAATTTATCACTTAATGAAAGAAAGCGGTGGGATTTTTTATGTTTATTGAACATTTTTTCATTCTTGCACTTTTCAATATTTTAGGATTTGAAATTCGTAGTTAATTCTCTTTTGTTTTTGTATAACTTTCAAAAAGGTATTAACGTCACTTTTCAGTCCTGGATTTTTAATCGTAAAATGTCTGAAATGTGACATTCTAACCAGGGTTGGAAAGGTGAATATTTACGTAATTTACGGTTAAGGCTTTAAAGTACTCAACCCTGGATTTGTACGACAAGGGTGGGAAGTTTATATTATTTGTCCTGATTTCTTTCATATTTTATCAGTCGATAAAATATATAAAATAATAATATATAATTTTTGACAATAAGGTTAAATATAAAAAATTACTCCACTCATATATCGGTCATGGCCGAATATACAGAGAGCGCACTGTCAATTTTCAGTGCCGATGTTCTGACTTCCTGAAAAACAGAAAGAAATTATTAAATGAACTTTAAGTTTTCAAAAAATTTCGATTCACACTTTTCTGCAATCTGAAAAAAACCTAAAAATAGAATTAAAGTAAATGCCAAAGTCATTTAAAAAATAAAATAACAGAGTAAATCTATAATTTATATTTTAATCAGTCTTGAAGTTTCTTACATGTATTATGATCTTCTTTGAAGATAATTACTAATTTTCTATTTATTCCGACGCCTTTCGGGCAATTGTCTCCCACTTATATAAAAGATGATGATCTGATTCAGTATATTCTTTTCTTCTCTTGCACCAATTGTGTAAATTTTGAATGGCTATTTCGACACTATCCACAACACTTGAAATATTTTTAGATTCGAGATTATCATCATCATCATCAGCTTCAGATTCCTGAGAGATTTCTTCAGTTTCTACTTTCTGGGAGTTAGTGAATTGATCACTGCTTTCTTCCTTAAAATTTATTATTTGGTCGAAGTCCTCAGCATTTGATTGGTTGATTGTTTCCTCAGCGACATCATTGGCTTCATGTGACTTACTACTAGTGACAAATTCAATAATTTCCTCATCGGTGAGTAATTCCCAGCCTGGATCGTAAAAATCAGCATTTAACCATATTCTGACACTGGCCGGATGAACATTCTCGTAACCTATTGATTTTAAGGATTATTAGTAACTAGTAGTTTTAAGGATCATTAAGTAGTCTAAAGCCGAATTTTAAAAATAAAAATATACCTTTAATTCTGTGTACCATTTGACAGAAAGTTTTATAATCCAAAATCTTCTCATCAGGATCCAAGTTTTCTTCATCTAATGGCGATACACCACAAAGTTTATTCCAAGCATTCTTTAAATTTAACGTCGTTACCGATTCAAATGCATTCGAAAGCATGAAACAAAAATCCTCCATTGTGTATTGTTTCATAAATTCATCGACAGTTGTATTCTCGTCTGCATTCAATAAATTTGTTATTAATGTCCTACGATACATTCTTTTTGTCTTATCGATCACACCTTGACCCATTGGCTGTACTAAATGTGCAATATTAGCCTTAAGGTATTCAACTTGAAACCTTTCATTCACTGAGTTGAGAATTTCCTTTGACGGATGACATTTAGCGGGATCAATAACTAGCAAAACTTTGCCATAAGTTTTTGTTTTCTCCTGCATCTCTTGTACAGAGGGAATAAAAATGTTTGTATACCAATCGAGAAAAATATCTTCCGTCATGTAGGCTGATGATTGATTTTGATACATTACTGGTAATTGTTGTATATTGTCTGAAGTTGTTGACGTTGAACGTGAACTCCAAGATTTTCCAATTATTAACAATGGTAGGGCGTAGGTACTGTCGGCATTTCCGCAAAATAAACATGTTATTCTGTCCGTAGTTTGATTCTGACCTATGTGAACATGAATATAAAATATATTTATTTTAATTCTTAAAAGTTTTGCATTTTAGATGCTTTAATGGAGCATTTACGCCGTTGGTAAAAAATTGTCCAGAACGGAAAATATACACTGTAAAAAAATCTGCTGTAAATTTACTATGTCCGACGTTGGAAAGTTTGGTCACTATGTCCGACGTGGTATTTTTACACGCCGACTGTAATCTACATAACCTGCAAATATTTTTTGAAATAATATTTTCAGTCGTAGCTTTTTGTATTTATGAAATATAGCCCAAAACTTTTTGTTATATTATTATTTACTTATAAATTAGCATATACTTTCTATAAATGTACATTATATACACTTTTTTAGAGTTATTTATAAAAACTTGAAAATTTTTCGAAAATCTTAAAGGAATAAGAAAATTACATTCGCCATGTAATTGTACAGATCGTGCGACGTAATATTACGTCAAAGTGTAGAAATACACGCAATGTAAAAATACCACGTCGGACATAGTGATCAAATTTTCCTACGTCGGACGTAGTAAATTTACACAAAACTATTAAATTACATAGTCGTATAATGTAAAATTATTAAAAATAGTAAAACTACTTTTGGAACGAAATAAATTTACTACGTACAACCTATAATTTTGATGTGTGAAATTACAAGTTTCGTGTTATTTTACACCAGATTTTTTTACAGTGTACATTGGAGTAAGAGAGATAGATAAGACTGTCTCTCTTACTCCAATATAGATTTTCCATTCTGGACAATTTTTGCCAAACGTGTAGCTCCATTAATTTAAAGAGCAGTCTGAACATAGTGTTTTATGGCAAAAACATTAAACCTTGCACAGAGTAATAAGAGAGTGGACGAAACTTAAGATTTAGAGCTTTTCGATATTCGATTTTTTTTAATTCGAGGAATTCGAAAGATCAATTTTAGGTTATGTTACATTGTTTACTTCTCTAATATTTACTTAATATATATAAAATGATTAAAATTAAAAATAGTTTAAAATATGAAAAATAAATAATACATAATTTTATGAAAAACATTCTTAAAAATTAAAGCTTAAAATATTTAATAAAAATTTAAATTTTATATTAAAGAGACCCCTTTTTTTAGAAGTATATTTTTATCAATTTTGCATACCTTGAAAATTTTGCTTATCATTCACATCAATTTCCGGTAGGCTTTTCCAAAAAATTCCACTCTCATCAGCATTAAATACCAAGCTTAAATTATAATTCTCCTCACTAATTAAATTTTGAAATTGAAAACAATATTCAATGGCAGAATCAACGTTTGCCGTTAATTTTTCACCTTGCAATGTAAATTGTATGGCATTTCGTTTTTTAAATCTATCGAGCCAACCAAAACTTGCTTTAAATTCTTTTGAACCATTTAATTTATCATTAAATATCAATGCCTTTTCACATAAGGCAGGACCACTCACTGGTTGACCATTTAAACATTTTTCATTATACCACATTAATAGGGATTTTTCTAAAAGACTATCGTGCACTTTTCTAAATGTCTTTCGTTTTTTCAACACTTGTTCATCTAATGTACTGCTGTATTTGATTTTTTCATTTTTTTTCTTCACTAATTTTGACACTGCCGTTATTGAAATATTATAACGTTTTGCCACTGATGTCATTTTTTCACCATTATTAACTGCCTCGATAATATTTAATTTCTCACGCAATGAACGATAGACGTGGACCTTTCTATCAAGTTTTGGTTGTTTAACGGACATTTTTACACTTTTCAGGAACTAATTTATTATGAAATGTATTAGTAGTACACAAGTGTTGTTTATCATCGGCACTGAAAACGCGGTGCGCTCTGTATATTCGGCCCCATGACCGATATACGAGTGGAGCAAATTATTTATATTTAACCTTATTGTCAAAAATTATATATTAATTTAATGTTTTACACGTTTCATAAATGGAATGTTGACAAACGTTATTTGATCACAATAACAAACAAGATTATTAGGTTAGGTTAGTTAGGTTAGACAGTCTGAAGTTAGGCCCGAGTGAAATCACCATTAGGGTTGAATCACACGTAGCAAAGCGCAATATGTACTAAAAATCTCCCAGCCCTGCCTTCAACAAAATATTGTGTAACAAACTTTAGTCGACACCTTGAGAAAATCTCTTTTTTTCCCGTTTACGCAATAAGTAGTCTGCAAGGGCTATTTTCGTTTTTCGTACAAAAGTTTTATTGAAATAAAATAAATTGTTATAATCTTAATAGAAAAATGTTACGAATTGTGGCTGGAAGAATTGTTGCTGCTTCGAGGCAGGCAATTCAACCTCGTGTAATGACTGTCAGATCATCATCTCATGGCAAACAGCAAACCGACGAGGAAGTCGATGCAGAATTTATTCAGTATTTCGATCGTAAAGATATTGATCACTGGGAACTTCGAAGTGCCATGAATCGCCTTGCTGGTAAAAATATTTTTTCTCTTATATCCCCTTATTTTACATCCATCAATTTAAAAAAAAATTTTCCCCTTCCCATGTGGAAAATTATATTCGCACCTCCCACTTTTCTTGTGACTCCGAAAAAAAATTTTTTTAAATTCTCATCTTCTAAAAGTTTAGAAATTACCTAATTTTACTAAATTCTTTCACTAAAAACTGAAATTTGAAAGAAAAGATAGAAATTATTGTTGTAAATTGTTTCTAGGAAAAATAAGTATTTTTCTAGTAACTTAATTTACTTATTTAAAATTATTAAAAGCATGATAAAACATTCTATATTTACATTTTTTTAATTTGGAAAATTGAATTTCAGGTTTGGACATGGTTCCCGATCCAGCGATTATTATTGCTGGCTTGAAGGCATGCAGACGATTAAATGATTTTGCTGTTGCTGTGAGATTTTTGGAAATGGTGAAAATGAAGTGTGGCGATAAACTTGATAAAATTTATCCCTACGTTCTTCAAGAAATTCGACCCACTTTAGATGAATTGGGCATTAATACACCCGAAGAATTGGGTTACGATAAACCAGAATTAGCTCTTGAGAATGTTTACGAAATTCATTAAGGAAAATATAAATGAAAATTAGGACTATGTTAAGTTTCACCTAGTCTAAGTCCACTAGATACTAATATATCTTCAAGTCCTGATTTTACATCAAAAAAACTGAAAAATCTAGCTCATTAATTGAAATTACTCTTCTTTCTTTTTTGAAATCGCTGTTAACCTGCGTGTTTCGATAATAAAAATTTATTTACGAGAGAAAAGTTTGTTGTTTTTATTCTCTTTTGTTTTGTGTTTGTTAAAAATGAGAATTTTGTTTATTTTGTACTTATTTTTTTTTTATTATTTTTTTTTATTTAATATTCTCCTTTTTTCTATTTTTCTTTATTTCTAATTTTTATACTTTTCTGTTTTAGGAACAAAACGATGTAGGATCTAATTTTAAAATTAAGACTAAAATTTAATTATAAAGGATAAACTTGGAACAGAAACGAATTAATAAAGATATCTAATACCAAAAAATGAAAAAAATTGTCTTACCTTACTCGGAATATTTGTATAATAAAACTTCGAACCTCTTATAGAAACAATATTTAATAATAAATTAATAATAAAAATTTTCATAAACTTCTTCCCTTCTTCTCAAGAATTCAATTATTTATAAAAAAATTAAACAAAGTTCTTCGTAAGAATTCAATTATTTTTATAAATAATAGAATTCCTCTCAGTGATTCAATTTATTTTTATAAATTATAAAATTGTTTTTAGAAATTCAATTATTTTCATAATAAAACATTTTTTTTTACCGTGATTCAATTATTTTCATCGCATTCCTCGAAAAAAGTAATTGAAAATTATATTAAAATTCATCGAAAAAATGCAATTATTTAAAAATTTGTTGATAAAATTCTTTTTTGAGGATGAAATTTTGATAAACATTCATTTTTTCAATAAATTATAACATTTTCTTCAAATAATTGAATTCATTTAAAAAATTTGATTAAAATAGTAGATTTTCAAAATATTTGAATTTCAGCGAAGAATTTCATTATTTGTAAAATGTAATTGAATTCTTTCAAGAAATTTTTGAAAATAATTACATTTTTCGAGGAATTTGATTAAAATTGTTTTAAAAATAATTGAAATCATATGAAAAATTGAATTATTTTTTTAAATAATTGAATTCATGTGAAAAATTTTATTACTTGTAAAAATAATTGAAAAAACAAAGGATTTTATTAAAATTTTTGTAAATAATTGAATGTTTTTTTTTTAAATTTTATGGAAATTTAAATTGTTATAAAACATGAAGAGATCAATCATTCCGAGTCAAAGACTCGGAGTGATTGATCTCTTCATGTTTTATAATATAATAATAATATTCTTATAAGTTGTTAAATTTGGATATTTTTGAAAATCTTAATTCCTATGGAATAATAATTTTTTTTTTAAGAAAGAACAAAAATACAAAATTAAAAAATGCCATAGTTATTATTATATATATGTATTATATTTAATATTTTTGTTTCCGTTGGTTTCTTAAATTAATTCTAAAATCCATTATGCTATTGAACTCGGTATTTTTTTTTTTTTATTTTTACACCGAAAATAATGCAAAGCTCAAAAATGTGACACACCGACGACGTATTTACAATAAACATTACATGGCATCCGATGATGAGGTCATGTACATTTTTACAACATTCGAAATTCACTCTTATCCCTCTTTTATTTTAAATACATGTTCTTTAAAAAAAAAAATTTAAACAATTCCTTTAGTCATTAATCTGAATTTTATTATTTTCTTTATTCTTCATATTTACAACACAAATTGGAACACATTTGTGATTTCACTCTTAAAATCAATTTTACTTCTTTGAAATGTGTCAATAAAATTAATCTGTTAATCGAGTGAAGATAAATATTCCTTTTAATTTATCACAAAAATTTAAAAAAAAAACGTAATTAATGTAATTAAAAATAAATTAATTGCATTAATAACAATAAATAATTATTAATTATAATAATTGTGGTACAAAAAGTAAGCAAATTGAGAATTTTTTTTACACATCAGGATGAGTGTGAATTTCGAGTATTGTACTTTTGGTGAAAATCTTTGGGAGTTTTTTTTCTTGTTTGTTCTCCGAGACTAAAAACGGAGGACAGTTGACAAGGGAATTTCAGATCTCCTTTCAATGAGATCCTACTTTTTTTTTTTCTTTATATGTAATTTAATTAATAAATATATACTAGGGGCTTGTGTCTTATAGATGATTGTGGTTTTTTTTCACTGACCATTAGATTTTTTATAAAATAATACAACAACATGATCCCTAAGCGTATGATATCGTCTCTAGTGAATAAATGTTATAATAATTAAATTTAATTAACTACGTTACACCGTCGACGCACAAAATTCAATATTTCTCATAAAAATTGTCTTCAATTTGTATTTCGCTTTTCATAAACGAAAAAAAAAAAATTAAGTCCCTCGCCGAATAAACATTCTCGTTTTTCGAACTTCATTCTTCTTCCTCTTTTTTTTTTTATTCTCTTGAAAAATCAATTTTTCCACAAACAGTTTTTTTTATCTATTGCTTTTTTTTCTATTATTTAAATTTCAAAAACAAAAATTTTGATATGTTAATTTGATAAAATTTTTTCTAACTGAATTTTCAAAGAATTTTTAGTAATTTTTTTCTTTTAAAAATTTTTTTTTTTGACTATTTTTGGCTTTAATTATCAAAAATGATGACAAATTATCGATTATTAATTATTATTACAATTTAGTCACAAAGTAACTTGAGACAAAATTTTTTTTTTATTTTTCTGAATAATTTTGTATTTAAATAAATAGTTTAGAGAAATTACAATAAATAATTTATATTTGTATATAGAAAATTGTTTTATTTATTTTTTTTTTAATATTGCGCTAAAGAAGGATAGAACGACGTTCAAAAACGATATCATTATTTTAATTATTATTATAAATGACAAGTAATAATAATACCATGTAAAAAATCGACTTAATATTAAAATGCACATTTCTTTGTTTTTCTCCTTTTTTCCTTTTTTTAAAAGAGAGAAAATGAAAAAATTGTTTATCAATTTTTCCGAAGATTTTTTCTTTCTGTAAATTTTTTTTCTATTAATAAAATCGGTTGATTAATTAATTATTTATGTTAATTATTTAATCACTTTTATAGTATTTTTTTCAAAACATATTTTTCTTAAAAGTGCCATTTTTTTCGAAAAAAGTTTTTTAAAATTTATTTTTTCAAAAAAATATTCAAAATAAAAAATTGCACTTTTCTCTTTTTGAAAAAAAGAAATTTCCCAAAGACAGAAAGAAAAAATCTTGATAAAATTGACAAAGATTGAAAAATAAAAAAAAACAACAACAATTAAAAATGAATTATTTCGAAATGATTTTTCTGTGCATTAGAAATTCGAATTTTATTCGAAAATCTTATTTTCTATTTGTACCCGTCAGAAATTCTTAGCCTCTCTATTATCTGCGTTTTATAATGCGAAAGTGGTGTTACTTCTTTTTTTTTAATCAGTTTAGTCCAAAAAAAAGGTATTTAAAAATTTAAAAAAAACATTTGTCCATTTTTTAAAATTGTTTCTAAACGTAATTTTTTGAAAAATGGTTAAAAATTTTATCAATTTTTCAAAAACAGAAAACATTTTTTTTTTTAAATATTATTTAAGAAACACAATTAAGAGAAAAATATGAAATTTTTTTTTTGGACTCAACTAATTCACATTCATTACCACACATCATCTAGAGAATAAAAAACCGTTGATTTTACTGACAGAAAAAAAAACAAAAATTGTAAAAAAAGCAAATATTATTTAGAAGAAAATAAAAATTCAGAGAAAATGAATTGACTAATTTTTCTACACAACAAATTTACAAACACATTAAAATATTATTCTCATAAATAAAAACAATAACAAAAAAAAGAAACTGATAACCGCATTAGAAAATTTTATTTCCTTTCTTATACAGAAAAAGGAACTTTGAATCCGGAACTTGAAAAGGTACGAAACAAATATTTTATATAAAAAAAATTATTAATATTGCACTTTGGCACATTGACCAATTAAATTAAATATTTGAATAATTTAAAAAGAAACGGAAAGAACAAACAAAAACTACAAATAAGTACCAAATTTTTTAAGTAACGAATTCAAAAAATTTGTCAAAAAGAATTTTTATAGAATAAAAATTGCTTCGTTAAATTTTATATATTAAATAAAGCGAAGCACCTTAAGGTATTAATTAAATTATTCTACCTAATATTTCAGAAAATTAATTAATATTTAACAAATTAATTTAATTATTAATAATTTCAGAAGAAGAAAAAAACTTGAATATGAAAATTCGAGTTTTCGGTTTTTATCTCATACACACGCATCGATTTTTTTCCATTTTTTTTCACAAAGCACACTTATTTATATTTTTTTTTACGTACAAGAAAAAAAAAAGAAAAAACCTAAAACAGCTAAAAAAAAAATTTGAAATAGCAACAGAATTTTTCGCTTTTATTCCTATATTTTTTAGACGAAAAAAACTTGCGATGAAATTTAAATATTTAGCTGTTCAAGGTATCAATTTTTTTCGTTACTTTTTATTTTTCTTTCTTGAAATCCAACGACGATGAATTATTCGGAAATAGCCCGTAAATATTTTTTTTTTTTGTAAAATTTTTTTTTCTGTTCTTTCTTTTGCTTTGTTTTCTTTCTTTCTTTTTTTTTGTTTCATTATTTTAAAAACGCATGATTCTCTTAAAATTAGAATTATACACAGTGAAAAATTACTGTCACGAACTACTGGAAAAAAATTTTTTTTTTCCTTTTCTTTCTGTTTGGTACTTAAAGACATTAACATACAGTGCGTACCCAAAAAACGCAATCGCAACGCTATTTTTGTTCGACAAAAAAAATAAGAAATAAAAGAAAAAAATACAAAAAAAAACTTTTTTTCAAAAAAGAAAATTAAGAAAACAATGTTCTACTTTTAATAGCAAAAAAATTAAAAATACAGGAAATATGAAAATGTTAAATAGTTTTCCCCTTCTTGCAAAATTAATTCCCCTTTTTCAATTTTTGATCAAAACTGAGCAAAAATGTTTTTATACTTTTTTTTGGGAAATAAAAAATAAATTAATGAAAATAGAATACATTTGGAGAAATTTAATAACGCAATTTTTAGCGTTTTACATCTTTTTATCTTTGGATATTTCTCTTTTAAAAAAATGCCTTTAGAAAGACAGTGTTTCAACAAAAAAAATCGCTTACAATACAAAATATTAAAAAAAAATTTTAATTAATTCTATTATGGCACAATTATAAATCAAAATTAGTCAACATAAACAATTTACAAAAGAAGACAACTGTCTACAATTTTCTTAAAATTATACATAAAGAAAAATGAAAATTAAATCAGAAAATTCAAATAAGTGTCAAAAATAGTATCTGTAGTTGAAATTCACAATATTAAATTTTAAATTTATATTAAATTTGTCAATTTACATTCTTTCGATTTTAATTCACAATATTTGGGAATTTTCACATTCAATTTGAATTTTACAATTAATTTTTAAATGAAAACATTTTTTTGTTAACTTTAAACAATTGTTTACATTTAAAAATTAATTTTAAAAAGAAAATAAATTTGTCACTTGAAAAGTAATTTTAAAATTAAAAGAAAAATTTCATTTTAAAATTAATTTCAAAATAGAAAATCATTTTTCATTTTCAAATTAATTTTAAAATTAAAAGAAAAATTTCATTTGAAAATTAATTTTCAAATTAAAAAAATTTTTTTTATTTCAAGATTAATTTTAAGGCTAAAAGAATTTCTTCATTTGAAAATTAATTTTAAAATTAAAGAAATGAATTTTTTTATTTGAAAATTAATTTTAAAATTAAAGAAAACAAAATATTTCAACAAAATTGATTTTAAATTTCACAAATAGAATAAAATTAAATTCAAATTATTTAGAATTATTTTTTATTATAAATAAAAGTTAAGTTAAATTAAATTCGTTTCGAGAAAAGTGTAATATTCAAAAATATTGTGTTTGACAAATTTAAAATAATTATTTAGCACAATAAAAAAGAAAATAGAAAAAGTTTGATATGTGACGCTCTCTGAAGAAAGACTCCTAAGAAGCAAACGAATTATAGGTTATGTTTGTTTCAAATTTATATCTTCAATAAAAATTCCTTTTTAATTCCTTTTTTTCAAATTTGAAACTAGTTTTTATTAAATATTTTGTATATTATGAAGACTTTGACTTTACTTTGTAATAGTAATTTATTTATTTTTATTTTTGTTAAAAAATTTATAAACATAACCTAAAATTTTTTTGATTCGAAGATTGTCTTGGGAGCGCATAACATATGTTAAAATTAAAAAATTTTTATTTCCTTGACATGAAATAATTTATCTCTTTTTTTAAAAAAAATTGTTCTTACTCACAAAAATAAAAAAAAAATTATTTCGAAGAATTTTTATAAATATTTTCGGAAAAAAATTGTTAATATTATTGGTTTCGAATTTTTTTTAAGAATAAAAATATTCCAATCGCATATCGTAATTTTTACACAAGAGAGAAAAGGATAGAAGTATATTTTGTCCTTGTCTAGAAAAAGTACGAACGTTATTTCTATCCTTTTTTCTCTCTCGCATTTAGAAAAAAGCAAATGATATCTATTCTTTTCTCTCCCATATAAAAATTAAAATACGTTTTTCAGAATTTTTATTCTCCTTACAATTAGATCTAGGTTCAAAATTAAAAAATTACAATTTATTATTAAATAATGTCAAGGAATATAAAAACTTTTCTCTTCTTTATTTTGAGGTTATGTCAGTAGAATATATCGAAAATGCGAATTCGTGAATAAAATAAAAAAAAATATTCCAAGAGTGAGGGGGAGAGGGGACGTTAAAAGAAATAAAAAAAAATATTTAACGTTTTAAAAAACGTTGCAAATGCGTTAAAGGGGTTATAAGAGGAGAATTTCTCTTTCTTCATTGTTTCCCTCTCTTTTTTTTTGCGAATTTTTTTTTTTTTCTTTGTTTACTCTGGACTGGAGACAATTTGCTGATGTTGACTGTCCTCGTCTTTGACGATTTCGCTCTGCATTGCCTTGGTAAGGACATTGGCGTCCTTAAGGGAAATTACCTGAAGAACTTGATGTTCTCCGTTGGCATTTATCATTGTCATTGGATGACCTTGTATCGTGACAGCCTCAATACTCGTCTCATTATTTCCGGGTTCAATTTTTGGTACTTGAACCATTGGCGTGACAACTTGCATTGTACCGTCACTTTGAATATTCGCCACCATTGTTTGGTACATACTGGCTGAAACTGGTACAGTGATGACGCCAGAAACCGACACTGGATAGCCTGAAACACCGATAAGGAGTGTCCTCGCTTCTGCCTAATTTTTTTCAAAAATTATTTTTTTCGCCCCTATGACCGTCTTTTTTTCTTTTGTCGGGTCGTTGGGTTGAATTTTGTTTACACGAAAAAAATTAGGTACTTATTTTCTTTTTTAAAACAAAGTTTCTTTTTCTAAGAGCAAATAATACGACACACGTGCTATATAATAAAAAGCGTACAAAAAAAGAATCATTTTATTAGAAAATTTAGAAAACTGTTTTCAATTTTCTTATTTTTCCCACATTTTTTCAGTGTTTTGAAAATATTGTAAAAATTGGAAAAAGATTCTTTGGAATATTGTTAGAAATACAAATAATTTGGAAATTGACCAACTTTGGCCGCAATCGTTAAGGCGTGAAAGTACGTGAAACTTAAAGAGGGCCTTGAGTTCGATTCTTCGCGTAGTTCAATAATTTTTTTATTTTTACACTCTTTTTAAAAAACAATTATTTCAAAATTCGAGTAAAGAAATAAAATAAAAAATAGTATTTAAAAAAAAAGAATAAACTTTTACATTTATTTCTTTCTTTTCTCTACTATTTTTCTGTTCATTTTATTAACTTTTACGAAACTTGATCTTTAATTTCTTTTTTCAAACTGTTCTTTTCATTAAAACTTTTTAAAATTTACATTTGAAATTACTTTCATAGGTAAATTTTTAAAAGTTAATAAAATAAAAAAAAAAATTTTGTAAATAAAATTAATAACAAAAAACATAAAGTAAAAGATTTCCAAAAAAAATATTTTTGTAAGAATATTCCAAATTTTTTTTATCCTTACACGAAATTTTCCAAAAATAACAAAATTGTCAACAATTTAAAATTTTAATAAAATGATTCAGTTTCAAGTGAAAAAATTTCTCTAAATTTCGCATTTTTCAATGTCAAGAAATATGCAAATAGAAAATATTTTGCAGATTTTTTTTTAGAAAAAAATTTAGTATTTAAATTTTGACTATTTTAAAAAAAGTCTTAATTTTAACAACAATAGAGTTAAATATAAAAAAAAAAATGGTAAAATATATCAAATTTTTGTAAATGAGAGTATCGTAAACATTAACATAAAAAGTGGAAATTATAAATAAAAAGTAAAAAAAATTTGATATTTAAATTTTTCATTATTTAAATATTTAAGAACACAAATATTAATACCTATTTAAAAATTTTAAAATAAAAAAAAAATTTAAAGAATAAAATAAAAGTGTGAAAATAAATAAACTTTCGAAAAAAAATTCTTTAAAACTTTATAAGAAACACTTGAAAAATATTTCTTATAAAATTAATTAACGAAATGCCAAGAAAAATCATTAAAGTTACTTCAATTGAAATTGAAACAAAACTGGAAACTTTTTTTGAATTGTTAAAACAATTTTTAAAATAAAAATTACAAAAAAATTGAAAAAGTAAAATTTTCAAATAAAAGTTGAAAAAGTAAAAATGGAAAATTTACAAAAAATTGAAAAAGTAAAATTTTTTTTATTTTTAAATTTAATTTAATTGGAAATAAAATGATAAAATTTCCAAAAAATTGAAAAAGTGAAAGAAAACAAAATTTACAAAAATTTGAAACAGCAAAAGAGTAAAATCTGCAAAAAATTGAAAGAGAAATTTTTTCACCAGAGAAGTCAACAACAATTAGAAAAATTATATTCAAATCTACTAAAAAGATATGAATTACCAAAAAAAAAAACTACAATTACGAGGCGCACTAAAAAATGAAATTCGAAAAACTTTCGAAACTTTCTCACTTCTAACAATAAAAGAAAGTAAAATTTTCTTTTTCTAGAAAAAGAAAATTATAACAAAAAGAGAAAAGTCAGAAAAAAACGAGCTAAATAAAATCATGAATTTCATTAAATTCGAATTTATTAAATTAAATTTCATAAAACGCGTCAATTATATATTTTAACTATACACATAAATATAGTTAATAATTTTATACAAAAAAATCATTCAAAATATTTTGCGCAATTTAAATAATATTGAAAAAGAAAGAGAAAAAACCTAATATTGTGAAATTTTTACATTCAAGATTCTATTCGAATTAAACAAATAAATTGATAATTATTTAAGAAAAAACAAAATAATTACAATTTAATTAATTTAAAAAAAAAATTACAAGTTTTGGCGAAAATCTGTTTTTTTCCCTTTCTTGCGAAATAATAATGATCAAAAAAATAAATCTATGTACAAGTTTGTTTTTTATTTTTTTCTGTGTTCATGTGTGTTTTGTGTTTTTCTTTTCTCCTCAAGATTAATATTATAATCTTCTGGATATTGGCAATAATAATAATAATTATTAATTACTATTATATCCATAATCATAATAATAAAAACATTTTCGTTGTTTACTTATTTATAATGACTCCCCTGGTGAAAAAAATTTCTCTCAATTATTCTTCTGTAAAAAAAAAGAAAACAAAAAAGAAGAGGTTTTCAAAATTTTCAAAATATTAAAAATTTTTCTCTCGTATATTTCTGGACAATGAAAAAAATTTGCCTAGAGAAAATTCTACAAAGCAATTTTTGCTCTCATGCTTTGTTTGATTTTTTCTTTTTTTACTTTTTATTTAGAAGAAAAAAAATTTGTCGAAACCCTGTGAAATACTTTTAGAGAAATCGTTTCACCAGGGTTAGCTTTAAGAATCCACTTGTAATTATATATACATTTATTTATTTTCTAAATTTATTTCTCTTCATCTAATTTTTATTTTCTTATGTAAATTTATTTTTCTTTAACATTTATTAAAGTTTAAAAAAAAATCGACAGAGTTCTTTCTTTTCTTTATTATTCAAGAGAAAGAGTTTGGAATTTTTATTTATTTAAAAATATTTAATTACGCAATTCACGAAAAAACGAAATTCTTTTTTCAACAATTTGCAATTTTCTCTAAAAGTAAAACAACTTATTTTATTTAAGTAAATTTTGCAATTATTTTCTTTGTATTTATCACAATTTTGTAGTTACTTTTCTTTCAATTTCTACGAAAATATTTTATTTTAAAATTGTCAAGTTTTTAATACTTTTAAAATTTTCCCTTTTTGTCATTTTTTTTCTTCTAAAATTATTTTCTTTCTTTACGGTTTTTTTTTCCGAATTTTCGGTTCGTAAAATTTTAATAAAATTGAAAAGAAAATTAAAAAGAATACTTTTAATAAAGTTTTGAGTTTCATTAAATTAACTTAAATATTTAACTTTAATTAAACAAAAATTAATAACAAATTTTCAAAAAAGAACAGTTTTTTAAATATATTTTTTCAAAACATGAATTAATAAAATAAATGAAATTAATGAATTTAAAATTATTTAAATTAAAGAAAAAATTTCGTTTGTTTTTCTGAATTTGAGCAAAAATAAAAATTTCCAATTATTTACTCAACGTGTCAATTATTTCGTCACATTCTCAAAAAAAGACAAAATTCACATGGAACGATATAAAATTACATAATTGAGCGAAAAGAAAAATATTTACAAAATCGTCTCTTTCTTTATTCATTTGACAAACTTTGTCAATAAAATTAAATTACGATTCGATTAATAATTTTTTTGAATTAAAATAAATTCATCTTCTTCGATGAAGAAAAATATAAAAATGGATTCTTAAAGCTTTCTTTTCTTCATTTAAAAAAAAAAAAATACTTAGACACATTCATTCTCTTCACTACTTTTTTCCTCTTTTTCGAAAAACAAAAAAGAAAAAAAAATCAAGACAACATGCAAGAAAAAAAATAATAATAATAGCGTAAGGAATAGAATATTTCTAAGTTTTGCAAAAAAAAAAGGAGAGAAACAGAGAAAGAAAAAAAAATTTAAAAAAAAAGAAAAAGAAGAAGAAATAGGAGGAAAAAAAATCAGGAATCACTCCTCCATGGCTTCGTGGGTGGCGACGGTGCAGAGCCTATAGTAAACAGTTTTACCATGTCCATCTTCGCCGGTGAGAATAATTTGGCCGTCCTGTCCAAGAGTCGCCTCCGTCACACTGTTCAAATCAACGGAAACTGTGCCCTCAGCTCCGCCCGTAACTTCCGCCAATGTTTGAACCTCCCCTTGACTCGTGTGTATCTAAACATATCGATTAGACGCAATCAGTTCATTCCCAAAAAAAAGAAACAAAAATTAAAACACAGTTATTAAAAATAATTATATTTTATAGGGGAGACTGAGGCTGAAAGTCAAATTTTACAAAAATGTTCCTTTTTAGGCACTAAATCCCGTTTAGATGCAAATATATATATATATATATATATATATATATAAATATTTTAAATAATTGTATTGTAAATAATTATATTGTAAATAATTATATATTATAAATAATTATATTATAAATAATTTTAACTATAAATAATTATGTAATGAATAATAAATACAAAAAAAAATAAGTTAATTACCAAATAACCAATTTTTTAACTTACAGAAATTACCTTCCAAGGGTTGGAAATGGGGATAAATTTAAATTTTAAATATAATAATAAAATTTACATGAATAAATTATTAATGTTAATATTTTAATTACTATAAACACACTAAATAAATAATTAAAATAAATTTCTACTTGTGAATTAAAAAAAATCAATCAAAGAAAAATTTTAGGGAAAAATTCAATTAGAATCGAATAAATGAAACATAAAATACAAATTTAATTAATAAATCGAAATAATCTTTTTCTATATTAATAATCGATAATTTGTTTCCAAATTTTGTAATAACTTTTCTTTTTAAATATTTTTCATTTTGATATTAATGCATTGAAAATCATTGAATTCTTGCAAAGAATCTTATGAAAAAATTTGAGAATAATTGAATTCCTTCGAAGAATTTTTTTATTTATGAAAATAATTGAATTCGATGAAATTAAAGATTTAATTTTGAAATTATTGAATTTTTAGAAAAATTTTTTTAAAATTTTAGTTGAAAACAATAATTGAATTTCTGCAAAAAATTTTACTATTTATAAAAATAATTAAATTGTTTTCAAGGATTTATTAAAATTTTAGAAAATAATTGAATTTATTTTGAAACTTTTGCAGCGAATTAAGTAAAAAAATAGAATTCTTTCGTGAAATTTTATTGAAAATAATTGAATTGTTTTGAAGGATTTATAAAAATTTTAGAAAATAATTGAACTCTTTCGAGAAATTTTATTAAATTTTTGTTGAAAACAATAATTGAATTTATTTGGAAACTTTTATAGCGAATTAAGTAAAAAAATTGAATTCTTTCGTGAAATTTTATTGAAAATAATTAATTTTTGCAAAGATTTTAACCATATAAAGAAATAATTTTATTTTTGTTTGATTAATTAAAATTTGAATCGAATTAAATTCTAAATTACTATTGAAATTTGAAAAAATTGCATTTTGAATAAATTAAAAAAATTAAATTGAATTCAAAGTCAAGTTAAATTTAATTTTCGTTCACTTAATTAGAAAAATTAAAATGAATTTAAATTTCGATCGATTACAATTTTAATCAAGAATTACTTTAAGTAAATTAAACTAAATTTATAATAGAAATTTCATCTGAATTTTAAATCAAGATGAACAATTTCGATAAATTGATACCTAGATCAATTGAATTGATTACAACTGTTTTTTATTCCATCGAAAAATTAATCGAATCATGAAAAAAGGTGAAAAAGGTAGAAACAAAAATAATGGGCGAAAAAATTTTAAATAGTTACAAAAATTTATGCAAATAAAAATTAAAACAAAAAAAAAACAGAAGAAAAATTAGGACTAATAAGAATTCTATCTGAGAAGAGGTAAAAATTAATTTTAAAATTCCTTAAAAAAAATTAGTTTAACTAGAAATTAAATAACAAATACAAGGGGAAAATTAATAAAAAATTGATAAAAAAATTTTTAAATTGACGACGCCGAGAAAAAAATGTGAAAATTAAGTCAAAAAGTATTATTATTATTTTACGTCCGTTTGTATGAATAAAATAAATAATAATAAATCTTTTATACTGTAAATTTAGTAAAATAATAAAAATAAATCTTTTATAATATAAATATTTTATAATAAAGTATAAAATAATAAAAATAAAAAATGTAGTAATAAGAATTAAAAAAAAACACTATTCTACAATAAATGTAACAAAAATCATTAATATTTCACTAAAAACTAGCAAAAACTGACGCGCGCGAGCGCGCGTGCATTTTTTTTTCAACGTTTTATTTTAAATAATTAAAACTTTATTTTTTCAGCGAATTTGAACCATTATGATGTCACAATTTTTTAGCAAATGCTGTGAACAAATTGTGACGTCATTATGGTTCAAATGCCATTAAAGAAATTATTTCATCTTCTATTAATTAATATATTTTTGCATTTTCTTTTTTTATATAAATAAATTAAAATTTTTATTTATTAATTGAAAATATCTGTTCGCAGTTTATATTTTTTTTTTGTTTAATATTTTAATAATTTTATGTTTTAATATATATATAAATATATTTTTTCTATTAAAATAGCAATTCTTTAAAATGATTATTATTATTTTTAAGGGTATTTTAATTATTATTATGACGTTATAATGTTTTAAATAAATTTAAAAAATGGAAATGCTGGAAAGAATGAAAAATACATTTTTTTTAGAAATATAAAATTATTCAATTAACATCTTCTATCTTTATATCTTCTCTCTATATTAATATCTTCTTCTTCTATCTTCTTTGATTTAGTTGTAATTTACTTTTTTGTTTCCTATCTTCTTTAATAATTTTATGTTTCAATATTTTTAATTTTAGAGGCATTTCACGTCAGAAATATCACGATTTGCAAAGGGTATGCCGATTTTCGCAAAACTTCGTGGGATTATAGTTCTATATAAGAGACTTCTTTCCCCTAAATTTTTTCAAAAAAAATTCAAAATTGTTGAAGATACGCCATTTTGAATTTTAATATTAATTTTATAAAATTTTGAATATCTCGGAATATTGTTTATGGATTTTTATGAAATTTACACATTTTTCAGGTAAAAGTATGTACTTTAAAATGCAAATAAAGTTAATAAAAAAAAAATTAATTTTTAAATAAAAAATTAAAAAAAATTTTTTAAAACAATTTTTTGTTTATTTACTCCTCTCTGAGAAAAATGTTATTAACATATTTGGATTCCTTATGAATTCACCTTTAATTTCATAAAAAAAAATTGATGGAGACTCAACTGGTTCCGGAGATATTGAATTTTTTGTAAAAAAAAGCGTCGCCGCGCCATAGCACCATACTGCACAAGTCGCGTAGTACGTTACCGCAGTCGTGCATTGCTGCTGTAACTATGACTATTTTTTTACAAAAAATTCAATATCTCTGGAACCAGTTGAGTCTCCATCAATTTTTTTTTATGAAATTAAAGGTGAATTCATAAGGAATCCAAATATGTTAATAACATTTTTCTCAGAGAGGAGTAAATAAACAAAAAATTGTTTTAAAAAATTTTTTTTAATTTTTTATTTAAAAATTAATTTTTTTTTTATTAACTTTATTTGCATTTTAAAGTACATACTTTTACCTGAAAAATGTGTAAATTTCATAAAAATCCATAAACAATATTCCGAGATATTCAAAATTTTATAAAATTAATATTAAAATTCAAAATGGCGTATCTTCAACAATTTTGAATTTTTTTTGAAAAAATTTGGGGGAAAGAAGTCTCTTATATAGAACTATAATCCCACAAACTTTTGCGAAAATCGGCATACCCTTTGCAAATCGTGATATTTCTGACGTGAAATGCCTCTTTAATTAAAATTAATATATTGAATTTCATTTAAATTCTTGCAAAAAATTTGAGAATCATTGAATTTCTTCAAAAAATGTCATTATTTATGAAAATAATTCAATTTTCGCTAAAAATCATTAAATCAATTTTGGAAACCCTAATTAAATTTTTCTGAAGAATTATTTTTTATTTTTTGTTTAATAATTGTGTTTCTTTAATAATTTTAATTGGATATTTTTAAAGTAATTTAAATTTATGAACAATTTTTTTCAAGTTTTTAAAACTAATTTTTAAATTTGTAAATTTAGTTGAAACATCTATTGTTTACATTTATCCCTTGTTTACAATTACCCCAAATGGCCCTAATTGTAAATTGATTGTTTTGTTGATTTTTGAATTTTATTTCGGAATAATTCAATTTTTTATTATGTATTTTTCATGATTTGAAGACTTTATATAGTCTTTAAAAGACTTGATAGTATTTAAATAGTTGAAATGAAAGGCGGTGCCTAAAGTATTTTTTTTAAGTTCATTATTTTTTTTTCTTTTTAGAAAATCTATTTTCTATAATATTGTGTTAAAAAAAACGTTAACATTTTATATTTTATTTGAACAGAAGATAACGATAAGTTTAATTCTTGCAAAAGAAAGCACTTATAAGTTAATTCTACACACAAACACACACAGAAATACGTTTATTTTTTACGTAAGTGCCAATAAATTAATTTCAATTTTTTATTTAAAATGAAATAATTTAATTTTGAATTAATTGTATTTTTGATATTTGAATAATTAATTATTATTTTGAACAATTACATTTTTCAATGATTTCAAAATAATTAAATTTTTATTAAAAACAGAATAATTTATTTTTGAATTAATTAAAATTGTTTGATTTATTATTGAATAATTAATAATTGACTTTTGAATTATTTAAAATTCAAATATTGTAAAAAATTAATAAAATATTTAAAAAAAACAATTTATTTTTAACATAATAAAAAAGTAATTTATTAAAATACTAAATTCAAATAGATTTTGAATTGCAATTATTTTTAAAAATGAATAAATTTTTTGTGTAAAATCATTTTTTTTAAAATTAATTAAAATTTGAAACAATTGAATTTTTTTTTTCATTTTTGAAAAATTAATTATTTCGAACAATTTTTTAAACATAAAAGAACCAGGAGCTATTATCACTCATAATAGCAATCAAAAAAAGCACACACTAAAGGGATCGCTCTTCCCAAAAAATTTAGACTCTAGATCCTGCACTGTATAAGTTAATAATTGAAGATTAATTAAATTTTTGAAAAATTAAATATTAAAAAATTAATTATTTTGAATAATTAATATTATTGAACAGTAATTTACGAAAACGACCAATGTAATAAAATTTAGAACGATATTTTTTATTGATTCAGGAAAATTGAATTTTTTAATTAAAATTAATAATCGTTGAAAATTGAAAATAATACAACTTTTATTGACAATTCGATATTTCAGTTTTTTTAGATTTTAAAAATGCATAAAATTTTCAATAATAATAATAAATCAAAATACAATAAATATTATCAATTATAATTATAAATAAAAAAAAATAATAATAATAATAATAAGATATACGAATAAAATTTGTTTTTAAGTTATTTTGAGATTTTTATTTAACAAAATAAAATGAAATAATATAAATGATTTAATTAAGAAGAAAATTTTAATTAATAATTAGAATTTACCAATCTACAGTTTTTTTTCCACTGAAAACGGTAACCTCTCGCCTGATACCAGATATTTTTCCACGATTTTTCAAACACAATAATTCTTGTCACAATTTAACGTTTTTTAAAAACACCCGCACTACCGCATAACATAACATCGGAAATGTCAAAACATCACGAAAAATATAAACAAACAAAAAAATCATGATAATAATTCGCAAATGATAACTAACAACTAACTTCATACTGCGAACGGACAGAATGAAAAACCACAGACTTTAATAAAGTTAATTCTACAACAATAACAAATTCTATTACATTAGGTATACAAAAATTAAAAAAAAAAACATGCAATTTCGCAATCTAGTGTTAATTAATAATCATTCTCATTATAATTATGCAACTTATTAATTAAATATTAAATTATAAAAGCAAGTGTACGAAGTGAAGTTGTATAATATACATAAATACACACGTAATATTTCTATAATAATTTAAAATAAACTTAATTTAAGCTACTTATAAAACGAAAAAAAAAATATTCAACACCGACATCGAACAGATTCTATCTCCGATAGAAAGAAAAATAGCGACAAAAAATAAAACGTTGAATATTCCAAATTCATCATCAACGTTACAACATTCAATAAATTGTTGTAAATATTATTTTTTGTTATTATTATTATTATCATCATCAATAATAATAAATTATAATAATTTCCTTTTAATTTAAATAATAAATTATTTTATTATTATTAAATTATGAAATTATATTAACAATTTGTCATTTATTATTATTATTATTATTATTATTATTATTATTACTAATTACTGTGTTGAAAAAATATTAAAGCAAACAAAAAATAAATAAATAAACGGAGAATAAATATATTCGACATCCGTGATTTTTCTTTTTTTTTTTTTTTTTGAGCGTATAAATGAAAATAATAAAACAATACTCGACTGAACTTAAAAATCTATATTTGCTGAATACTGTACAGAAAAAGGCAAATTAAATCTAATATAAATGAAACACAAATTATCGGAGGTTATAACCCAATGATGAATTTGGTCGCCACACATCTTTCAAGTTCGTCCTGCAAAAAATATTCAAAAGTGGATGATTCCACAAAAATAGTTTTTTTTTCTTTCAAAACAACGGAAAAATTTTCAAAAAAAAATGACTTTCTCTTTCATTTTTAAATATATAAATTAATACCTAGAATTTAAAACTTTTAAAAATATCAAAATTTATTTATCTTTACTTTGAAGTAAAAGTTATATGTATCTTAAAGTAAATATTAAACTTTATTTTTATTTTAAAGTGAATATTTAAATTTTATTTTTCTTCTCAAGTAAATATTAAATATTTTTATTTCTAAGTAAATAGTAGAATATTCATTTTTATTTTTAAGTAAATATTAAACATTTTTTTTAGTTTAAAAATAGTATATTAATATTTTGTTTTATTAAATATTAAATATCAATTCAAAAATAAAAAGGAAAATATGAATAATGATATTTGTCATTTAACTTAAAATTTAAATAATTAGATGGTTCTTATTTAATTAATTTTTTTTCACGTCTTAGTTGTACGTCGAGAAAAAGAAAAATAATTCTCTCTTCGGAATAAAATTCTTCATCTGCGATTTAAAATCATTAAAAATTTTCCCGATACTTATTTCCTTTTTAAAACAATTTTCGATACGATATTTCTTCTCGTTTAGAAAAAAAACATGCAATCACGACAAATAACTGCTAATAAAAATACAAAAATAAATTTTAAATACATAAACATAACAAATATTAATAAATACAATTTCTTTATCTATGTGCATTATTTGTAAAAACAAAAAAAGGAAATAAAACGAAAAATTCTAATTCATAAAAATGTAAAAAAGCAAAAAGTCTAAAAAATCAAATTTACTTTCAAATCGCATAAACTTTCAAGTACTAAAAACTTTAGAAAAAAAAAATATATTTAAAAAAATGATAATATTCACTTTTGAATGGTGCAGAAAGAAAAATTTCTTTTTTCAAGCACAAGCAAATATTTGACAAATTAAAACTCACCGTTGCAACTCCTTGAACCTGAGCGGTAGTTCCATCAGGTAATGTGATGATTGGATTACTCGGATCGACTTGAATGAGGGATACCGTTCCATCTGGATTTGTTATCGTTTGAAGCACTGTCGTTGGATATTGCAACTATATTTAAAAAAAAATAAACGATTAGTGAAAAAATCGTACAAAAAATAAATCTATTTATATTAATATATTTTGCAATATTAAATTATGAAATTTATGAAAAATTATGAAAGCCCGCGTGATAAAATATTATAATGATGAAAAAATGTATAAAATGTGAGAAAAAAAAAATTGCTAACAAATTCAACATAAGGGAAACCATAAACACCAAACGCAATAACGAAAATAAAACAAGCGCGATTTAAGCGAAATGATCCGACAAATATCCAATAATTTTTTTCTTTAATAATTTTAATAATTGAATATGAAAAAAAAAAATATACAATGTTTCTCATTTAATTTCATTAAATATTCAATTATTAAAATTAGAATTAATTTCATGGTAAAAAAACTGAGTTTTGTTTAAAAAAACTCCGTTTTTTTACCATGAAATTAATTCTAATTTTAATAATTGAATATGAATATAAAAAAAACACAATGTTTTGTCAATTAAAAAAAACTCAGTTTTTTTACCATGAAATTAAATGAGAAACGATTTTTTCCCTTCCTAACAGAAAATTTGATAGTAAAGTTTTTTTTTGAAAATAAAACAAAAAACTTAACTTATATTTTATAAAACGATTTCTATTCAGAAGAATGTCTGATTAATCTAGTTTTTCAATAAAAATTTTTTAAATTAATTTTCAAATAAATAAATAGAAAATTTTAATGGCTTCCTCTAAAATTAATTTTGATTCAGCCGAAAATTGAATAAATTAATAAATAATCGAAATTTCCCTATTCACAGTTTTCCCTAAACTTCTATGTTTACTTTGAATAAATTAGAGTACTTAGAAAAGTTTTTCATTTGCTTGAACATTCTATGTACGGAAAAATGCAATTTTCTAGTTTACTTTGAACAAATTAGAGTATTTAAAGCAGTTTTTCTTTTGCCTGAATATTCCATGTATGGAATAATGTATTTTCCATTTTTACTTTGAACAAATTAGAGTGCTTAAAGCATTCCTTCTTCACTTGTCTGGGATATTCCGTCAATAAAATCGACGTGTAATTATGTTTACTTTGAACAAATTAGAGTACTTAAAGCAGTTTTTCATTTGCCTGAATATTCTCTGCATGGAATAAAGTTGTTTTTACTTTGAACAAATTAGAGTGCTTAAGGCATTCTTTTTCCCCAATCGCCCGAATATTCCATGTATGGAATAATATAATTCCTCAGTTTACTTTGAAAAAAATTAGAGTACTCAAAGCATTTTTTCCCCATGTAACTCAAATAATTTTCCCTTTCCCTTTCTGATTCTACCTTTCCCTAAAAAATAATATTTATATTATTTAAATAACGTATAATAATATTATTATTTTTAAGGAAAACGTGAAATGCAAAAATAAATATATTTAAAAAACATAAATAAAAAATTAAAAATAAAATCTTTTTAAAGAGACAAATATTGGATAAATGTCAGATCCAAATATGAGAGAGAGAAGAGAGCTCGCGGAAGAAAATTAAACAAAAATGAAAAAAAAAGTGTATTTTTTTGTGTTTCACGAATGCCACTCCCACCTGAGTGGCAGTGGCAAGAGATGTGGGTGACGCGGCAATGATTTGCGGTGGCGAGCAGTTTCCCTTAGATGAACCCGTGCTGCTGAGTCGAACAACTCCCACCGTCTGATGTTGCGATTGTCCGCCACCGTGCGACGATGTCTGCGCTACCGTTTGCTGCAACAACACATTTGATTTGTCATCATCCTCGCTAAACGCCGGCAATAGGTCCTCCCTTCCATGGAATTTATAGCAATTTATCACTATCTGTCTAAGAGCGTGTGTCCATGATATCTGAAAATTCAACAAAAAAAATCCATAAATTTTTAAAGAAAAGAGCAATTTTTTTTAAAATTGTAAGTTTGAAAAAAATCATTTTCAACCCTTTTGCAATAACAGACTTCGCACTCGATAATTAATTTTTAAAAAGTATCTTTCAAATTTAAAAAAAGTAGTAAAAATGTAGCTATCGAAAAATTAAACTTGACGATAAAAAAAACACGTTTTAGACACTTTGTAAAACTGACAAGAGATCCATTCCATATTTTTTATTTTCCTAATATTCATTGAAAATATTTACTACTTTCTTATCCTGATAATAAATTAAATTCCTGCAACGAATTTTACTATTCGTGAAAGAATTTAAATATTTATAAAAAATAATTGATTTCTTTCGACTAATTTTATGCCAATTCTTATTTAAATAATTGAATTCCTAAGAAATTTTTATTACTCATGAAAAAAATTGCATTCTTACGAAGATTTTTACAAAAAATTTAAAAATAATTAAATTTTACAATGAATTCTATTAAAAATTTTTTGAGAATAATTAAATATCTGTGTGGAATTTTATTACATTTGTTTGAAATTAATTGAATTCTTGAGAACGATTTTATAAGAATTTTTTAAAATAATCAAATTTCCAAGAAAAAAATTTATTACTTCTAAAAATAATTGAATTCTTGTGGAATATTGTTATTTATTAAAATAATTGAATTCTGCAAAATAATTGAATTATTTCAAAAAAATTTAATCAAAATTGTATAATTAAAATAAATCATTTTTTCGAGGAATTGAAATTATATTTTTAAGAATAATTACAATTTTTGAGCAATTTCTGTAAAATTGTATTAAAAATAATTGAAATCCTGCGATGAATTTTATTATTTATTAAAAAATAATTGAACAGCTACAATAAGAATTTTATTAAAATTTTCAAAAATAATTAAATTTCTAAGAAGAATTTTATTATTTATGAAAATAATTGAATTCTTGTGATGAATTATGAAAATTATTGAATTTTGCAAAGAATTTTATTAAAATACCTCAAAATAATTGAATTTTCGGGAATAATTTTGTTATTTATCTTTAATAATTGAATTCTTTCGAAGAATTTTATTAAAATCTAGAAGAAGAATTGAATTATTTCAAAACAATTTAATTAAAATTGTATTTAAAATAATTGACTTCTTTCGAACAATTTTATTCAATTATTTTCATAAACAATAAAACTCATCGACGAATTTCAATTATTTTAAATACAATTTTAATAACAATTTTTTGAAACAATTGAATTATTTTTTTAGATTTGAATAAAATTCTTCCCAAGAATTCAATTATTTTTGGAAATTTTCATAAAATTCTTTACAATTATTCAATTATTTTCATAAATAATAAAATTCATCGCAGGATTTTAATTATTTTTAATACAATTTTACAGAAATTGATTTAAAAAATGTAATTATTCATAAAAATTTAATTTCACTTCCTCAAAAAAAATAATTTATTTAAAAATGTGTTTTTTTTAAATTCTTTGGAAAAATTCAATTATTTACAGAAATATTAGAATTTTTCACAGGAATTCTATTATTCTCAAATATTTAAATTCTTGCTTAGAATGTTATGAAAATTTTTTTTTAAAAATGTTGAATTTCCATGGAAAATGTTGTTATTAGTGAAAGTAATTGAATTATTGTGAAGAATTGTTTAAAAATTGTGTTAAATAATTGATTTTTTCGAAATTGTATTAAAACGCCTCAAAATAATTAAATTTTCGGGAATAATTTTGTTATTTATCTTTAATAATTGAATTCTTTAGAAGAAATATTTATGTAAATAATTGAATTCTTGGGGAGAATTTTATTAAAATCTAAAAGAATAATTGAATTATTTCAAAAAAAAATTTAATTAAAATTGTAAGTATTTAAAATAATTGATTTCCTTCGAAAAATTTTATTACAATATCTGAAATAATTGAATTCCTAAGAAGAATTTTATTATTTATGAAAAAATTGAATGCGAAAAATTTTATTTAAAAAATGTTTAAAAAGAATTGAATTTCTGAGAATAATTTTGTTATTTTAGCAAAAATAATTGAATTCTTCATAAGAATTTTATAAATATTGTTTGAAATAATTGAATTCTTCTCGAAAACTTTATTTGTGAAAATAGTTGAATTTTTCGATTAAAATTGATTAAAAATATTATTAAAAATAATTGGAATTCTTCGATGAGTTTTATTGTTTATGAAAATAATTGAATTTGTGTTTAGAATTTTATCAAAAGATTTTTTTAAAAATTGAATTTCCATGAAAATAGTTATTGTTAGTGAAAGTAATTAAATTATTGTGAAGAATTGTATAACAATTTTTGTTAAATACTTGATTTTTCGAAATTTTTTTTGAAAATGCTATTTTAAATTAATTGAAAATCCCGTGGAAATTTTATTATTTAATAATTGAATTTTTGATAAATTTTATTAATTTTTTTTTAAATAATTGAATTTTTTTTACGAAATTTCATGAAAATACTAGATATTGAAAATAATTGGATTTCGAATATTTTTTGAAAATAATTGAATCGTTTTAAAGAATTTGTTTATAATTTTTGAGAATAGTTTTTTGATGTCTACTATTAGTGAATAAATTAATATTAAACAAGAGTAAGAAATTTTTTTTAACCTTTTGTTTCTCGTCCTCGGATCTTGCGTCCATTCGAACATTCGCCCAGGGCAATTCCTTTGGCCACCAGGGTGGTCGTGTACTCTCTCGGCCCCAGCCTGGTTTACCTCGTCCCGTGGAATATTTCAACATTAACGGAATGAACGCTCTTAATTGTGCTTGTGTCATTTTTTCAACTGGCGTTGGTATTCCGTCGATAATTAATGGCGGCAATTCATAAAGCGATGGATCGTCTTGAACTGGCGGCGGCGCTTGTTGTGCGAGGGCATTTTCCAATTCCTCCATTATTGCATTGCGTAAATTTTTCACAACATCCTCCAATGGTTTTGCGCCAAATACTTTATAACTGCTATTTGGCTTACCCGGCGTTGCCACCAATACAATTGCCTGTTGTCCAACTCTCGTTGCAAATTCATCTATTGTTTGCTGAATTGTGACAAAAACAAAAAAAATTATTAATATTTAAATTTAAGCAGGGTGACCGATTTTTTCAAAAAAAGTTATTTTGATAATTTAAAAAAAAAATTTAAGATACTCACTCTCAATTTCCTGAGAAGTCTGTTTTGTTGTCTTTTTCGAATACTGGGATTTGTCTCGAAACTGTGAGGTCTTTTTCGTTTTTTGGCGGAAACGATTGCGGCCGCCGCAGCAACTCCAATTGGTCCTGCATTAATCAAGTTTCATTTAAAATAAATCTTGTAAATTGCTCGTTAATGTGCAAGCGACACAAATTTTTTTGTTTTTTTCTTCAAAAGAAGTCACTTTACTGCCAATAGAAATAAAAAAATCGAAAGCAAAAATATATTTAGAAACTTCTACTATAAGAGTAAGAATTTTCATTAATAAAAAAGCACACAATTATAATTAATCCAAACAAAATTTATAATTATCAAATCTTTCTCCTTCGAGTATTTTTTTTTATATTAATAAAATTATTTTAAATTTCATTAATAAAAAGAATACAAATATAATTAATCCAAACAAAATTTACAATTTTCAAATCTTTTTCCTTCGAGTATTTTTTTTTTATTTTAATAAATAAAATTACTTTAATTTAAATTTATTTTAATTTTAAAAATTGTATCAAAATCGTTATTTTTACTGTTTCTTTCACTTAGAAAAATAATTCTTGTTATTTTTCAATTTTTTTTTTTTTTTTGCTTACAAAAATATTTCTCGTTATTTTTACTTTTCGTTTTATTTACAAAAAAAAATTTCTTGCAATTTTTACAATTCTTTCTATTCTTTAAAACTATTTGTTTGTAATTTTTGCTTGACTAAAAATTGGAAATTGTACTTTGGAAAAAATTTTAAAAAAATAAGTTTTTCTATTGGCAAAGTGCATAAAGTGACTAATTTTTTTTTATTGCAAACTTTTTTTCAACTGAAATAAAATGCTCAAGCAACAGTAAAGATGCAGTAAATGTAGCGTGCAGAGAATAAAAAAAAAAATATTTTTCTGTCTATTTAAACAGACATTAACGTTACGAAATAATTAATTAATTAAAACCAATTTAATTTAAAATTTGCAAATAAAATTAAAACTCCAAAGTAAAAATGAGAAAAATAAAAAATTTACATAAAATGCAATATAAATTATTTATAAAATTATTTTAGATAGAATAAAGTAATAATAATAATAATTATTATTATTATTATATATAATATTAATTAACTACATAATAAACAAAAATTATTTTACTATTTAAATATTTAGCGAATTTAACGTTTCAAATATAGATATTGTGAAATAATATTTACAGAAGATAATTAATATCTACAATATTAAATTTAATTAATTAATCAATAGAACATTCAATAAGCGAATAACTAAATTTTTCATAGTTAAAAAAAATGTGTACAATTAAAATATTTTTTATATTTTATATTTATCCATCGATTTGAAAACTAAAAAAAAGCAAATTTTTATTTTTAATTCTATTGATTTTATCTCATTAAATGTCAAACGTTGAGATACTTTCAACATTGAACTGTGAAAAATAATTTTTATTTTTATTTACGTAGAAAATTAATAAAAATAAATAAAAAAAAATTAGAATTACTAAATTATCTAAGTGAAAAATTAAAATTATTTAAATGAATTGTAGAATTATCTAAATAACCATAAATATTATCAAAAGGAAAATTAGAATTATCAAAAGGAAAATTAATTATCGAAATAAAAAATTAGAATATTATTATACATAAAAAAAATAATTTGTAAGATCCTTAGAATTTTTTTTAATAATTGTTAAAGCGATAATAATAAAAAAGAAGAATATATAGTAAATACATATAATATACAATAATAATAATAAATATATTTAAATTAAATCAAACATTATAATATATACATATAAATAAATAAATAAAAAGGGTGATTTCCTCTTTTTGATGAATAAATTACAATAGAAAAATGTAAGAATGAAAAAGTTCATAATTTAATTTAAAGTAAAATTAAATTAATCTTTTTTCATGAAAGCAATGTTTTGTTTTTTTGAATTTTTAGTAAGCCATCTAAATAAAGCAAGCATATGAAAATGATGATGAAGATATATATAAATGTACAAATAATTAAAATGTAAATAGAATAATATTATTGACGAGCTACACACGTTCTACAATATAAAAAAATTATTTTCTTTTTTAAAAAAAAGACTCACGTTTTTCGAGAATTAAAAATTATAATATATTTTCTTGTTGCAACAAAAAATAAAATCTTCACATGCTTTTTGAGAACAATTCATATAGAAAATTTAAATACTTTTCTAATTTTTGAGAGAACTTAAAAAAAAATTCATCTTTTTCCCCATAAAAATTGAAATTAAATTTTAATTCCGTACATCAATTTGTCCACAAATTTTGATTGAAAATTTGAAATGTGCAAAACATTTTTAACATTTAATCATCAGTTTAAAAATAATATTCAGCACCGGTAATAAATAATTTAAAAATTTATTTTTCTTCTTTTTGTTCTATTTAAATAAATATAAATATTCATTTTCAAAATAAAAAATAATTTTTTGTAGTGAATTTTAATTAAATAACTTTTCATTAAAAATAAATAAACAAGAATAAAACAAATTTGAAATATACAAAATTTCAATTCAACGAAAGTGGAAAATGATTTATTGAGAAATTTTTCAACGTAACTTTAAAATTGACATTTAAATATTTATATAATTTATATAGAAAATAGATACAATTTCTTTTATTCCATTTGGAAAAAAGTTACGTTTTTTCTTGTTTTTTTTATAGAAAAGCAATTAGTTCACTCTGATTAAATTAAAAAAAAAACACACGAAAGATTTGGGGCAGAAGAAAAAAAACGAGAAAAAGTTGCGTTAAATAGCAGTGAAATATTTATAAGAGATATTTCGTTTGTTCAATTCTATGTGAGACACATGAATATTCTGTAAAAATAATTTTCATTCGAATTATCCAGTTTTTTTAAGTCTATTAAACCAAAGTAAATAATTTAGTCACCGAATATATAAAATTCTGACCGACATTTTAATAGAATTAACGTCAGAATTTTATGTGTGGTTTCCGGCAGCTGAATTATATAATTTTGTTTCTTTTCCAAAAAATAAAAAAAAAAAAATAGAAAATTCCTAAAACTGCAAATTTAGTTCGTTTTACTGGAAATTCAAACGATTTTTTTTACAAAAAGAAATATTAATGAGTCTCAAAATTAGCTAAAACTAAAAATCATAAAAGTGCATTACGAAATTTAATTATAATAAATAAATTTGAGAGAAAAACACTATCACAAATTTTGCAAAATAAAAATAATGGTAACAATTTAAATTTTACCTTCCTCTTTTTTTTTCTCACAAAAAATATTTTTTTAACACCAAAAATCCCCCCCCCCCCCTCTCGACTCTTTAAAGAAAATATATTTTTTAAGTTCAGGGTGTCTACTATTTTCGTTCAACAAAATTCCCGGTTATTTCCCAGCTTTGTCCAAATTTTTCCCGGTTTTTTTTATCATCAAATTTAAATTTATTCGATTTCGAACATAAATAAATCTACAAATGACTTCAAAATTTTTTATTTATTAATTTTTTTAATTTTAATTAAAAATTTGGAAAATAATTGAATTAAACAAAGAATTTTTTAAAATTTTTTAAAATAATCTTATCTGTTCATGATTATAACTGAAAATTTGATTAATTCAATTTTATTAAAATGTATTGATACTAATTGAATTTCTGCAAAGAATTTTACTATATTTATAAAAGTAATTGAATCCTTCCACATCAATTCAATTATTTGAAAAAAATTAATAAAATTCGTTGTAAGAATTCAATTATTATCATAAATAATAAAATTTTTCCTAGGATTTAAATAATTTTTAATAAAATTTTAAATGAATTCCTCGAAAAATGTAATTATTTTCAAACATTTTTTGCAAGAATTCAATTACATTTCACAAATAATGAAATTCTTCGCTGAACTTCAAATATTTTTAAAATCTACTATTTTAATAAAATTTCTCAAAAGAATTCAATTATTTTTATAAATAATAAAATTCTTCACAGGATTTCAATTATTTAAAAGAAATGTAATAAATATCGTTGCAAGAATTCAATTGTTTTCCTAAATACTAAAATTTTTCACCTGATTTCAATTATTTTTAAAAAATGTAATAAGTAAAAGTTCGTTGCAAGACTTCAATATTATTTTCCTAAAGAATAAAATTCTTTTCAGGATTTCAATTATTTTTAATACAATTTTAAGTAAATTCTTCGAAAAATGTAATTAATTAAAAATTTTTTATTAAAAATCTTCGAAAACAATAAATTTGATTTATCAATTATTATTTTAAATAATCAAATTTTTTCGATGAATTTTAATAAAATTTTTAAAAATAATTATATTTTTCGAGGAATTCAATTAAAATTGTATTAAAAATAATTGAAATTCTACAATGAGTTTTACTATTTATGAAAATAATTGAATATATTGCGCAGAAATTTTTAAAAATAAAATTATAATTACTTTGAAAATTCGATTTGTTGAAAAGTTTTTAATGAAATTCTTTAACAAATTTAATTATTTTCAGTTGAATTTCACAAAATTTCTATGAATTCGATAATTTTTTAAAAAATTTATTTACATACTATATTTGAATCAGTGACTAATTTTTTACTATCAAATTAATTATTTTTAACTAATTCAAATTTGGAGAACAGTATAAATATCTATAAAAATTGAAATAAAAAGCGATTTTTTACACACAAATTAAAATAATAAAACTTTTTTTAATTTGGTGAAAAAATTCCCGGTTTGGCATTAAATTCATGGCTTATTCCCGGCTATTTCCTGGTTAGTAGACACCCTGAAATTCCTCTTCAAAAGGGGAATCTCTGAATACATTTTAAAGTTGATCCTTTTCTTTTCTGTGTAGCAAAAAATCTAAAATAACTTACATCCCTCAATGTGGACACTTTCTTTCGGTTTTTTTTTGTTTTTGTAATTTTTTTTTTAATCATCTTTCTTTATATGCAGAGAAAAGTAACATGATAAATGGATTAGAACGTAAGTAACTCAAAAAAATTGGTGAAAAAAGCAAAAAAATGGAAATCACCATTAGCGTGTTTGATTTGCCAACCTGCAGCGGCGAGTTGGGCCGTAACGTCATCATCCATTGCCGCTGATAATAAATCGCCCTCCTCATATGCCTCCGAGCCGCTTGTTGGTTCGTCATCGTCGTCATCGGTTATTCTCTCTTGTCTTTCGACGTCAGTGTTATGTACAGAAGTCATCTCTTCCATAGACATCGACGTCCTATTCTTAAAATTTTTTCTAATTCTCTTCTAATATATACTATATATATATGTTTATTTTTTTTTTAAAGTATATTTTCAAAATTTAAAAAAAAAATAATAAATAAATAAAATAACCACCGTGTCTTCTTCCTATTTATTTTCTCCCTTCTATCACTCTTCAATCACGAGCCAACTTACAGTGAAGCGAACTTCAATAGTCCCCCGCTTTCTTCACTTACATCACTTTCACCTGAAAAAGAGCAAAACAAAAAAAACAACTGAGGTCAATATTATAACAATCAAGGTATTGTTTTTTATTTAAGCACTTTTTATTATCTCTATTTCTAAGAGCAAAATATATATTTATTGCATATTTCGACCTAAATTGGAAACTTATTGTATTTTTTGACCTGAATTTTATCATAATCATCTATATTAATTTTTAATAATTTTTTGAAAGTTCTTCGAGAATTCAATTTTATTTAAAAGTTCAATTTTTTAAAAATAATTTTCATTAATTTTCATTTTTATTGAATTTACACTTGAAGATTATTCTATAAAATTCATTTTTGAGAGTTTTACTTTCAAAATTTTCAATTAAAATTCTTTAAAAATTAATTTTTGAAAAATTGTAATAAAATATTTGAAAAAATGATTTATTTTCAATTTTAGGTAAAGAAAAGTAATGGATATACAAAAATTAGTTTTAGGATTTAAAAATCCAAATATCTAAAGGAGTAATAGTTTTTTTTTAAAAAAAAGTTTAGGTCAAATTTCAAAATCAAAAAAAGGTCGAAAAACAGCTCACAAATAATTCAAGAACAAAAATTCAAAATTTAAGAGTCGAATACCGTAAGCAAAGAAAAAATAGACTAACATAGGTTGTAAAGGAAATTAAAATAAAACATTAGGTCAAAAATTACAATTAAAAAGTACAATGCAATAAATAAGAGGAATAAAATAAAGAATAAATAAAAATTTAGGTCCAATAGGCGAATTTAATATTTGAATTTAGGTCCAAAGTGGCTAAGTTATAAGGTCAAGTTGACTGACTTTAGGTCAAAAATAAAAAAAATTGACCTAAAAAAATTATCTTCCATTTTTTACCTTTAAAATTTTGACCTAACTTCGGAATTAAAATAGTATAATAGTAATAAAAAAAATAGTGAAAGAATACATCAAAATGAGTAAAAAATTCCGAATTTAGGTCAAAAGTTTAAAGGTAAAAAATCGAACATAATTTTCTTAGGTCAATTTTTTTCTAAATATAAATTTTGCTCCATAAATTGATAATTTATATTCAAAGTTCAATTTAAATTTATTTTTCTTTTTGTTAAATATTTTAAATTCTAATTTTTTATGTAGGTACATTTATAATTTAAAGGTTTCTTATTTTTGTACATTTAAAGTTCTGACACACGCGCACATTTTATACATATATATATATATATATATAATTTTAGTTGAGTCATAATGTTAAAACTCTACATCTGTCCCATACCTTCGATTTTTACCCCCCTCAGATTCAACCCTCCCTCCCTCCCCACCAACACCACAACCACAACTTTTCCACCTATCACGAAAAAAAAATCCCTCTCACCCCTCGTTGGTTTACGTTTCTCTCAGCTGACTCGAACAGATGCGACGCTTTTTCGGACAATGAACTTATCTAATACATTTAAACCCAATTATTATGACACGTTTCATATGAAAAATAATTGCCAGGGGAAAAAAAGGAAAATGGAAAAAAAAATATTTTAAAAATAAAAATTTGGGAGAAAATTTATGTTTCTGACAATTTCTGTATTGAGAATTTTATTATTTTTGTTATCAATTATAATTATTATTATTATTATTATTATTATTATTATTATTAGGTATTTAAATCTTTATTTTTAGGGTAGATAAATTTTTTAAAAATTATTTTTTCTATTTAAAAATACAAATATTAAATAAATAAACTATTGACATTTAACCATTAGGGAATTTTAAATTTCTGACATTAGATTTGAAATCAGCGTCTTTAGAATTTTTAAAAACTAACTTCAGATTCGTAATAAGCGACCCTAAAAACCCCTAGATAACAAATTTTCTAAAAAAGCCAACTTTTTCAAAATTTATCCGTTATATTGAATCCGCCATTTTGAATTTTGAAAAACTGACATCATATTCGTAATCAGCGACCCCGAAAACCCCCAGATAACAAGTTTCAAAAAAATCCAACAATTTTTTGAAAATTTATCAGACATGTTGAATCCGCCATTTTGAATTTTGAAAAACTGACATCAGATTCGTAATCAGCGACCCCAAAAAACCCCAGATAGCAAGTTTCAAAAAAATCCAAGAATTTTTTCAAATTTTATCCGTTACATTAAATCCGCCATTTTGAATTGGCGATTCAAACAGCTAAACTAGCGCCTCCGGTGGCCGAGTTTAAACTAATATATACACGACTCCCTGCATGGTGTTCAATGTAAATATCAACGTTTTTATAGTTTTTCAGTTTTATTTTCACTATTAAATCAAGTTTTTTTTTAATTGTTCTACTTGTTTAAATATTTATTAAATATATTATAATAATTTTGAAAGAGCATCGTTACTCGCGGACAGAAAGAAAAGAAAAAATGGGAACGAAACAAATGTTATTCGCTCTGAATTGAAAAAAAACAGAAAATCTTTATCAGCTTCCAAAAAATGTTGTAAGACGTAAACAGTAGGCTATTGCATTTAAAACAGGAAAAAAATTAACCGACAAAATGAAAGTTTGCAGTACAAATTTTAAATCTAAAGATTACATATCAACTAGAAAGAACATTTTTTGGTTATGTTTTTATATGTTTGACAAAAATTCTAATTTTATATTACTTCTAATTATATATTATTAATTTAATCTCTATAGACATTAAATTAATAATATAAAATTAGAATTTTAGATTATTAGAAATATAATATTATTAATATTAGAATTATTTAATTATTAGAATTAGAGCGGAACATAATAATTGTTTCGATCCCGTTTTTTCTTTTCTTCTGTTCATGAGTAACGATGCTCTTATCCATATTTATAATAATTTATTTAATAAATATTTAAATAAGGTTAACAATTTAGAAAAAAAATTGATTTAATATAATGAAAATAAAACTGAAAAACTTTAAAAATGTTGATATTTACCCAGTAAAAAAAAACTAATTCAAATGAATTGAAACGAATTAACATTTTTGGTAGGCTCCAATTCGTATTTGTCACAAAGCGGGATTCACGAAAGCTCTTTGTGAATTCTTTTTAATTCATTTCAATTAGTTTTCGTTTACTGGGTACATTGAACACCATGCAGGGAGTCGTGTATATATTAGTTTAAACTCGGCCACCAGATGCGCTAGTTTAGCTGTTTGAATCGCCAATTTTTAAAAACTGACCAAACTAACCGCAGATTAGTCTTAATCAGGACACGAAATAATAAAAAATATTATTCTTTTTTTATAAAGAAAAATGCTGCATTTTAGTACCATATATAGTAATAATTGAATTTATTAGAAATATTCGCCATTTAAAAAATAATTTCGTATTGTAATATAATTTAGAATTATAATGGAATTTTTTAGAATTATTATTCGTGTTTAAAAAATAACATTTGGTATTTTAATATAATTTAGAGCTACAAATTGAATTAACTAGATATATATTCTTCGCCTTGTAACATTATCTGTTTGGTTATCTGCTGATATTAATGCAGGACAAAATATTTGAATTGAGGTTAGGTTTTCAATCTTTTTTTTTTAACTCACTCGCTCGAAACTGTTAAACAAACGAAACTTGACATACATTATTATTCAATGAAACTATTTTTCTTTCGCATTCGACATGGAATTTTGTCCTTCATTTTCTCTCAATTCTTCATCACAATGATATAAAAATCGTAAAAAAATGTTTAGCCCCCATTCAAGTGATAATATTTTTCAAAAATTTTTACCGGTATACAAAAATGTAACTTTTAAAAAATTATTTTTCAAACTGAATTTTTAAAAAATTGGGTTTTTAATTATTTTTTAAACGAAATAAATATTTTCTTTAATTAAAAATAAATGTCAATTAAAAATAAATTTATCGGTTATTACCATAATATTAATTAACTTCGAATTCCCAAAAAAACCATTTTTTAAATATACAATTTTGAGGTTATGTGGGTCATACTTTATAGCACGAAAGAAATATTTTTCACTAAGGGTAATGTAAGAATTACTAGACACTATGATTAATTCTGAGAAACATTTCTCTTTTTAAAAAAGTGAGGTTATGTCATTTCGCGTGAAGAAAAAAGGAATTGTAAAAACCGTAAAAAGTAAAAACTTTCTCATTTCACTTTTTTTCACAATTTACTCTTTTTCATCTTCTCTTTCGTCACACACAATTGATAAACTTTTCTAACCTCAAAAATGTGAAAGTTAAAATTGAAATAAAGGAAAACAAAAGTTTTTTTTTCTATAAAGAGAGAAAAAAGAAAAAAAACTACTGTCAAAAAGCACGTGGACTCCCGACTGCAACTTGGCGAACTCTACCGGTAAAATCGAAAGGAAAGAAAAGGGAACTAACGAAGAGGGGTTAACGGGGAAGGGAGGGTGAGACAGACCAAGGGGAAAGAGAGAGAGAATTCCCTCTCTCTTTCAGCAGGGGGAGAGGAAATCGAAACCTTTTTACCTTCCTCCTCACATTCTCTCTCTCTCACTCTCTCTGCCACTTTACTATCTTTCTCTCTCACTCTCTATTTTTGTCTCTCTCTCTCTATCGCCCTCTCTCTCCCTCTCATGGAAACCAACGCTCAACAAACGAGAAATGTCGTCAATTTTGCTGAAAATAAATGGAAAAAAATGGAAAAATCGAGAATAAAAAAATATTATTTCCTGTCAAAATAAAGAGTACGAAGGGCGAAGTGTGTCTACTATTTTTTTTTTGTCAGCCTCTCCTTATTTCTTTAGTGCACACACTCTCACACACAAGAGCAAAATGGGCCCCGAAATATTGAAAACCCAATCTCGTGGAGGGTCGTCGTCGTTGTCGTCGACGATGATGATAATGTTAAAAATTAAATGAAAGAAAGACGCGTTTTGTTTTTCGTCTAGAAGGTGGGGGATTTGTGATAGGAAAAGTTGACAACAACGTGCTCTCAAGAGCGAAAATGCGCAGGGCAACTCGCAAAAGTCGTGAGATCCGCAAGGCTCATGACCGCGGGCGGCGTTGAGCAGGCCCAGTGAAAATCGCGAGTTGCGTACGCACCTTTGGTTGTGTTCTCTGTCTCGTCGTCGTCGTCGTCTTGTGTGCAGCTGACTTTGGCGCGAACACGGGCTTTTTTTTGCCCCCTTTATTTATATTATAAAATAATAAAAAGTAATTTTTTTTTCCCACATTACAAGAAAAACTGTATTGAAAATTTACTACCACGCCCTTGTTGTCACACCAGAGCACAAGTTTCACATATACACTAAGTTTCTTTTTTATACATATAGAGAAAATACAAGTGAAGTTTCTCACCAGGTGCGCGCTTTAAAGAATATATAATTTTTTGAGACAGAAAAAAACAGAAGTGATTGTTAAGAATTTAATTTGACGTTCTTGATGCAAATTAGAATAGAGACAAGGTTTCGTAATTGTCCGTGAATTTATAAACAACAACACGATGGTGACGAGGTGAACGAACAAGAGGACGCACGACTGCAAGCGGCCATGTCACCCCGCGCGCGATTCCCCGTATCGATCGGCGGTGCGGACCTCCATCATCATCATCATGGATGATCGCCACGAGTACCACCACAACGAAAGGCGCGAACCAAAAAGCAATATACAAGTAGGGTCGCCATTTTAATGGAGCCTGCGCGTATGAACGGCGGCGGAGCAGACGATACACAAGGGGGGATTTCATTCCAATTTCAATCGAATAAACATCGCGAGAAACATTAATTGCAATGGGGAATTGAAAAAATATTGTTTAATAAATTTTAAAGAACTGATAAAACTCACCAAATTTCAACATGTAGACACGTTCACGATGCCACTTGACGAACGCCACAGAGATGAAGAACAGTGTGGAAGAGAGTGGAATAACGTGATTCGTCGATAGTATGACATGGCGCTTGATTGTCACGTATTTTCATTGGCCGATGAAACACGTGATCGTGTTTAAAGTCATTTTCCATTGGTTCACATCAAGTTTGTAACCTAACTTCTATTTGAGCATTGCATCATGGGGAGTTTTGATTGTTGTCGACAGTTTTCATTTTAAGGTAAATATCTTTTTATTATCTCTTGAGTCTGTTTTGTAGGTTTATAACATTCTTTTCTTTTTGTTATAGAAAAAATTCTTTCCTTTTCTAAAACTAAATTTCTTCTCTTTAAAACAAATAATTTATTTCAAAAAATAAAATTTTACATCGACTATTTCTTGACAGTTTGTCTTGAAGGGGGGTTTATTGATTTATTTTCGTGGTTTAGGGTTGGTGCTTATACTATATTGATTGATTGATGCTTGTCTCTAACGCTACTGGTATTGTACATGAATTGTAAATTACTTTTTTTTTCCCTGTTCTATATTACATAATTGATTTTAATATTCTTGTGGGTCAATATTGACGTGTTTCGATTGTTTTTTTGATTTTGAGGTTATCTCTTGTTGACACTTGCGCAATTTTACAAAAAAGTATTTTTTTCCGGGTATTTAATTATTAAATGTCGAGTATTTTTGTTTTCTTCTGGAACAATTTTTAAAAAAATATTGTTTTCAATTTTTTTTAAATAGAAAAATATTGACGCAATCTGACGTAATTTCCAAATAAAGATTTAATTGACTATGTACTATTATTAGGTATTTATTTATTATTATTGTTTAATAAATAATATTAAATAAATAACAATTAAGTAAATAAAACAATAACATTCGTCAATCATTATAAAATATAAGTAACAGAATATAAAAATATACAATAAAAATATAAAAAATAATAAAATCAAAGATAAAATATAATTTAAATTTATAAATATGGGTAATTCCACGTGAAATGTTCCTATGACATTTTAAAATCTGTTAAACATTTTTTTCTCATTCTTTATAGAAAAAAATGAGAATTGAAATTAGGTATAAATAAATAATTATAGAATGAAAAAAATTAATTATTAAAATTAAATATTTCAAATTTTAGGTATAAATAATTAAAATAAATAAAATATTCAATATGAGTTTTACACTCGATTTTATAGAAACAAAATACAGAAAAGGAATAATCAATAAATAATAATAAACATAGAGAAAAATAATTTAAAAAAATTATCTATTTTTCTATGAATATCGAGTTTTTTTGAAATAAAGTCAAATAAACAATAAGGAGAGTTTTCAGAAAAGCAATGAAAAAATATTTTGTTTTTTTTGTTTATTACAAGAAAAATACTTGTATTCATTTTATACAATTATTAAAATAAAACTAACAATATAAAAGAATATCAAATAATAATAATTCTAGTAAAAAATGGTGTAAAGCAACTTTACATATCACATCTGGAGTAGGATTTTCTTTTACTTAAAAGTAAAAAGAAAATTACTAACACGTTCGCATTTTGTTCCGCGATACCGACCGATTGGACTACGAATTTTTTTTTTTATTTATTTATAACAATTTTTTATTTTTTAATTTCAATTTTTTTTACTTTTAATTAATTTAATCTTTTAATGATATTTTTAAAAAAACATCCATATAGTTTTGAAAAAATGGATTTCTTTTCATTTTTCAAAAGATTTTTTAAAATGAATTTTAGAAATTTATTATAAATTAATTTTGAAAGTTATAAAATTTAATAATTATAAAATTGTTTTTAAATAAACCTCTATAAAGCAAAAATAAAAAAAAAACAATTTGAAATTCGTAGTCGAGAAAAAATATATTTAAAAAAAATTTACCTAAATATCAACAACACGAGCCAAAATTCATGAAAGACCAAAAACTTAATAAGTAACAAGATACTTATACATAGACATCAATTTTCTAGATTTACATTAATTTCACTTTTTTTCGAGTCTCTTTTCGTTTCTAAATAATATAATAAAATTAAAAACATAATTCGTGATTTATCTTAATATTAATTTTTTTTTTGCATTTCAACTGTAAAATAAAAATTTCCAAGGTATTTTTTAGTCTCCTAAAAGGTTGAATTTTAAAAACGAAACATTTAAATTAAAATCATTTTTAACAATTAAAAATAACTCTTATTTCCTTAAATTCAAAAGTTAAGGTTATAAAAAAACATTTTTCTATTAAATCCCCCCCTTAACAGCCGTGGCAAAAATTTGTATCACGTGTTAAGGGGTTAAAATGAGGAAAAAAGCATTTATGAAAAAAATAATAAATAAATAAAAACGCACATAACAAATTATAATTAAAAATATAAAAATAAAACAATTACCTAAATATAAAAATAAAAGAACATAAATCAAATTCTATAAATATTGAAAATTTAAAAAAAAATCGCGAAAATTTAACATTTTCAGAAATATTAATATTTATTTGAATAAGAATTTTTTAATAATAAAAATTTTTTCTATAAATAATAATTTTAAATACAAAAATTAGACATAAAAATAATTTTGTTAACTTTTTGCGAAATCTTTGGGAATTCTTATTAAACAGCCAAAATTGAAAAAGTAATTTTTTTGATTCAAAAATACGGGATTGTCCCATTTTTCTTCTAAGTTGATTTCATTATCTCTGTTTCATTTTCTTTTTTTTTTTTCTAAAGACAAGATTCTGTAATAATTTTTACAGAAACTGCCCAGTCGGTCGAAACCATTGTCATAATTCAAATCGTTTTTTTTTGTCTGTTTTATTTTCAGGCCCAAGGTTTATTCTTGTTGCATAATTTACCAAACCAGCCTGGCTCACATAAGCAGGTGTTGTCAGGTTGGCACGTTCCGTTTCTGCATGCTCTCGTGCAAGCGGAACGTTGAGGTGAACGTCTTCCAATTTCACAATGATCACCTTTAAAACCCGCGGGACATCGACACAAATTGTTGCCTTTGCATTTTCCTCCATTTAAACATGGAATTACACATTTAGCTGTAAAAAAAATAAATATTTAAATATTTTTTTTAATTAAAGTATTTTTTTTAATTAAAATATTCTTTTTTAATTAAAATATTTCGATATATTTATTTATTTTTAGGTAATTTATATTTTTTTTCTTCGTTTTACTTACAAAATTCACAATGAAGACCATAATATCCTTTGGGACATTCACAATTGTCTTTCTGAACGCATTTCCCTCCGTTTAGACATTTATCGGAGCAAATTCCTGAAAGAAAGAATGTATTAATTAAATTAATTAATTAAGTTAATGTTAATTTTTAGTAATTGATAATTAATTTTGTTTCTCTTTTTCAGGTGACGAGTGAAAAAGAAAATGTTGCGATTAGGAGAAAAATTATTTGTTCGTTTAATGAGCAGTGAAGCGCAACAAACTGCATCGGCAACAAATATAAGAGCGAGTAATCTCGTTGATTCAATTGTTCGAGTTGATCATGCCGGTGAATTGGGAGCTGATCGAATTTACGCCGGACAAATGGCAATATTAGGTACAGATCGAAAGAAATGTTGTTCTTTGATTTGATGAAGTTGCTGCTGTAAAAATGTTGCTTGACTCTTGATCGTCGGTTCAAAAAAAAGAATGACGATAAAACATTTTATACAAAAAAATATTTAAAAAAGAAAACATTCATTAATTTACAAAACAATAGATAAAAAGCAAACAGTTATCTAATATTTAGAAAAAAATATAATTTACTGTCTATTCCTATTGTGGAAAAAAGCCTAAGCTCTATAATTAAATTGAGAAAGGACTTGATGAGAAAGTGGGACAGGACTAATATTGTTTATAAATTTAATTGTAATAGTTGGTCAGCCATGTATATTGGTGAATCGAAACGATCGAAACGTACCTTGAAAAAAAGAATAAGTGAACATAAAAACAAAAAACCTCGATTCTGTTGTGAACAAACATCAAAGCGAATATAATCATTCGTTTAATTTTGACGATGCAAAAATTTTAGATTATGAAACTTCTTATAAAAAACGATTAATTTCTGAAATGATTTATATTAAATGCAATAATTTTACTATTAACAAGAAGGAAGATGTACAGGCTTCGCACTCATTTACTAAAACCTACAATTTTTCACAATAATTCAAATACTTTCACTAATAATATTTTTCATGGAAATTCTATTTTTTAAAAAATTGATAAAATTCTAAGCAAGAATTTAATTATTTTCATAAATAATAAAACTCGTCGAAGAATTTCAATTTTTTTTAATAGTACTATTTTAAATTAATTTATCGAAAAATTCAAATATTTTCACAAATAACGTTTTTCACAAGAATTCAATTGTTTAAAACAATGTTTATAAAATTCTTATAAAGAATTCAATTATATTAAAAAATAACATTTTTCACAGAAATTCAATTCTTTTTTTTTAAACATTTTAATACAATTTTTAGCAATAATTCAATTATTTTTATAAATAATAAAATTCTTCTCAGGAATTCAATTATTTTTGAAGATTTTAATAAAATTCTTTACAACTATTCAATTATTTTCATAAATCATAAACTTCGTCGTAGGATTTCAATTATTTTTAGTACAATTTTACAGGAATTGCTCAAAAAAATGTTATTATTCTTAAAAATTTAATTTCAATTCCTCGAAAAAATCAATTATTTAAAAGAATGTTTTTATTTTAATTCTTTGGAAGAATACAATTATTTACAAAAATATTAGAAATTTTGACAGGAATTCAATTATTTTTAGATATTTTAATAAAATTGTTTCAAAAGAAATCTATTATTTAATTTTAATTAAATTTTTTTGAAATAATCCAATTATTCTTCTAGATTTTAATAAAATTCTTCCCAAGAATTCAATTATTTACATAAATAAATAAATAATTCTTCGAAAGAAATAAATTATTTTGATAAATAATAAAATTATTCCCGAGAATTAAATTATTTTGAGGCAACTAAATTCTTTACAAAATTCAATTATTTTCATAAATAACAATATTCATGACAAGAATTCAATTATTTTTAAAAGTAAGAAATTCTTCTTGGAAGTTCAATTATTTTAAGACAATTTTAATAAAATCGTTCGCAAGAATTCAATTACTGGTAAAAATTTTTAATAGAATTCATTGTAAAATTTAATTATTTTTAACAACTTTTCTCAATTCAATGATTTTCAATATCTACTATTTTTATAAAATTTACAAACAGAATTCAGTTATTTAAAAAAATTTTTGTAAAAATATCTTCGTAAAAATTCAATTCTTTTTATGAATAATAAAAATTTCTCAGGAATTCAATTATTTAAATTAGAATTTGCATAAAATTAGTCGAAAGAAATCGATTATTTTTAAAAGTAATACATTTTTTCTTGGAAATTCAATTATTTTAAAAAATTCTAATAAAATCGTTCGCAAGAATTCAATTATTTTCATAAATAATAAAATGTTTTTTAGGAATTCAATTATTAAAAAAAAAAAATTAATGAAATCGTTCGTAAGAATTGAATTATTGTCAAAAATTTTAATATAATTCTTTGTAAAATTTAATTTTATTAAAAAAATTTTCCCAATTCAATGATTTTCAAATATCTACTGTTTATATAAAATTTACAAACAGAATTCAATTATTTAAAAAAATTTTTGTAAAAATTCAATTCTTTTCATGAATAATAAAAATTTCTCGGGAATTCAATTACTTAAATAAGAATTTGTATAAAATTAGTCGAAAGAAATCGATTATTTAAAAACTTTTATTTAACATTCTTTGCAAGAATTAAATTATTTTATTACAAATATTTAAATTCTTTCATGAATTATAAAATTCGTTGCATGAATTCAATTTATTGGCAGGATAAGAAAGAAGTAAATATTTTTGATGAAAATTAGGAAACAGTCAGGAAAAAAAATATAGAATGGAATTTTTGTCAATTTTGTAAAGTGTCTAAAACGAGTTTTTTTTTGGTCGTCAAGTTTACTTATTCGTTAGCTACATTTTTACTACTTTTTTTAGTTTGAAAGTATATAGACAAAAAAAATTTACTCTATTCTTTTTGTGTCCAAAAGGAAGATCAAAAATGGGACCAACGATCCAACACATGTGGGATCAGGAAAAGCAGCACAGAGCAAAATTTGAGGAATTAATAGTGAAACATCGTGTTCGGCCAACGGCTCTACTACCAATTTGGAATGTCGCCGGTTTTGTCCTCGGCGCTGGGACAGCACTCATGGGAGAGAAGGCAGCAATGGCGTGCACTGTGGCAGTCGAGGACGTGATTGTCGAACATTACAATGAACAATTACGATCTCTAATGGAAAACAATAAGGAAACAATTGACAAAGAATTATTGGAAACAATACAAAAATTCCGTGACGAGGAACTTGAACATCATGACATTGGATTGGAAAATGGCGCCAAACAGGCACCATTCTATCAACTTCTCACCAATATTATTAAGACCGGTTGCAAAACTGCAATCGCCATTACCAAAGTTGTTTGAAAAATTTTATTTATTTTTACAAGAATGTTTATCGATTTTTATAACTCGGAAAAGAGTTTTTCTCCAAATGCAAATATCGACTTATTTCTTTAAACTATTTTACCGACTGTACATAAGATTGGAAAGAGAAAAGGGGAAAAGAGAGGGAAATGTTTCGATTGGAGAAAAAAATTTTTCGAGTGTAGTCGGAAATAAAAATCAGATAACTTAAGATCAACTATGGCTGTTAATTAATGAAATTAGGTAATTAGCTAAAAAATATAAAATAGCTATTGATGAATTTTTGAATACGAAGTTTGATAATAAATATCATTAAATGGTAATTTGTGAGTTTTTACTAAATAGCCTTTTTTTAACAGGGACATCTTCAGAATCGCAAGAATAAAATAAATAATAAAATTCCTTCAAAAAATTCAATTATTTTCAAAAATAAAAAAATAATGTTTCGGAAGAATTCAATTATTTTCACCTACAATTTTAATAACATTTCTTGAAATTTATTATACTATTTATTGATATTTATTGATATTAATGAATTCTTCCGTAGAATTTTAAAAAAATGTTTAAAAATAAAAATAATTTCATTTTCCCTGGAATTCAATTAAAATTGTACTTAAAATAATTGAATTCCAGCGAGAATTTCATTATTTTTAAAAATAATTTAATTCTTGAATTGAATATTATTAAAAGTTTTTTTAAATAATTGAACCCCTGTAAAAAATTCAATTATTCTTTAAAATAATTGAATGTTCTCAGAGCATAATTGAATTTTTGCAAAATTTTAAAAAATAAATGAATTTTTGAGAAGAATTTTCTCAAAATTGTATTTAAAATAATTCAATTCCTGTGAAAAATATGTGACGCGATCTGAAGAAAGGGACCTTAGAAGCAAATCATTTTAAGGTTGGGTTAGAGTTACTTTTTTCTTGTTTAAAAGTTTCTTTTTACTTATTTTGAATTAAAATCAGTGTTTATTAAATATTTTAGTTTTAATGAAGACTTAAACTTTAATGATTTATATTGACAGTTGATCCTTTTTTTGTATTTTCATTTAAAAAATTGCAAACATAACCTATAATTTTTTGCTTCTAAGGTCCCTTTCTTCAGATCGCGTCACATATACTATTTATTGATATTAATGAATTCTTTCGTAGAATTAAAAAAAAAATGTTTAAAAATAATTTAATTTTCCCTGGAATTCAATTAAAATTGTACTTAAAATAATTGAATTTCAGCGAAAATTTCATTATTTTTAAAAATAATTGAGTTCTGGAATTGGATTTTATTAAAAGTTTTTCAAATAATTGAATCCCTGTGAAAAATTCAATTATTTTTTTAAATAATTGAACCTCTGTAAAAAATTCAATTATTTTTTTAAATAATTGAACCCCTGTAAAAAATTCAATTATCTTTTTTAAATAATTGAATTTTTGCAAGATAAAAATAATTGAAATTTTTCGAAGAAATTAATTAAAATTGTATTGAAAATAAGTGAAATTCTGTTAACAATTTTATTATTTATATAAAAATAATTGAATTTTTTACGAAGATTTTTATTATTTATAAATTGACTAAAGAATTTTATTACAATATTATTGAAAATAATTGAATTCTTCATAAAATTCAATTACTTTCAAATTTGTTTATAAATATTTTACAAGAATTTTAATTTTTGAATTTTCTGAAATTTTAAGAACTTACCTCCTTCGCAGTAAGGTCCCTGAAATCCCGGGGGACAGGAACAAACTCCCGGTGCCGTGCAATTTCCCCCATTCATACAATTTGGGTAACAAAGAGCTTTTTTACAATGTGGCGGACCTAAATAACCATCTGGACAAGGTCCCGGATATTGTTCTGTAAAAAAATAATCTTCCTTATTAAAAAAACAACAGAAAGAAAAATTAATTTCTTTCGAGAATTCACGTCGTATATGTGACGCGCTCCGAGGAAAGGTACCTAAGAAGCAAATCATTTAAGGTTATGTTTGTATTATTTTTACATTAATTACAATGTTTCTGGTGTTTAATTTCAAACTAAAATCAGTTTTTATTAATTATTTTAGATGTAATAACGACTTAAACATAAATGATTTACATTTAGATTTGATATCCTCTTCGTATTTTCATTCTAGAAATTACTAACATAACCTAAAATAAATTGTTTGCTTCTTAGGTATCTATTCTTTCTTCAAAGCGCGTCACACCCTCTTTACTTGTGTTCATTTTGAATTTTTGGAAATAAATTAAAATTTTTTTGGAAATTATAATGAAACTATGAATTTTTTCTTTCGAAATCCAAAAAATGGCTAATTTTCAAATTAAAATCTTTGAAAATCTGAATTTTTCATACTTTTAACTAGAGTTGTGGAATTAATTTTTTTGAAAAAGTTTAACGGTTTTCTTTTGAAATTAAACGAGACTTTTATTTTCTAATTTATATTTAATTGAAGAATTTGAGAATAATTCTTATAATAGAAAATATTAATTTTATCACTTGGTCATATTTAATTATTATAAAATATGAAGAAAGCGTTCTTGTTGTCTTCATGTTTTATAATAAATATTCTTTTAATTTTATATAGCTTCCAAAAATATTGAATTAATATATTATTTTAAGTTATTAAATTTTAAAAGGTTTGAATGTTAAATTATTGAAAATTTAACGTCATTTTTTAATTTAAAATTTATTTAAAATTTATAAATAGAAGCGACTTTGAAAATATTTTACAAATTAAATATCTTTGAACAGTTGAATTCCAGTTGGCGTAGAAAGAATGAAAAATTCCAGGCAACAAAAGTCACCTAATTAAAATAACTTGAGTCGCGAAAAAGCTTCATTAGTGAAATCAACTCACACGAGGAATTCACATTTTTACTTTTTCGTTCGCGTTCCATGGGCAAACAATTGTTTGTAATCCGCTGACAAAGATGGTTAAAAGAGTATAAAAGGGTAATTTGGCAATTAAATTGATTAAACCATTTTTTGCGCCTCGCAGCAATAAATTTCTAGCTGTCCCGGTTAATTTATTTCTTTCGGCGTGTAATTAATTGAACTAAATAAAAGAGATGAAGAAAATAAAAAAAAATCTCTCAAGAGAGAGAGAAAGATAGAAGAAGAGAGAGGGGGGAAAAAAAGGAGAAAACAAGGGAGAAAAGTGACTTGAAACTGAAACCGATTCGTCTTGTCGTGGCCTCTCATCGTGAAAAGAGCAGGAAGGAAGCGGCGACTGAGACTCTATACTTTTAATTAAAATTCCGATTGTTTTAGATCGAAGCATGCAGCAAATTAGTGGCGATTACTGATGATACAGAACTGTATGTGTGAGTGGAGAAGATGTGGTGATCGTGGGCGCGACTGACGCACTCACCGCGCACGGTGCATTCTTTTCTCAGGCTGAGACAAAGGGGTGTACCGTTCAGGGCTTTCCTCTTGCGTGTCTCTATCATCAGACCAATTCCAAATTGTGCTATTCCCGATGCATTGCCGGAACAAGGTAACATTACGCTGAATTCTGAAATTTAGAAAAAAACAAATATTTTTAAATCTTAATTTTTAGAATTTTAATTTTAAAAACTTTAATTTCAACCAAATCTATAATAATGCGACTCTTTCGTAATTGAACCCCTTGATGTAAGAACAGTGACGCTCTATGAAGAAAGGGACCTAAGAAGCAAAAAAATTTGAGGTTATGTTTGTAATTTTTAAAATAAAAAAGAAAACAAGAAGTATCTTTTAATATAAACCACCAAAGTCTTTATTGAATATTAAATAATTAATAAAAACTGATTTTAGTTTTACACAATTAAACAGAAACTTTTAATTAATGTGAAGAAAGTACAAAAATAACCTTAAAATGATTTGCGTATTAGGTACCTTTCTTCAGTATCTAAGAATAAGAATCTTTCTTCCCTTTGATTCAAATGGCCAGCGGACTATTTTAGTGAACATTAAAATGATTTTCTTTTTCGGTACCTTTCTTCAGTATCTATCTTTCTTCTATTCAAATTTTATATAATTAAACAGAAACTTTTACTTATTGTGAAGATAGTACAAACATAACCTTAAAATGATTTGCTTCTTAGGTACCTTTCTTCAGTATCTTTCTGCTATTCAAATTTTATATAATTAAACAGAAACTTTTAATTATTATGAAGATAGTACAAACATAACCTTAAAATGATTTACTTTTTAAGTACCTTTCTTCAATATCTAAGAATAAGAATCTTTCTTCATTTTAATTCAAATGGCCAGCGAACTATAGTTTAGTGAACCTTAAAATGATTTTGATCGTTTGCCCCCTTATATATATATATATATATCTACTCCACCGACAGAACATAAACTAGAAACTCATATTATAAAAAAAGGCAATTAAACTTCTAATTTTTGTTTTGAAATTTGAATACGAAAATGTTTCATATTTACCTTTTGGTTTTTTTGGCACTCGGCCTGTTGTTTTTATCGTTATTGACGGTGTCTTTAGTATCATTTCATTGTCGGACGTTAATTTAAAAAAATTATAAAAATACTTCTTCATTCCCGATTTCCACGTAAAATTAACATAATTAACCTCATTCGGTATCACTGGCAATTTGCTCTCGAATTCCGGTTCCAGAAGATACGATAATACTATTCCTTCCGTTATTGCGTATATTTCCATTTCTAAACCTGCAAAAGAAGAATATTATATAAATAATTTTCATTTTATCCATATGATAAATTTCAATACAACAAAAATATATATCTTTTAATATAAATTCTTTTTATATTTCCTTTTTTTATACAAATGCGTATAATTATTATTAAATCAGATTATTCATTTATTCACTTCTATCCTAATCTTACATTACTATCTTTTAGATTGGACGTTTACTTCACTCTTAAATCGCATTTATTTAACTCTTACTATTTCTTCACTGTCATTTCTAATACAAAGAAGCTTAACTGACCCTAAAAGTAAATCAGATGAGTATTAAAGTCACATAATAGCACCTCAGAATTTCTAAAATGTGAGTACTTTACGCTTTTATATTTTCCACACTTTTACCCCATGTAACTCGAAAAATATTCTTTCTGGGGCAATTTGCCCCATACATAATTTGTTCAGAACATCTCAAAGAATATCTTTCTGAAGTTTCAGTCAATTTGGCCGAAAGCTAATTTCTGTACATTTTGTGCGTTGTCCTTATAATAAATTAATTATTATATTAATTATTTGAGATACTTCGCGAAGAAATAAGGGATCTGAAAAACGCATACTTGGAAGACAGGTTGCCTATTAAGAGGCGCCCTTTACTTTTTATAATATAAAAATTTATTTCTACAAATAACATTATTATGATTGATATTTAACATATTATTATCGTTAAAAGTTGTTTATAAAATACCTAGGTCCGATTTTTTGGAAATTTTACTTCCCCCCAAAAAGGTTAGTTACGTAGTTTATGAACGAACCCTTATAGTTAATATTAATATAATAGTACAATAATATTAATATTATTATTTATTATATACTTGAAATTATTATTTATTATTATTTCTACTCATTATTTTATTAATATATAGTAAAAGTCAAAATTATGCATATAATGAAATTTTTTTAATTGTAATGAGGAGAATAAAATTCGTTTAGCATAAGAAAAAAAAGGAGGAAACTACTATTATTACTAAACGGAGGACGTATTATAGTAGTTTACAAAGATATGTGCATTTATTAGAGGCACAAGGCGAGCCAATCTGCGATATTTATTAGTTCAGTGGCAGCTGTTTACTGCTTATGGGTTTGTGGCTTTGAATCATCAATACGAGTAAATTATGTTTTATTATTTTGATAAAAGGAAAACTATTTAAATTTACATAAATCTCACAGTAAGAGAAATATTTTATTTGAACCAAATATATATGATTTATTTGAGTCAAATAAAAGTATATATTTGACTCATAAGCCTACTATAAACTAATTTAGTTATTATTATTTGTCTTAAACACACAATTTTTTAAAAGGGTCAAATTGATACTAAAGTGGATCAAATTGATGCCAAAGATTCGGATCAATTTTTTATTTCATCCACATTTTTGGTATCAATTCGCTGAAATTTGATACTTTTAAGTTAACTTTTTACTTTTTTTAAGTAAAAATTTTATTCAACACAAATAAAATTATTTGAATTTTCCCAGAATTTTTCACGAAACTTGTCAACTCATCAGTAAGTCCAACAAAACCCTTATATATGAAAATCTAAAATAATGTTTATTTGATTATCTTAATATTGTATAAAAATTTTAGTTAAATAAAAATTACGTCGTCTTAATAAGTAAAGAGCATTTTTATCTTCAAGCGATCTTAATACATTTTGCATTCTTGAACCATAGAGAGTTCAAATTTTAGAATATCTGAAAATTTTCGATATCTTTATCATACCGATTCGATGTTAAATTTAAATTTTTCATTTTTGGTATTTCCGAGGACCTTAATTTTTGTCAAATACTGTTTATCAATTGTGGCCTTAAGGTCCAAACAAATAATTAGAAAAAGTTGTTTTTAAATAACAACTTTTTGTTGTTTGGCGATTGTTTCATTGAAATAAAATTTAGAGATCTACATATCTAGTTATAATCATTCTTTAATTCAGTTTGTTTACTTCAGAACTACATATTTATATAAAATATATGTAAATAGCAATTCAAATATTTACAATTCACACTCACTAAAATTTTCTTACTAAATCAAAAGAAAGAATTCAAGAGTCGATATACACTATATATCAAGATGAATTATTTTAATTTATTGAGATTTTAATTAGCGACCACCACCTAAGATGATCATTGTCGGATTATAACCAGGGGTCGGTTTAGCGCGACCGACCTGTAAAATCATATATTTAAATAATAATTTAATGGTAAAAAATTTTCCTGATTAAATAGAATAATAAATATGTTAAAAAAAAATTTTTCTGTAAGTAGAGCACTAAAAACATGTGCTCACTATTGAAATAGGTAATAATAACAGTTCGCCATACTCTAAAACTTTTTTTTATTAACGAGCAAAATAATTCATAGAGAAAAGAGGAAAAATTATTTCTTTTTTCTTAATTATTCTATTACTCAATCCTATTTAAAGAATAATGCAAAAATATTTGCAATTTAAAAAATTTCTTGTATACAATATTCAAACTATATAAATATACATCCTTGAACTGAGATATAATACTTGGCACAATTTACGTTAGGGAAGAACATAATTCCAATACACTCTTCTTCATGAAACCGCTGCAACATGTTCACTTTTTCACTAACCATTGCCACAGAGGAGGAAGAAAAACGATATATAAATGTATGTATACGCACTCTCTGCGAGCCGGCGCGGCGCGGCACATGCTGCTTGCTATCCATTCGGAGATTTGTTTGCAGACGATTATACATGCCACTATACACTATATATATATGTATATTGGAATTCCACGAGACCATCAGGCACAAGTACAGAATGAGAAAGAGAGAGAGAGAGAGAGGAGCAAAAATCTTCTATTGGGTATGGAACACACTCTCTTTGGTCTCTTGTATTTGCAAATAAAATTTCATCCATTGTAAACATTACTCATTCTTTAAGTCACTGTCAATATAACGTTAAAAGTGTTGTTTTTTCGTTTCAATAAACATTTAGTGTCTATTTTCAAGGAAATCCATTAAATTTGCCAATATAAGTTTTAATGGATTTTTTTTCAACATTTTCCGTTAAGTCTTGAGAATTTATTATAACTGCTTTGTTTTAGGAAAAACTTGATTATTTCTGTTATTGCGTTTGATGTATTTTAGTTATTTTTGCTAATAACGTTGTGCAACGTCCTTTTCTTCAAAAAACGTATAATAATAAAAGTGTTGTTGTGGTCAAAAATCATCAGTGCGCATTTGGCTGTCACGTTAATTACTACTGCGCATGCTTCAAAGTCGCAGAACGCTAGTGCGCAGGTGCTGATGGTATGTGATAATACTGCGCATGCGCTTGTGTCAAAAAAAGCACTAGTAGGCAGGTATGAGAAATATATATTAGAATATACCTCAAAATTACGATTTAACCACTTTTTAAAACTTGATAAGTAGAATTTGTTATTATTTGCATAAATATTGATGTTTTCGAATAATTTTACAATTAAAAAATTTCTTAAATGTAATAGAAAAGTGTTTTTTAGTTCTAAGCATTTTTAGAGTGAATCATGTGCTTTACTATTAGAACACGCGTGACCATAACATGCCATTAAAATTGTAGAGAAATGAGAATAAGTATGTTATTATTTTATTAAAATAATAAAAAATAATTCATTTCTCATTAAAATATTTTAGGGGAAGATTTACATTGAACCCCATGATTCAAGAACCAGACGCAGTCCATTTAATTCTAATAATCTATGTTTGGTTCTTGCATCAATAAAGAGTTCAATTAAGTGGATTGAGAAAGGTGAAAGAAATAATCTCCAAGTTAATAAAATCCAAAAAAGAAAAATGCAATGAGCGGAATGTAGGAGTAAAGTTATGCATATAATCGATCCCCATCGCAAAAAATACATCTCTAAAAATTATAATTCAAAATCCATAAAATTAATTAGATACTATTTTTATCCCCATAACCACGGAAGTAAATTCCAATTCTATTTTCGTATACTACATAAAAATATTTCATACTTTCTCTCTACAATGTTAATTTCAAATTATTTAAATTCATATTATCTGTTAATAGCCTCGCTCTTAATTTTAGCAATTGCAAACTGGAGAATCAGTGGCAATTATCCGCATTAACATATATTGTAATAATGAGGCATATAATTATATAATTACAGGATCTAAGACATTAGAATTATTGCTTCTTTAAATAAGCGCAAGTATTCATAAGAAATTAACCGCGCGCTTTATATATTATTATTAAGAAAAATTTGATAATGCACTAATAGTTATTGCAATCGAGATAATTCTTATCTTTATAACATATATATACATTCCCAATCCAAAGGAATATTCTCGAATAGACACATCATCTCATTAATAAAATCAGTGCATTGATTTTATATTTATGTTTGTTTTATTCATAAAAAATATTTAGAATGAAAGGAAAATAGAACTGGAAGAAAAGATGCACTGACAGTATTAATTAGTCTTCGATTTTAAATTTATCTTTTAATTTTACTGCAGATTTTATTTAAGAAAATCAATCTGTAACTTTCAACCCACTTTCGACACTATTAACTTAAAAGTATCAAATTGCAACAAGAATTGATACCAAATATGTGGATCAAATCAAAAATCGATCCGAATTTTTGCCATCAATTCTCATTAGATTGATCTACTTTAGTATCAATTTGATACTTTCAAGAAAACTGTAACTAAAACCATTTTTGACTAAATTTCAGCCTTTTGCTATGATTTTATGATTTTAAATATCTTAAAATTAACTTTGTAGTTGTAAGCTCATAGGCTTCAATCATTTTGTTTTTAAGATGCAAATTTTGTTTTTCTGCTTATATTTTATTTAGAAATGAATTCTTCCGGCATTTTTCATTACTGTATGTATTATTTCCGACAGGATTGCTATCATGCTGCACTAAAAATTGATATCAAGGGGTTAATTTTGGGTAAATTTTTAACTTACATTAGTGCCTTGAAATTTATTTACATTTAGTAGATTTCTTTAGTAGTACTTTCCATAATTTCGTACCAACTTTTTATTTTGATTGACGGTACAGCCAAATCATAATATGTTGATTGCACTTTGCATAATTTCTTAACAAGCATAACAATGGGATCTACTTTTTTAATTCACAATTATACCAAAGAAATTCTTTCTTGCACTTTGTAAAATTTTTGCCAAAAGAAACACTTTTGGTTCCACTTTGCAAATTTCTTTCCACTTTTTCAACTATTTGATTTCTGTTGCACTTTGTGAATGTGGTACCAAAATGAAATTGATTATTCCTCGCACACGATTTAATTTCACTGCACTTGATAAATGTTGTACCGAAGGATTTTAAGAACACTCGATTAATCTACTGCCCAGAGGATCTCAAAAGGACTCGCTATATTTACCGAAGAATATTAACAGCACTTTTTTAATTTTTACTTTTTTTTAATACACTTCGACTAATTCATAGATCTGTGAATTTGTAGTAAAAAATTTTTTTTTAATTTTAAGAAAGATTCGGTACTAATTGTATCCAAACTAATTATAATCCGAACACAATTTTTTCCTTCCACTATATTAACTTAAAAGTATCAAATTGCAACGAACTGATACCAAAAATGTGGATCAAATAAAAAATTGATCCAAATTTTTGACATCAATTTGATACTTTCAAGAAAACTGTGTCAAGAAAAAGTAACAAAAATATAAAATGTATTTGTTTAATTAATTAAACTGAATTTACAGTTCTGTATTATTTCGACGTTTAATGTTTAAAATCCATCTCTTTGCCTAATTTTTAAAGTACATCAAAAATCAACATACATTGTATGTATTATAATTAAAACTGAAAAGTTACAATTGACACAAAGATTAAGTTTTGTCAATTTGAATCGGGATTGTACAGATGATAAAAATTCATAGTGTTCAGAGGTCAATTAATTCTTATTCTACACAATCAAATTTTTCGACTCGACTTTTAGACAAATGATATTATAAATTCAAACTAAATTTGTGACTTTGAAAAAATTGTCTCCACCTTTTTTTATCGTGATTTTTGATGCGTCTTTAATTTGCTATTTTTGGAAAAATTCGAAAAATCGATGTAATTTTTGAAATTACATAAATTTTAAGAAAATTGATTTGTCGTTTAATTTTAAAAAAATTACAACGATTTTTCAAATTTTTACCATCATCATCCCCCTTCACTATTCATCTAACCAATCGCGACAAACTTGACAACCAATTTCCATAAAATTTAATTTGAAAAATCGATGTATTTTTAGAATGTGGTGATGGTGGTAAAAATTTGAAATTAAATTTTATGTCAAGTTTGTCGCGATTTGTTAGATGGATAGTGAAGGGTAAAAAGTGGTAAAAATTTGAAAAATTAATGTACTTTTTTAGAATTAAATTTTAAGAAAATTGTTTGTCAAATTTGTCGCGATTGGTTAGATGGATAGTGGAGGGGGTGACGGTGGTAAAAATTTGAAAAATCGAAGTAATTTTTCAAATTAAATTTTAAGAAAACTGGTTTGTCGCGATTGGTTGGATGAATAGTGGAGGTGGGATGACATTGGTAAAAATTTGAAAAATCGATGTAATTTTTTAAAAATAAATTTTATAAAAGATTGGTTTGTCAAGTTTGTCGCGATTGGTTACATGGATAGTGGAGGGGGGTAACGGTGGTAAAAATTTGAAAAATCGAAATGTTTAAAATTAAATTTTATGAAAATTGGTTTGTCGCGATTGGTTAGATGGATAGTGGAGGGGGGTGATGGTGGTAAAAGGGTGGGTGTGAAAAAGCACCTGGAGGGACAAACACACTCACCGGAGAACATTTTAATTTGTTGCCGATCGATCCAGAGTGAGATGTCACCGGAGGGCTTGTGATCGTTTCCCGTGCGACGGTGCCTCGCCCTGGTTGAATCGGCCGCGAGGAGCAAAAAGATCGCCGCCGAGGCCAGGGCCGTCGCAGCCCACCGCATATTACGAATATACACCCGGGCCGCCGGCAGGTGTCGGTTACCCTTTGCGTGGCCCTCGTTTCGATTCGCGCCGTGAAATTCGAGATTTAATGGCCGGTTAAGCAAGTAAAAAAAGGAGGGGGGATTTGGTGGGGGTGGTGATGGCTCTCTAGTTAACGAGGCGCGCGACGTACCGGCGGAACTTTTTGAAAAAAGAAAAAAAAAACCACAAGGGCTCGGTCGGTAAGGTAGGTAATGTGTCTGTATATATGATGTTCCCAGTTCGAGGTCGGTAGTTTTGCGCGAAAAATTCGACTAGCCGTAAATGTGAAGATTTTTTTTTTTTGATTTATTTTGGAAGCACGCGAATGCACGTGTGTATGTGTGTGTATGACGATATTACACACGATGGGTTGGCTTGACGTGCAACCCGCCTCGCTGGCTGTGGCGAACTAACTGACTGACTGACTGACTGACTCAATGAGAAAAGGCCCTCCGGCCTCTTGTTTTTTGCTCCGCTGTGTGTTCGCCGTTCTCCAGCGTTGCTCGCTCCGAGGAGGAGTGAGAGATCCCTATCTCCCGGTCCCAATACCGGGATAAGGGTGAGTACACAACGGTCCAGAGGGGGTAACCCCCACCAAAAAGCAAATCCCCCTACGGCCGATTGGAGGCATAACAGGGATGGGAATGCCCGGTGCGAATAAAATTTCGCTCCCTACTTGGGAAGCGCGTTCGTTTGCTTATATGTATTATGGACCGCGAAACGATCTCAACAAGGATTTACGAAGGGGTTACCTGTTTCTCGTCTCTTCGCTTTTACTTTTATACTTTTTTTTTGTATCTCTTCTCCTTTTTTCTTTTCCCTCTTGTTGTCTTCTATTCCGCGCGCGCGTTGTGTGTATGGAATTAGATTATGGGGGATAAACGAATTTGCAGAGATGGAGAAAACTAGATTCTGTGTGCGCGCCTATATTATCTGGAACTGAAATCTAGGATGTGTAAATGTCTCCACTGAGAAAAAGATTTATTTAGTTCGATGTGTATATAATGCCTCGAAGATTTAGTGGGTTTAAAGGGTTCCCCTTTTTTTCCCATTTCATCCCACAAACGCGAGGTTAATAAATTACGGTTAATCGTTTCACGTCGGACTTTCGCTATAGAATTTAATTTTGTCATTGGTTCCTCCTTAATTAAACCCAACTATAGTTTTTTTTGTTACGAATAATTCTAAAGAGACGGAAAAATTTTCCATTCTCTAAATGACCATAATTTTGTGGTTTTCATAAAGTTTTTTGTAAATTTTCTTCTACATAAAGTAAACAAACTTTTTTTTAATTTTCTACGTTGATCAGTTCTACGCACATTTAATACGTAATTTCGCTCCATCTGAAAACAAAAAAATTTATTAGTAAAAAATTTTTGAAAATTTAGTGTGTAATTATTAATTTTGCTTTGTAATTTAAAAAAAAGATTCTTTAAAGATAGAAAATAATTGGAATAAGAAAGAAAGTGCAACTTTGTTTAACTGATTGGTCGTTAGTTTTCTGACTCTTTTAAAAGTCATTATTATTTTTTTTTGTTTTTTTTTCCAAAATCCCATGTCGATCACTTTTTCTATGTGTAGATGTTTATGTATATGTATGTATGGCTACCACCGTAGATCATTGGACCCTTGAGCGTGACAGGCAGGTTTTACCTGCCCTAGTAGAAAAACGATTTATGTCAGTGGGTGTGTAAACTCTCAGATCCTCATCTCCTCCCTTTGTGCACGTCTAATTATAGAATTATATACACTCTCAACCTCTACGGTTCTATTACTCTTTATTATTTTCGTATTTATCACTCAAATCATCACGCGCGCATTACGGTTATGTTTAGCGTATCCTCCTTTATTTTTCATGTTCATTCGTAAATATTTTTTTTTACTACTTTATAAAATTTTAAGACAAAATTAAAACAAATTTTTAAAGTTAAATAAAGTTAAAATTTAACAATTTTGGTTTAACTTAATATAAATATAAAAAATATAAATCGATCGAAAAGTATGGCAAAAAAACTTGGAGTATTTCAGGAATATAATTAATGTAATATGACATAGTACAACCTTATTAGATGCAAGTGGAGAACAATGTGGGCAGAATCTTTAGGGACGAACTCTGTGCACTTGTTTAATGCGCAATGGTAAAATTACGGTCCCTCTACAATGCACAAAACAAATTGAAACTTGAATCGGTATAGACTACGTAGGAAATGAATCAATTTAAAAATACGGAATACGAATGGACAATCCAACATTATCACATGTGGTCTTTTCAAATGCACGTGGTTTTACTGTATATCTTGGGGTAATATCGGTATTATACGACTGCCGGCACGGATTCTTGGTGCTTTCAACAAGTTTATATATATATAATATATAAATGTGTGTGTTATAAGGAACCAGTTTTTTAACGTCAACCTTTTGGTCCCGGTCTTCCTTTGGTCTTTGCATTCGACCGCAAAGACTCAGAGGAGAGTATATAGAGAAATCTTCCCCTGGTGTAGTCTCTGCTCTGTCAGCAATACAAGAGCTGAACAGCAGCAACCAGTAAAATGTATACTGGATAAAATATGTATATATATATATATATATATAAACAGGTATACATATAACACACACGGGAGCAGGCAATGCCTTGTTTCTCACGGCACGAGTCTTCTCCTCAGCGTTATTAGGACATACCTTTTTTTAAGGCCTATACGACTTCTATTTTTGAAAGCAAATCATTATCGACACGGTGATTTCATTTCTCACACCCTCATACATAAACACCCGCCCTTATTTCTTACTTTCTTTTATATCATACAGGGAAGAATTGGTTTTTGAATATAAATATAAAGGGAGAAAAGATGTTTTCTTACATATCATTCCTTTGGTTAAATTAAATTATCATATTAATTAATATCATCATACATTAAAAAAAACACTGTTTTCATGTATTTGTACTGTTCACCCCGAGGTAAGGGGTAAAAAGAAAGAAAACAATAGGGGAGAATTACCTAAACAAGGCGGAGTCTCTATGTCTGATGTGAGAGTCAGAAGAAGAAAAAGAAGAAGTAGAAATTAACGGATCAAACTGATGAGAAATGAGGGAACAAAAGGTGATGAATTTAGTTTTTTTGATCTTTTAATTTTAAACCTCTTCGAAAATCAATTTTTAGTTTTTTTTTTAAATTTTTACTCAGTTTGTTGAACCACAAAATTGTACTATTATTTATTATTATTTTATTGCTTTTGTCAAGAAAAATATTTTTATTTCTTGCAATTCGTTGATAATAAATACGTTATGAACTTCACCGACGTAAAAAATTACAATTTTAACCCTTCCTGAATTCAATTATTTTCTATAATTTTCAACTGAACTTTATCCTTAAATCAATTATTAATTATTAATTAAAAATAAGGATAACCCAAAAATAATTACTTTTATATTATTAATTTTAGTGTTAAAATATTATTGATAATTAAAATTAAAAAAGCGGAAAATTAAGAATAAGTATTTTCTACTATTAGGAAAAAAAATATTAACTAACGTTTATTAACGTTTTACTTTTTGTTTAATTTCCAATATAACTGACTCTTTGTATATATATATGCAAGAATAGAACGTAATAGTGAGAAAATGCATATACCTTGTAGAATTCCAAGAATATTCATTTTGGAGAGTTTATTGATAATAGAATTATACATATACACGACTATATGTTAATTATATACGAATTTATCAAAGTCAAATATTCTAGAAACAATAATATAATTTCGCTAGAAAAATGTATTTATATACCAGGGAAAAAATTAGTTTTTCCTGTAATTTTTTTCTTGGAAAGAAACGAAAATTCTGTTTTGTTTAAATATTATAGATATTTAGACGGGATTTAAATTTTTTTGTCAATATTGATAATATTATCGTAATAATTAGAATATTCTGACTAAAATTGTGACGCAAATACTATTTGGAATACAATAGCAACATTGAGGTTATGTTCTTAAATTTACTGACAATTATTTTGCATTGTAAAAAAAAATTTCTTTTTTTCAGTTTCGTTATGGAATTTTATGAAAACGTATGAATTACGTCTTTAAAAATAGTAAAATTAAGTTCGCTCATGTAAACGTAATTAAATGTTCTAATTTCTTAACTTCAAGTAAAAAGTAAATCTGCTACTATACTTTCAAAATAGGTAAAATAATTGAGTCTATTTATTATACCGCTTTGTCTAGAAAGTGGTAAAATTACTTGAATATTGTTAAAATTGTAGAATAAGCAGCAATTAGTTTAATTAGTAAAATTAAGTTATTAATTATATTAATTAAATTAGTGAGCTGTTAAAATTATTTATAAAGTAAAAATACTTAACTATAAATCCGTCCATGAGAGCGATAATTAAACCCCTTTGCGTTTTACACTTTATACACTAAATAGCAGTAATATATGGCAACAGTGCGTCAATATTCAAATATTTCAACAATATTGTATCAAAATTGCCCAAACATTGAGAATATTGAAGTTATGTTGCCAACGTTGCCAATATTGCTGAAATTTTAGGCACCGCAGTTAGGTTATGTCAGAACTAATAAATTCAGTGTGAATAGTACAATAACTTTCTTCCCCTTCATGTTTAATTTTACCCACGAAGTGCAAGCGTCGAACTATGTTTAGAATAATTACTAATTTGATTGGTTATTATCTTAAATTTGGTTCAACTCTTGAATTTCGTTGCGGTGAAATTAGCACGTGAAAAACAAAATTGAACTGAATTTATCCATTTAACTAGAGAAACTAGAAAGAAAATACTTATCACCAGGGTTCGGAAGAAAATTTTTACAAATTTCTAGTATAACATCCGAAATGTGACACATAGCCGAACCTGCTATAGCAGAAGTTTTTCTCTGTCAGAGATGGGTAATTAACAAGAAAACCCTGATTTTTTATTAATTACTGAATAATGTTGTCAACCGTTTACAAATAAGATTTAAACAGCATTGCAAGACTTCTAGTGGTAAAAAACAATCAACAACATTGTGTTTCGTGTTAATAAACAACTATTTTCCATCCGTGAAATTGTAAATGTACCCTTATTACCACCCCCATGCGCTAAAAGTAATGCTACACGCGACCCAACTCTGGTCATCATCACTTGCCATCGAAAAGTGGTTGTTGACAGTGGTTCCTGCAAGTTTACATTTTTCTCTATCATTTATTAATTTAAACAAAAGTATTTCTTTCAAAAAGTTGTTACTAAATTCTGATAATATATATTCTTTTACATTCCATTAAATAAAGTACTTATCTGTGAAATTTAAGGAAGGAAAAATCAATCAAAATTTATTCAGTTGATTTGTCTAAAAAGTTGTCGTTACATTTCCGATGAAAACGCGCGCGGGCCGTACAGTCGAGGCAATAATTGGAAAACCAGCGGAAAAGGAATTCAATTTGATACAAGTAAGTTGATTATAGTACTATACTAAATAATTGTCATTAATCTCGTTGAAAATGTTTATACAATATGTTTTATCTTTGCCATGAAATAAAAGTGAAAAAAATGAACTGAAAATAGCAAAGCGGGGGGAGGGGGGATTTTTGTCTCGAAATTTCTATTATTAGTTTAATTATTTACAAAGGCAGTGTATAATTTACGCGACTTTTTTCCCCACCTTTGTCATTGAACATAACCTACAAAATTAGAAGTTTGCGATTTACCATTTTTGTGTGCGTGATTTAAAAATGATACATAACTTGTAAAATTAAAAACGGTCGCATTTCAATAAGAAAATATAATCTGTAAAATTAAAATTATTTTAATACGAACATAACCTATAAAAATAATATTTCAATTTATTTTATAGGTTATGTTTCGATTAAAATAATTGTGATAATTGTAATTCTTTAATTTATCGTCCAATTAAAGTATGTTTTAAATTTTATAGGTTATGTACTTATAAAATAAATAAAATAAATAAAATAAATAAAATAAATAAAATAAATAAAATAAATAAAATAAATAAAATAAATAAAATAAATAAAATAAATAAAATAAATAAAATAAATAAAATTAAATTAAATTAAATAAAATTAAATAAAATAAAATTAAATAAAATAAAATTAAATAAAATAAAATTAAATAAAATAAAATTAAATAAATAAAAAATAATTATAAAATAATATATTACAAAATTAGAAATACTTCAATAGGAACATAACCTATAAAATTAAAGACACTTCAATAGGAACATAACCTATAAAATTTAAAACACTTTAATAGAAACATAACCTATTAAATTTAATTTTATCCTATAAAACGACCAATAAATGATAGATGAAAATATGTTAAGTGATCAATAAATAAAATCAGTAATAAAAAAAGGGTGATTATCACTTTAGTATTTAACGATAAATCGCGACTGTAATTAGTACTTTTATATATTAAAAAGAATATATTAAAAGAAAACAATGTATTTTACATCGATTGGATTCTCTCTCGCCCTCTCTTCTGTTATATAGTAAATTGTCCCTTTTTTCTGTTTTTATTTATTATTATTTATCATTTTTTTTTTTTTTTTAATATAATTCGCGAACCAAAATGCTCATAAAGTAGAGACTTTCATGCATCCACGTATCAATTTTCTTGTCCTTCTCTCCTGATTTCTTTTTTATGGGAGTCTGCCCCTCCCCCTAACTGAGCGAGTGGATACGTTACTGCGGGAACCCCGCTGCTCGGGCAGACAACTTTGTCGACAGATTGAATATATTATCTGATCATCGTTTCGCATCGCTGCACAAAAAAGAGAGGAAGCGAAATTTCTTATCTTCCTTTCTTCTCAGTTCGCTTATAGAGTAACACCTGAATAAAAAACCTCTCTTCCCGATTAAAGAAACAAAAAAATAATTAAATACGTAAAAATCTAACACACAATTTATAAAAATTTTTAGAAATATAATAAAAATTTATTTAAAATATTTAAAAAAAGTCTTTTAAAAATTTATTTTTTTAAACAAAAATAATTCAATCTCGAATTTGAATTATTTTTGTTTATTTTTATTTACACGTTAGTTTTGAAATTATTCATTATAATTATAAAATTTTGTAAAGGCAAGAACTTAGAGATCGTCGAGGTTAAGCAACGTAATGCAGTACAATTCGGATGGGTGTCCCTTTGGATTTTTTTTCTTCTAATTTCAAAAGTTTTGTTAAAAAGTCATTTAGATAGAGACGTGATAATTAATAAATTTTAAATAATTATCTTTAGAGTAGAAATAAATTGAAAATTTCGGTAATAATTGTTTTATAAGTAAATTTTTGGGGTGAAAAGAATCTCGAGAATGAGAAAAAGAATTCTCTTCACATTGGAATGTGTAAATGTAGACAAATTCGAAAATTTCTTTTTTTCGTATTTTCGCGTGTCAGACGATACATGTTCTCATAATTTCCATATGTAACGCTTGCGGTTAGAACTCCTCTTCTGGCCACAAACATTTTTGCACGAATGGATATATATTTTTTTCGACTCTTTTTTTTTGACTGTATATATACAAAGTTATAAACAATTATTTTAAAATTCGAAAATAACTTTTTCAAAAATATACTCTATATAAAACAATTTCTTTCGCTTAAAAAATAACAAACGAGGTTTTTCTATTCTTTAAAATTTACCCGAAAATAAAATTTTTACATATTGCTTATTTAAGCCATTTTTCATGAATTCTATGTGTAAATATACAGAAATTAAGGAAGTCGCAAAAAACGGAGAAATATTTTTTTTTAATTCAATTTTAGAGAAAAAATAAATTTTTTTTTTTTTTGAAATTTTACGCTCAAAGGGAATTGAAAGTGACGAAATGGACCATTATTATACTGGGACATAGCAAACGGAGAGCCCCGCGACTTTTCCCACCCGGCAATTTAATCGGCGATTACTTAAGGCCCATTACTTTTAAGTGCACGATAGCCACTAAGTATAGTTGTCAGTGCGATCGTAAGGGTCGTAAACTTCAATAGGCGCCTATCACACAATAATTTTCAGTGCCAAAAATCTCTTTATACATGCGAAAACTTGTGTTTAAAAAAGTAGAAAAAAAACATTTTTTTTTTAATTCAAAACAAATTAATAATTGAAAAAAATTCTAGGGGGAATTTCATTTGTTTATTATTTCTATACATTATTTCTATATTTATTATTAAAATTTAAAAGGAGAGAATTAAAAATTATATCATAGACAAAGGTATAATTATTTATAATTATAATTAATAAAATTTTAAATTATAATATATTGTAAATGTTATTTAAAATGTTTTACATATAAAAAAGGTTTTGTTTTAAATTAATGATGAATAATTAGCATATTATAATAATTGTCGTATATATATAGAGAAAGATGTTTTTTTTTACCCCCCCCCCTCCTAAAAATAAAGTTTCTTTTATTTTATTATACCGCTAGTCGGTGGACATACTTATTTGAGGTGAAAAAAAGATTCTAGTATCTTTAGAGAGTTTAACAGGTCTCAATGAATAGTTGATAATAGCGTCCATTGTACCCCAAGTGTCAAGGGATGGGTCACCTAACAAATGGTTCATTGTTGTCCCTCTCGGCCTTCCTCCCCCCCCCTCCTCTCTCTCTACTTATGTCTTCTCCTGGTTTAATTCCCTATTTTTCGTTTATATAATTTTAAATCTTATTATTTAAATTCTTGAGATAAATATAAAGTTGATTATAACTATTAAATATATAAGTATAATATTGTACCTCTGAAAATTCCATGTAATATCCGTAGACTTTCCATGGAAATTCTGCAAGTTTTTTATTTTTTAAATATTTTATAACATTTCCAGGGTTGTCATAGGTCAGGGAAAAATCAGGAATTTTTATTAAAGTTGGAAAAAATTGAATTTAGAAGAAGTTACAAATTAATGCACAGAAATTCAATTTATTTTCAAAAATTTTAATAAAATTCTTGTCAAAATTTCAATTATTTTTCAAAAATTTTCCTCAATTCAATCATTTTTAATATCTATTATTTTATAATAAAATTTTTCAAAGATTTCAATTATTTAAAAAAAAGTGTTGATAAAATTAAAAGCAAACATTAAATTATTATCGTAAATAATAAAATTTTTCACCGAGATTCAATTATTTTCATGAATAATAAAACTCATTTATGAGGATTCAATTTTGAAAAACATTCATTTTTTCAATAAATTATTTATTTTTGTATTTAAGTAATTGAATTCTCGTATAAAATTTTCTAATAAAAATTGATTTCAAAATGAATTTCAGTTAAAATTTTATATAATAATTATGAATATTAAAAGCATTATAGCGGGAATTTTCAAAAAATAATTGAATTTTGAATATTTTTGAAAATAATTATATACATTTTTTGAAGAATTTACTTAAAATAAATTGTATTAAAAATAAGTGAAATCCTAGTAAAGAATTTTATTAATTATGAGAATAATTGAATTCTTGTAAAGAATTTTTTTTACATTTTTTAAAAATTTTTACATTTTATTATTTATGAAAATAGTTGAATTTTTTCAACGAATTTTTATTAATAAGAGTAGAGATGATGAATTTTTATTAAATTTTTATTTAAATAATTGAAATCCTGTAAAGAATTGTATTATTTATGAAAATAATTGAATTCTCTTAACGCATTTTATTACATTTTTTTTAAATAATTGAATTCATTTAAGAAATTTTATTAAAACAGTAGATTTAGAAAATATTTGAATTTCAGCAAAGAATTTCATTATCTGTGAAATATAATTAAATTCTTGCAAAAAATTTTTGAAAATAATTACATTTTTCGAGAAATTTATTTAAAATTGTATTAATAATAATTGCGAAATCCTGTGAAAAATTTTATTATTTATGGAAATAATTGAATTCATGTGAAAAATTTTATTACTTGTAAAAATAATTGAATTCTTGGGAAGGATTGTATTAAAATTTTTGTAAATAATTAAATTTTTTTTTTGAAAAATTTTATGGAAAGTTAAATTATTATAAAACATGAAGATATCAATCATTCCGAGTCGAACACTCGAAGTGATTGATATCTTCATGTTTTATACCTGATAATATTCTTTAAAGTTATGTTGAATTTCATAAAGATTTGAATTTGAAATTTTTTGAAAATCTTAATTCTTTATGGAAATTATTCCATAAAGAATAAGGATTTTTAAAAAATTTCAAATGATTAAATGACTAAATATTTATTTAAAAAAGAATTTATTGATGTTTTGGAATAATTTTACAAGTATAGGAATGAATTTTTGCGCATTTTTGACAACTTTTACTATATTTTTGGAGTAAATTTTGCTACGTTCGAAGTAAATTTTACTAATTTTTTTATATACAAAAATTTTATTTCGAACGTAGGAGAATTTACTCCGAAAATATAGTAAAAAGAAGTATCTTAAAATACAATGTAGTCACTTTTA